TTCTCTCTCTCTCTCTCTCTCTCCTTCCCTCTCTCTCACTCTCCTTCTCTCTCTCTCTCTCCTTCTCTTTCTCTCACCTTCTCTATCTCTCTCTCCTTCTCTTTCTCTCTCTCTCTCTCTCCTCGGTATAAAATCAATTCCTTGAGTCCCAGAGGCCATACTTCGATCAGTCTATCAAGTGAGAAAGAGTCGAGAGGAACAAGATGGTGACTCTCCTTTTCTGCTTCATTGTCCTCTTCATTTCCGATTCCGCCCTGTCGGCTTCCACATTCAGGCGGAGACACGATGCTACTTCGCTCTCTGACGTAAGATTCCTGCTTTCTTTTCTATCGGCATTTCCTGTTCCCAATGTCAGATGATCGAGTCCTCGCTCGATCCCGCCATCTTGCAGGTGACCCCTAAGTTTATGTCTAATTGCATGTAATACGAGGGAGAGACATAAGTTAGCTTCCACGCTGGTTTACGTGGATCGTACGACGTCTCATCATTCGGTACTTTCTATATATATAGACGATATTGACTGACTGACGCTAATTCTAACCATGTTCTAGAGAAGCTAGAAATCTGAAACTTGGTACACATGTACCTTTAGGGATGTAGAATTCAGAAAAAATTCGACTTTGGAGGTACATGACCTGGGGGCACCCATTTTGGGGGGAAGGTGTTTTCAATGATATATATATTTGCTTCAGTCAAACGGAGAGACATGGAAAACTGAAACTTGGCATGGACGTGCCTACTGAGGCACAAATTAAAAAAAAATGTAAATTTTTAGATGCATGCCCTGGAGGCATATTTTCGGGGGATGACGCTCAAAAAATTTTTTTTCTTCTACCGAATTGGGCCGAGATAGAAAGGAGAAACTTGATGTATGAGTACCTATTGGGAACCTGAATTCAGAAATATTCAAACTTTGGAGGAATATGCCCTGGGGGCACAAATTTTAGGGAGAGATGCTTTCTAGAAAACTTTTTGCCGCAGTATAACTAATAAACGTGGAAAGCTGAAACTTGACATAGACGTGCCTACTGAAACTCTAAGTTAAGGAAAAATGCCAAGTTTCAGATGCATGCCCTGGGGTCATATTTTTGGGAGGGTCACATTCTCAAAAAACTTTTTGTCCTACCGCATTGGGTAGAAATAGAAAACTGAAACTTGGCACACATGACTGAGATGTTGAGCTCAGAAAAAAATAAAAGTTATGTGGTGCATGCCCTAAGGTCGCAGCTATTGGCTGCTTCGGCTTTTCGGAAGATTTTTTTTTTCGCCAGCAAAAAAAGGAAACGGATCAGACTGAACCTTGGTAAGCACGTAGTTCTCCCAGTGCTGATTTCAGTAAAAAAAAAACAAAAAAAAACTACTTTTTATGTAAAACCCCAGGGGGTACATTTTTTGCAAAAGGCGCATTTTCCGGAATCCTCTCTGAGCAAAAGAAAGAGAGATCTAAAGAAAGTTGAAACTTGCAGCAGAAATACCTGTTGGATTGCTGACTGCATATCCTACTTTTCAAATATGATCCCTCAGGGTAGATTACGAAGAGATTTGAAGTTAGGCACGCAAGTAATAATCGAAGTGATTATTCCAAGGTATATATCGGTTTGTTCTCTCTCGGCAGACATTTTGACAGGCACAAATTTTTAGTATGTTTTTGCCACTTTGAAAATAAGTTTAAAAAATAAATCATTAACCTGGACAATGGAGCGCCAAAGGCGCGACCACAGTGAGTTTGTTTGCCCTTCGGGCAAACAAACTCGCTAGTAAATCATAACGGTCTTCTTTCGCCTTTAACAGTCATTTATCGACCTTACCAGCAAATATTTTGTTGCGCATCAATGTAAACCAGAAATTGCATCTCCTCTCTTGCAAAAAGAAGGTGTTGTGAGGCATGACACCCTTCAAAGCTAAAGAAACAAGAGATTTGTTCATGAGTATCTAAGGAGATAAACATTATCTCCATATACTCTCATTATTTTGTTTTTTTCCCGTGGAGAAGGTATGTAGGGACTTGAGATGCACAAATTATGCACACTTCTCATTTCCTCCAAGCACTGCCCATCAGGACCGGCCTTTGGCATGTGCCAGATGTGCCCCCGCATAGGGCGCAAATTCATCAGGGGCGCCAAAACGAGACTGAATATACGGAGCAATAATGGATGCCACCCTCAGTTTTACTTCAGAAAGTGAAAATGCCTTCCGTTTCGGCGTCAATTTGGACCTTACGGAACCGTTTTCCATTCTGGGGGAGAGGTAGGGGGAGGGGAATTTGGAAGTCTCTTTGCATAAGGCGCCGAAATAATTAGGGCCGGCCCTGCTGCCCATCGTATGAATAAAATCATTAGAGAGCAGTGGCATACATCCAATACAATACAGATGCGATTTGAGATAATCAGCTTCCTAGTGCTATGACGATTCCTAGGCCCACATGCATGCTTGCGTCCAAACCAGAAGGCATTCATAAATACATGAAAGAGAACCGTGCCAAAGACAAGAGGCGGTGCCTGAAATAGAGGCGACGCCGAGGCAGGTCGGAATGCCTACAATGCTTTCCTCATGGCTTTTCTTATCAGAATACGCTGATCTCACACTTTCCGGGGCCCTTCAGGTTCTCGTGTGCATGCACGCAATAAGAATGAGGTTATTAGAACTGATGGAGACGATTCCTGATACTCGTTTCGGCTTTTTTGGTCCTCGTTGAATTTCTATTGAGACTTTTTCCTTGAACTTTTGTCGCGAGCGCTGCTTTCCTGGGCGTAGAGTGAGGTGAAAGCAGAGAAATACTGACAATCATCTGATAGAAGGAGAAGCTTTCTTTCTTGGTTATGAATTTATGTGAATTCTCTCGTGAATCACGTGCATTTATTATCTGTAAACTGCTTACATTGTGCGGAATGCGGATCATAATGCGGCAAACATGCAGGAAACGTGAGGCCCTAGCGACTTAACCCTTTCGCGGGAAAAGATTACACGTGTTCCAAAGTTGTTCTTTTTCTTAAATAGATTACATAGAGACATAGAGACAGATTCCATATTTCATTGCTTGCACATCGCATGCAAATTAGATGGAGATAGCAGCTCCAACCGGTATCACGGGGTGAGAAGCGGGTATCCCAACTCACTTATAAGATTCCCACGGCCCAAAAAAGGGCTAAAAGGGACTCTTCCATCGATGGAATGGATTATTTTCTGCGCTTGCATTCAAATCTTTTGTCTGCAATATCCTCCTCTGAATTTTAAAGGCAGAATTGCGTTCTTCCCGCATTTCGTTCTAGCAAATACAATGTAAAACAATGCAAATAGGATTTCACCCTTTTGGATGGCTGACGTTCCATGTTAATCTTGCGCATTGTTGTTCTTGGTGCAGTTGCCAGAAAACTAAGATGTCTCGCTTCAGAATTTTTGCTGTTAAGTCAGTTTTCGTGATGATGTAGGTTCTTTTCCTCCAAATATTCAACGAGATTTTGGGAATTTTATGAGAATTTGTCTCATTTGAAAGTCTGCATGATAAAGCAACGAAAAAATTAGCTACGAGTCTAGGTACTGCCATTGTAGATCTGCCATTCCAATGGCCCCGATACCTTTGGAATTATCTTCTTCGCCGCATCCTAACCATCAAACTTGGAAATAAATGATAAATGTCATTTGTACGGCATAGACCGATATTAAAAGTCTCTAACAGCTAGACGTGTTTTCGATGGTCCGCGCGTCCGCGTCACGTGGAGATGGGGGGAGAGTATGAAGCGTAGGATGCCAGATGCGACATTTCACAAGAACGCCTAGCAACCCTGTCTACGCGACCACAAGCAGCCGCTCTCTCCCGTTGTCTGGTATCCGTCATCCGCGAGGACTGGAAGAGAAATGGATGTTAAGTGAAAGACGGGCACCCCGACCCAGACGGAAAGCTGCACATGCTCGGTGAGCCGTGTTGTCCGGTCGCTATGGGTACTGCGGACAGACGGAACGAAAAATTAATTAATTTTTAAAAAGTGACAGACCGATCGCAATATCTGGCCTATGAGAGTGGCAGATTAAAAAAAAGCGCTAAAGTGAAAAAGGGAAGCTGTGCAAGCCGATTGAAAGTGGTCGGATGGCTGCTCGCCTGCTGGTGCCTCTCGGTTTCCTCTCATCCCAAAGGGACAGGGTCCCCTCGGCCCCTCTCTTCGGAAATGCAAAGCGCAGGGAAGTTTCATTCCACATCTTTTCGAGACGATTTCTTTCCCGCCTCATTTTCCCATCGGAAAAATTGGAAATTTCCCAGTTTCGACCTGGAATAACTGGCAGACACAATCGCATTAAATACGATGTCACACACGATTCCACGAGCCGATTTTGTCTGATTGCGAAGAAACCTCACCGATCACATTCCCGCGAAACCACCGCGAAACCCTCGAATCCCCTCCCGACCGGACGTTTACAAGGCCATGCCGCATCCAAGGAGAGATTCCCACACGAATCGCTACCGTATGTGGCATCACCGTCCATCTCGGAATGTCGGAAGACTCTCAAGGAGGGGAACGCAAGTTCCGGGGGATCTCGATCTTGCTTGCCTTGAATTTTCATAACCATGTCGAGCACTCAATTTCTTCCGAACACGTAGAGTCCCAAGTATTTAGATTTTCTTTGCAAAAGTAATTGAAAGCTATAATTGAATTTATTACTCAATCCAAGTATTCAAGAAGAACTTTGATATGTATTAGGAATTCAAATTCTCAAATACTTTTCTAATCACATGTTTCATCTGTTGCGCTCAGTCATAATCAGAGTCTGCTATATTTATGCAGTGGATAAAATACGATTTTCACTCCCCTGTGTATGACGACATTACGAACGGCCACAGCGATAGGGAGAAAACAAATTGTAAACTAAATTGAAATGTTAAATATCTATTTCTCTCAACGTGACTTGTTTTCTTATATTTAAATGCGTCTATAAAAGTGCGACGTGATTTTTAAACTATTTTTCGGCGGCATGTAGTTGTAAATGTATTCTGAACCTGTAGTTTTATGGACGTAGCTTGGCGATTCGCCGTTCCAGAAATTGCTATCAATCCTCTGGCAACCAAAGAATTCCCTTCGGTTTGGGAGTTTTGTTTGCCAAGACTTGCTGCGGACAAAATCTACTTCGCTGTATAATTTTATTATTAAACTGCAGCACATGAAAATTTAAGGGTTCGACCCGCTGCCCAAGAGTCAGACGAAGCACCGTCTCCATTGCGACGATGACAAAAGGATTCTCGAACACACGCCGAGAAGAAACAGGAGCGAAACTTGCTCCGATTACCTTCGACCCATAAGCCGATAAAGCCCAACGCTACATGCGACCGTGCGATCGGCAACGTCCCGTTGTCTCTGGGACCCTCGAATACACTTTAAGGCGGGTTTAAAGATGCCAGTAACTTCCATACAAATATGCAAGAATAAGAGTTGCTCGCGGGAGAGAGCCAGTGGTACTTCTGGCGATCTTGGCTTTGGCACTCTTCCATGGAAATAGAGATGAACCCAATAACTTGGAAGTACTTTCATGGAAAATCGTCTATAAACATAATTATTCACACAAGTAAATTTCATGACAGTGTGCTCGCATGTGTAACACTTCCCTCCCCCCTCCCCCCTTCCAGAGGCTTAAGGAAGTAGATCCATGTTGAAGTCTGTAAGGTAAAATAAGGTTAGATCTACCCTGTACTGTTGTGGCAGGAACAAAACGAAACCCAAGCGTGTTTCCGCCCGGGATCGAACCGGGGACCTTGCGCGTGTGAGGCGCACGTGATAACCACTACACTACGGAAACGTCGCATGATATTGTTTTTCCAACATGCTCTTACCTTCTGAAACCTCACTTTACAGCCTCAATCGGATGCGTTTGATGGGGATGCAACCCGGCCCGGAAGGAAGAAGGAAAAAGATGAAGATAGCAAGTCCTCTGTCTTCGACTTCTCTCAAGTGTTGGAACCGAATCAACTCGTGGACACGATGCTCAATCTCACGCTGATCATCTTCGATCAGATCGAGAATCACACCCCGCTCAAGTCCTTCGAACTGCCCATCGTGGAAAGGTCAGTTCTGATTTTCGTCCCGTCCTGGCAGCAGTCGCCCTCGAACGTTTCGATCCTCTACCCCGATTTTGCAGGTACGTCACCATTCCTTACATGGGTCTCAATCTCCCGCTCGGGACAGCCATCAGAATGACCGAAGGCTCCGTCTACGGGTTGCAAACTGTGGCTCGCCGAGTGAGTTCGACTCTCTTTCGGATTCATCGACCGATCGAATGTGTACTTCATTTTGATCTGTACTCGCTCTCAGGGGGAAGCAAAGTTAAAGAAAGACGGGAAAACATTGATCTTCGCGGCTCCCCTCGTTCTTAAATTCACCCAATACAACTACACTTTGGATCTGCAAACACTGTTCCTGAACTTCCGGGAAAAAGTGACAGCAAATGTGTACGATGTCCTCGTGGATGTGGAGGTACGAGAAATCCATCCGTTTCTCTCACACGCGTGGCTTGTAATGATAGAAAATTAAAAAAATATTTAAAATTTAAAAAATAATATATCAATATATGATTTGACACCGAGCAGGCACGGATTACTTTCGAGCCCCCCGATTCGAGGAAAGTTACAGTCACCAAGTTCAAGATCGTCGATATCGGGAATGTGAAACTTCGACTGCAAGGAAACGACAGATCCAGCGTCAACAGAATATTGGACACGGTAAGCCAACCCATCCGATTTCGGTGCCACGTGCCTCTCACGCGATCCCCAATCATAACGACTCTCTGCTCTCAGGCGGTGAGGTACGCTCGAGTTCTCTTCTCGAGGATCATATACGAGACCCTGGAGCCGCTGGGGAAGGAAGCCATCGAGCGAGGGGCTGCGAAGGGGTTTCGGATCCTCAATGAACTCACCCGTTGATGCCCGACTCTCAGGATCGCCTCTAAATCTGTGATTTTCCTGGCCATTTTATGAGAACGTTCTAGGTCGGCTAGAATGAATGCTAATGACACGATCACTCCAGCTTTATTCAAGAATGCTCGTTTTCAAGGAGCATAAGTGAAGACGTAGAGCTTTCCGATGCTGTATCCAGCTGCTATGAGTTCAGTGTATCCGTCCCCGTCAAGGTCCGCGATGGCGATTTTTCCTGTGAACAGATGCGAGAATTCCATTTAGTGCTTTATTGCAAATGGAAAAGAAATATTGCAAATATCAGCGAAAGTGCGTTTGTTTTTTTCTGTACCGGACGTGGTGGCCCCAGTGTCAACGAGGATATTTTTCTCATAGGTCCAGTCGTCCGCGTCCTCCGACACAGGCACCAGGATGTAATGTTTCCCATCGTCGTCGCCGGACAGAGATATCCACGGCTTCACCTGTCTGGGTAGGGAGATATTTTTAAATAGCCTGTTATATAACGAAGAGTCCAACTTATATAAGAGTGTCGAGATGCCCTACCTTCCGTCGGGCGTCGTTTGTTCTTCGTATTCCTCCGAGGGGTAGAAAGGCTTCGGCGAACCAGGGGTCATGGATTGGCCGAGCAGAATGAAATTGGCGAAGAACTCGTCCGCGATGCTCCGCCTTTCCCATGGATCGTTTCTGTCCGGATTTCAGATCGAATTCGCAAAGGTAAAAAGGAACGGAAAAGCCAATGAGGATCGGTTTCGGCGTCGACTTACAAGAAGTCGGCAGGAATGTCGTAGATGTAGACGTGCCCCTCGTCCCCATCGTAAACGGTGGCCAAGACCTCGTAGCGTCCGTCTCGGTTGAAGTCGTCCACGTAAACGTCGAAGATCTGGCCCGGTGTATCGATCACTATTCGTTGCACCTGTGGTAGTGTTAAAAAAATTACGGTTTCATAATTATTGTTTAAAGTGTGTAGAAGAACTTCAGATGAACTTCTTTTCGTGACAAAGAATCGCAAGAATCAAGAAGACGGAAATTCAGGAAAACCTTCGAATGAAACCAGAGGAAAAAAACGCGTGACGTTAACTCTAAAAATATGACACGAGGCTTCCGAGGGATAAGCATGGTATTAGATAAGGGCCTTTGAATGTTTCGAAATCAGTCGACTTTCAAGGTCGATGCGCGTTCCAGAGGAATCCTGAGCATTGCAAACGGCCCCGGCAACAGTGAATTGCCTTGAAATCGCTCCAGTCGCAAGGGAAAAAGTTGGCATACATATTTATTAATTATTTATTTATTTGCGCTGATAAGGACATTCTCCAGTTCCATCCCCCCCCCCCCCCCCCTGTAATCTCCTTCTGCACTTTTTCGCTACACTTCTGTATTTTTTAAGCCATTTATTTATCCAAAAAGGGAAAGCGAGAAAAGGAAGGATATGCGGAATGGCGTAGATTTCTGGCCGACATCTGCACAAACCCGGTCAACTTCTATGTTGGTCGTGCAAAAAAAACTGCAGTGCTTCATAGTAATTATCACACTGTGTGACGCTTGCATTTAGAGTAAAGTTGCTTTTAGTGTGAGTTTGGAGAAATTCGACTTCTTTACCCTCATTAGAGTTGCATTACAAGAATATGACAATCTCTTGGTGACGACATCGGTGGTTTTCAGTCAAAGTCGGATAATTGATTTGACCTCCCGGTTAACGCTATGAGTGGGATTCTTACCCGTGATAGGCCATAATACCGTGTCAGTCTGCCCGAACAGTGCGGTAACCATAGCAGAAAAAGCATCAGACGGGTTCTGCCTTTCGTTCCCGTTATTTCGTTCCCGTAAGGTTCCCATCTGATGCTCGATGGCCCGCTAATCGCATATAGATACATCTGCAACCATCCACTTTTATTGGGTCCCATTATGAGGTCAGATCAGTATAAGTTGAACCGGCCTGAGGCAGACCTCATTTCGGTTTACGAGGAGAGAACTCCTAATTAGCCTTTATCACAACACAAACGTGTTGAGAAGAATGGCGACGTTCGTGCAAGTGTGACCTCGCATCACTCCACACGAAGGCATCGTCGCGACACGAAATATTCCGAGCGGGAATCGCGATTGTTAAGGCATTCTCGAGAGGAAACTTACATTGGCATCGGGGCTCGCCCAATCGTTCCCCGCGACGTAGTAGACGGTGAGGGATTCCGCGAAGAACTCCCCGACGATGAAGACATCGTAAGAGCCCAGTTGGGCATTCCGGAAATGCACGTCCGCGCCCCCGTCGCTGATGGAGTGCTGGGTCCAGCCCGTGAGTTCCCCTTCGTTCTCCAGCCATAGGAACTCCGTCGTCGTGGACCCTAGAAGGTCAGAACAATCACACAAAGTTCGCGTCGAAGTCTGGCTTTCAAATCCAAAAAGTATCGATTTCACTCGATAATTTCCCCACTCACGAAAGGACCCGAGAGATAATCTATCAATACAAGGAGACATTAAGATTGCTCCCATGAACGACACGATACAAGTCCCCACTCTTCAAGAGGCCAAAGGCCAACGTATCAATCGCGTCAAAGATATTTTACCAGAGACACAGGCTGTCAAGATGATCCAGTGACCGCGAACGAGTAAAGGGTCTGGAAAGCGTCCTCATATGTGCGAATTCAAAAGTCAGGATTAAAAATATCTGCTTCCGGTAAGAACTTCACGAAAAAACGCCTCATATGTATCTGCTGACCAAATTCACTGTGATCGAGGTTATATTTTTTATATTACCGTCGAACAACGAAAACGGCACCAGAATGAAAGAGAATGTACCGACGGATTGCCCCTTTTCTTGTGGAAAAGAAGTCCACAAAAAATCCAATCGAAGCGAACATGTCGAGATTCAGCATGTGATCATGTAATGTTACTCGAAATGCAAGAACAATGCTAAACATCCATGAAGAGAGTCGCCCCCCCCCCCTTCGAGGGTGGGCTTCTTCCCAGCACGTTTCTGGCTGCTGTCCCTTAACTTGTCCTTGTAATGGAGTACATTGAATATGGAATGCCCGAAAGGAATTCACATGTCAAACAGAGTAGAATCCGCCACGAAGAGAAATAAATACAGGGAACAATGAGGATCCTGACGTATCCTTGACTGAGTTCAGTACCCCGGTCACGAACCAATCATCCCTGTGACGTTCGCTACCAGCCGATTTTTCTACAGAGAATGGCCTTGACTTTTTTAGATTTTTTTCTCCGGTCGTTACCGAAGAGGTCGACATGGAATCGGGCCGTGACGGCATCCAAGTCCCCGTCCCCGTCGACGTCCTTCCAGATCACCCGGTGATAGGACCAGTCCATCTCCTTCGAAAGCCAAGGACACATAAGGACGCATCGAACATCGACACCCAAACTTCTCATCGAGAATGCCATAAGAGCCGTACATCGAGCGAAGCGATGTTGTAAGGTCCGTCAAGAGGCTCCACATCCGTGAAATAGAGATTCAGTCTTCCCTTCGTCTTCGTCGGGACGAGGAACCCCGAAGTCCACACGATTCCTTCCCTTCCCAACACCTCGCCTGCGAAGTCGAACGTAATCATTTTCTCCTCTAGGCAGATGGGCGTGTCCGCGTTCCATCTGAAGGGTGCGGATCCGCACAAGGACGGACCACCGTCGACCTTGCTCGAGGTGATGCCGTCATTCATCAATATTTATTGCAACTCATTGTGTACTTTGATGTATGCAGAGCCCGACCGGCAGCTTTACTTAATTTGAATACGGTCGTGCATAGGAATCCAAATCATCGTTGAGTGCATTCACTGCAGCTCAGCGTCGATCTCGACGCAAATTCCGAAAATAAAAAATTAAGAATGCCTGACCAGGGAGAAAGTCCGGATTGTTGGGCCAATAATTCTCCGAGTCGATCTCGACGATGCTCTCCCCCCAAGCAGGAACATCGCCCAGCACATCCCCAGGGTTCTCGAGCAAGAACACCGGATCCGTCTGCCCGAACGCCCAGAGCCACAGACTCCAAAAGCCATCCGATTCCCCAGCGGACGAGGACCGTGAAAGAAACAGACCTGGAACAGCGCAACGGGATTGAAAGTGGACACGAAGAGGCTGAATCCCTGGGCTGCTCCGGTCGGATAGAGCTCGATGAAGGCCGCATTAGACAGTTGCACTTCACCCAGTGATCTCGGGATCGGGTCGATTCCTTGCCTCGACGCCTCGCTTCCTCCCCCCAACAGCAAACCCAACAACCCAAACCAACATCCCCACATTGCAACAGAGCTGAATCCTGAAAGGAATCTGTGATCGAGCAATTGCAACTTTACAACGAAGTGTTCATCCAGCTTCTACATGACTTCACTCCAGAGCAGTGGTTCTCAATCTGTGGACCACCGAGCACACGGATCTTCTATGGGAATGAAAGGGAGCTTGAGAACCACTGCTCTAGAGCAGCGGTTCCCAAACTGTGGGTCGCAAGAGGCAACCAAGTGGGTCGCGTACATTTTACCAGAATAAAAAATCACTTCTTCCGCATCCGCTCGGGATAATACACGCCTTGCAGCAAAGTTCGATCAATATTCTTCGTCATAATTACCTCGAAAATACCTCGTTCTGGATTTCGGTGGGCCGCGATTCAAAGAAGTCTGGGAAGCACTGCTCTAGAGTGATCAACAAACCATGCTTCAAGTACAAATAATTTTCGATCGCGTGCCTTTTGAACCGCCCGACAGCTTGGGGAATACATTTTTCCAATAGAGACTTTTAGTTGAAGATTTTTCTTTCCACAGTAGATTGCATCACAGCAGGGGTGTCAAACATACGGCCCGCGAAGATGGTTCATCCGGCTCGCCGTCTGTTCTTCAAATTTCCTCCTAGATTGACTCTCAGCACCATCCGCGCACGAGCCTATGGGATGCGGCCCGCCGACCGATTTGAGTTTGACGCCCATGCATTACAGGATGAAAATGTCTTCAATAGTCTATTATGGGGGTATTATTTTTTTTTTTAAAGAGGGGGAGGGAGTGATTGTCAATTGCCAATAAATGCAATTCCGCAGAACAGCGAGAAAAAAGCCAAATTCTATCCGCAATCTAATCTGCATGGTCACAGCGACTATAACGCGAACGAATTTTGCGAATTATAGATAAATTTTAAAAATATATTTACAAGAGATGTAGGTTGACTTTTCTAGATAAATTCACTCGGTATAGGGGAGATAGAGCGTGATAGACCCGTCACAAGGTGCAGGAAGAACTGAGAATCGATCCATCTATGTCTCCTTTATACCAGCTTTTTATTTTTATCAAACAAAAAAAAATGCAGGTGCACCTGAACTGAGGGACATATTTCGTCAGCCTCGGAAGCTACGTTCAACAAGACATGTGAGCCGCGAAGGCAAAGAGGAGGGACGCATACAGGACGAAAGATAGGACGAGAAAGCCCGTCCTGGCGGTGCGGAGGTCACGCAGTACGGCGTCCCTGCACCCCTCCACCCACGTCGACCAGCATCGTCCCACCTCTTCATCCTCGTACACGTTCTCCTTACTCACGGTCGCGCAGCATCCTAAGGGATATAGGTTCAGTTCCTTCACCTCGCCTCCCGGTTCGTCGTCCGGTTGTAATTCCTCCAGATCCGGATACCGAGCTTCCAGCTTTTCGTAATCTTTCGTTCCCTTCGCGTATCCGCAGCAATGGAATACCCGTTGAACTTGATTCAGGGCTCGCGTCTCGTTCTGACCGGAAACGTATAGGGTTTGAAGATTTCGTTTCAGTCGTGGATCAAATCGAGAACTTTTGCTTGGCTTTGGATTCATTTCTCCTGTATTAATTTAGCACCTCAAGAAATATATTAGTCAAACTTTTTTCGGTCATAGATATTCTTTTTATGGTCTTTAGCGAGGAATAAAGATTTATCGTTGATAGAACTTCATTCTTCTTTTCACTACATGTGTCACTATTTATTCTGAATCTAATCGTTAGAGTTAATTTTATCCCTTGATTTTTCTGTATGACTCAAGGCAGGTCAATTCTGCATCTTTTGCATGCATCTGATGATGCATGTAGATGTAGGCAGGTGGTGTACACGGTCGAGAGATGACTCTTCGCTGATGGGAATTTGCACCCAGTCAACTTTAATATTCACTTAGTTTTGCGTTGATTTCCTGCAAGGGCAAGATTCAATAGAAGATTGAAGCGATACGATTCAAATGGTGCTTTGCAGTTGCTCTCATACGTGCATCTTCTCTTTACAAGCATTCCCAGCAAACAATTTGAAACACATAATGTTGAATCAGCGTTGAATCAACATTGAATGAACGTTCGGAACGTTGATATAACGTTGATCCAACGTTACCTTGTTTGCTGGGTTCTTACCATCGAGAAATCCTCTAGACCGTATTGGAGGACGGCATCGTGGATATGATCGAGGACGTGGATGCAGGGACCGCCCTGGCTGCTATTCATGCAAGTATTCCCTCGAAAGCTGACGAAGATGCTGATGAGGGCAGTGACGACGAGGAGGAGGGCGAGGATCCCGGCTTCAGCTCTGGGGAATCCGTAGGCCATCCCTCGAAGGAGGACGAGGGGAGCGAGGAACGTCAAAACCAGGATCCCCAAAGCCATTCCTATCTCCATGCATGGTTTCAGACTTTCCACCACGTAGTAGTCCTCTGGAAGCTCACTGGCAAGCAGAAGACACGGATGGAGGAATGCGAAGCTGCTGGATAAGCGGCGCGGTATTAAAGCTAAAACTGGAGTCTAAATCCCATCTTTTTCTTTAAAGCACTTTTGAGTTCTGTACTGCAAGCAATGACAGAAAAAAGACTTATTTTAACACTGTACAAATGGAAACTACCATCTGTAAGGCAGATGCATCACAAGGGTACTACATGTTTGCAAATTTTCGCTTTACGTTTACCTCAGTTGACCCCATCGGATGTGAAATGTAGCGCAAAAGGACATGATGATGACAGCGGTCAGGATGGAAAATGCTGCCATGAAGAAAAAGCAGTTGGCCTTCATCATTGCCATTCCTCCAACTCCGTTATCGTCGGTCGCAGAGCCTCGATTGGACCTGTTCTTTCGGTGCCGTCTCTTCCGCATTTTAACATTTTTACGAGATTTCTTCCCAATGCTCTGCTTCTTTCGCTTTCGATCCGTTTCCCCGCTCTTCAGCGCTTCCAGAAATTTCCTGGTCGATTTCCTCTCTTCCGGTTCCGGGGAACCAGAAGCTTCTTTGACATCAAAAGGGATGAGAGGCAACTTGTCTTTTACCGTCCCACCTGCCGTCTGGATCAGGTCTTCATCACTGGACATTGCTGCTATCGGTGTTGATGTAGGTGTAGCTGAGACTGTTGCAACTGTTGATGTCGCTCCCGAAGAGGTCCCATACTTGATCGAGACGGGAACTGACTTCTCATCTTGATTCTTCGGTTTCTCCTCCATTTCAAGGGATCCTCGTTTCATACTTCCTGGATCGACCCGATTAGTGGTGGATTAGTATTTTAGCTAATGAAGAAATTCCCCACAATCTCTGGATCACCTGAAATCAGGCTTCTTTGTGTGTTTGTCGCTTTTTATTGGGGAGTGGGAGGGTTACCAAAATCGCATGATTCACTCATGGCATAAATATCAGTGACTGTAAGGAGTGAAGGAAGCCTCGATGGAGCTCAGGAATAAGAGAAAGCGGTTGCCGTCACGAAGCGTCGGTCGCTGGGGAATGCTCATGGTCACAGTTAGACACGAGTTTTGGGGATATATTTATTTTGCTCATCGTTCCGTTTGTACGGAAAGAAAGGAACAATTGTATTAATTTTACAATTTCACTGCTTGTGAAATTGTAAAATTTGCTTTAGTATGACTTGAAAACCGGTCTCTGAGACTCAAGTAAGTCAGAATTCATTCACCCACTCTGTGGTTAGTTATCGCCTTAGCGTCGAATGCCTTCATGTACAAGACAAAGAAGGGAGCAAGATAGCTGAAAAATAGACAAAGCATCGAAAATTTGCCTGAAAAATTGTTATTCAGTATTTGCAGAGGTAGGCCTACCTAAAGAGCGCTCTACCTTGAATCGGAATGCCAAAATGAGTAGAACTGCTTTTTGACTCAAATAAGCTCAAACTTTGAATGTTGAACCTTGTTCCACGATGGGCAACGAGTAGGAAAGCTGTGGGCTATTATTCCACAGCTTGCAGATTCGAAACATTAAGGCCAAAACAGCGGACTGAAGGAAGTGCTACGAGAGAGTGTGGCTCGCACGCATGCCCGGATAGGGAGGTCAAAGTGGCATCACTGGTACTAGAACGTAAAGATGGCGATCTTCAGTCGCCTCTCACGAGGGATCTGCTGGGAGATCCCCAGGATATTTATAAAGAGTCCCTCCAATCATCCTCCCACTCAATGTGAGTAGTCTATGATCACCATTCTCTTCCATTAGGTTATTCGTACAGTGTGGAAACAAAGTTTTCTTGTCCATGTTTTCATTTTGGAATTGTTCTCTGGGCAGAATGGGTTTGGCACTCCAGTTGTACTAGCTTAGAACGGCATTTCCCAGGCTAATCTTAGTAGTCTAGTAGCTTTGAATTGGTTTATTTTACGTTTTAAGGAGGGTATTATCGGTTGTCGTGAAACTTTACCGGTTTTAGTGCACCATTGGTTTTTCTAGCTAAAGAGTTGCTTGTGCTAGACCCACAGTTGCTTGTGTTTTGGTTTTTATAGTTTATCTTGAATTGTATCTTTCCCACGTATGCCCTTTTTTTTTTTAGAGAACTCAATTAATCGTAATTTTTTCCATTAAGTTATCGCATGTTACAGAAACACTGGGCCTGTTGTGGCTGTTATTTTCAGTGACAGTTGCACTTTGGATTTTAATTAAAATATTGATAATTGCATGTCTTCCCAGTTTTTGAATGATTATTTAAAACTTAAGCTATTAGTCAACCATGGATTTCTTATTCCTAGGGTCGTTCTATTTCATGTTGTTCAAGTACAATAATACTAAGCCAAATAATCACAGGTTCTTAGATTATGGTTGGTATTGACCTGTGTTTGTTGCATAGATTGAGAAAGGAGAGAAATAAGGCTATATGGTACAGGGTGTAAACCTGGGTCACCAGGGACATGGCTAAGTTACCATTGTCATTCCTGTGGTTCCTACTCTCACTGAATGTGAGCTGTGTTGGAGATGAAAAGACAAGGCATGAAGTATTAGATTCTTGTTATGCAACTTGATAATACCCCATCCAGAGCTGCTTGGATGTAGCAACAACTTTGAAGAATGTGAATATCTTGTTTCAGTGATTCAGAAATGGATGTCAACTCATAATACTTTTACCATCACTCCCTCACGCTGGCAATATAAGAAGTTTAAGGACCTTCTGCATTTCTACTTCTTTGTTGGAGCCATCCCAGCTGTCATCTTGGTCTTTTTCACCAATGTCTTCATTGGACCTGCAACATTGGCTGAAATTCCTGAAGGCTATGTTCCCCAGGAGCACGAATATTATCGGGTGAATATCATGTGTCATCTGCATGTACTACTTGTCTTGTTTTTTTTTATCATTGATAACCTTCTTTATCATTTTATCTATATTAGTTATTCTCAAAACTTAGTCTGATTGGGATTACCATTGAATTGCAAGTAACCTAGCAACTAACTAAATTTGCAGTAACCACTGAAAGGGTTATTAATGGTTCCAGTACATACTTGACAATTACTTGAAACTATTGAAGATGGAATTTTATCATGATTTCCTTTAGATATAGATCTATTAAGTACAGTGTCTACCCCTTGATAGTGAGTATTGAGTGACTCTTACCTCATTTGCTGCATTCATGAATTTTTATAGTTTCTCTTTAAATTCTTCTCTTTTCTTGCTGTCACAATTTCAGTGGCATTTAACTGCTAGAGGACAAAAATTGTAATTTAAGAAATTTAGTTGGAAAATTTATTCATGAATCCTGTCTATGTTGACCATTTTAAATCTATTTGTGAAATTTCCATGTTGCTAATTGCTGAGAGAGAGAGACTGAGTTACTCAATTTTTTTAATCTTTAAAAATTGATATTTTTGCTCTCTTGTTGCTTTATGCTACATCCAATTGAAATGGTGCCTACAAAGAAAATGTCCTTAACAAGACCATTCATAAAAGAATATAATTTGTCTGGGATTCATATCAGGGACTTTTACCCAATCTCCATTCTATAACATAACTCCATGAACCATGGGGATCTGAGCTATAAAATGTCAGACTCTGATAGTCAACACTCATAACATACTCATATAACAAACTCAAAGGCTTAAAATGTTGGTATGATGAAAATTTGCAACAGGGACTTCCTCACATTTTACTAAAAGAAAAAAGCCTTTTAAACAAAATTTCATTTATTGCCAAAAAGGATGCTGTTGTTCATGAAAAAACATGCAAGCATATGTCACAATGCAAAAATACAGCTTCCAAAATGTGTATATACAAAAATGGGCATGGACAACAGTGTGTCCTTATGTAGGTGTAGTAAAAATCATACAAGTCATAAATGCTTCCTGTTCATCAGAAACCAAGTCCCAAATGGTTGTTAGCTGTACTCTTTTCCTTGGCAATTCTCCTGAAGCTGTGGTCTGCAGAGCACTCAATGTTACACAAGTTCCAGGCTCAACATTTGGCCTTTGACTGAAAAATAGTCAAAGACTTTGATTGCCTGACAAGGCATAATTCTGGACTCACTCTGACCCTCATGTGCAAGATCCTAAGGAGATTAAGACTGACAAAGCTCCCTTACTCCCCAGGGCCACACCAATAAGTGGGTGGAACATGCTAAATTTAGATAAGAGATGAGATGTTCTAGGAATATGCAAAAGAATGTAGCTCTGATGTGCTGCAGATTTAAACTTCATAATAGGTAACAGTTTATGTGTTCCTTTGGGCAAAAAAAATCACTTTGTAAAACCAAACAATTAGTTGTACAGAACTTTGTCATATCTTTTCTTATATCTTTTCAACATGCATGTGAATGGGTAAATGACCAGGAACTGGGGAAAAAACAAAACCTTGAAAGAAAATTAGTTATGTAGAGGTTCACTATATCAAGTGCTAACTGCTTTTTTTTCTGTTATGGTTAAACTTCAAAACTTCTCCATAGCCTCATCAGTTGGCATGGAATGATCCACTATGACTTAAGGCTGATCAGAGACATTTAATTGGCTGTTCCAGCATCCAATCACAAGGTTTCTCGTGAAGCACTTCTACCAGTCACACCAGGAGCAGTATGAAACACACATGCACTACTTGGCAAGATACATGGACAAGAAAATGCTCAGGTAAGATTTGATTAATGAAATCCATCAATTCAAGGAAGGCTTCTTCCTTAAATTTTATCAAGTTTGTTTTTTTTATTATCAATGTCGAAGCCTTTGTCACTGCATGCATTTGACTAATTTGGTTTTTAACCTTGCTTGCCATTTCTGGGGTCATTGTAGTTGCAGGTCTCCCTGATCAATCCACAGCTTTGAGAGACACTCTGTCACCCATAAAGTCAGCAAACCAATTGAATACCATGACTCTTGATGTGACCTGGTCCCCAAAGGCCCTATGCAATCAGTTACAGGAATAATTGACAGAAGCACCCATTTTAGAATGTTCAAAACCATGCCTTGAAAATCTCTTCAATCAAACTCCTTAGTTCACCATGAAAACCATGGAACTATAATATTTCTGAAATTCATTAAAAAATCAAGTAATCACGATGTTAAATTTGGTGATCCTTATGATTGCTTCAATTGCAGGAAACTGATTGGACTGGAGAAATGGAAGGGACCAAAACTAAAAATATTCACAGTAGCTCTCATAGCCATGCCACCTATTTACTCTCTTATAGTTCAACCCTTGGTACATAGGGACACTGTCACATGTAATTGGGACTTTTAAAACATGAAAAAGAGGATTAAATGGTGATTTTCACAAGCTGGCTATATATGTCACTATTTATTCTGAATCTAATCGTTAGAGTTAATTTTATCCCTTGATTTTTCTGTATGACTCAAGGCAGGTCAATTCTGCATCTTTTGCATGCATCTGATGATGCATGTAGATGTAGGCAGGTGGTGTACACGGTCGAGAGATGACTCTTCGCTGATGGGAATTTGCACCCAGTCAACTTTAATATTCACTTAGTTTTGCGTTGATTTCCTGCAAGGGCAAGATTCAATAGAAGATTGAAGCGATACGATTCAAATGGTGCTTTGCAGTTGCTCTCATACGTGCATCTTCTCTTTACAAGCATTCCCAGCAAACAATTTGAAACACATAATGTTGAATCAGCGTTGAATCAACATTGAATGAACGTTCGGAACGTTGATATAACGTTGATCCAACGTTACCTTGTTTGCNTAAAAAACTGTAATAGTGGCTTGGAACTAAGTGTATTTACAAAGAAGGAAAGCCCAGGTCAATGATTACTATTTACAATTCATTTGCATTCCATGCATTAGTAGGTCATAAATATTGGGAATTTACTTAATTCAGTTAAAGAAATGTTTTAATATCTCCTTTGGTTTAGGGGAAATAACGATTTAAAAATAGGGAGTGACTTTTCAGACACCCTGTAGGTGCTTGATGGATATAGTTGGAGGTAAGCAGCTTCTATAAGCTGCTTTCCTCAGTTTTTCGATCAGGTTATGCAAACTGTTTCCATACTCAACATGTGAGGAAAGCATTTGGGGGATATCACTCTCTTGAACTGGGTTTATGAATTTAGGTGTTCGGTGATTTTTCTTCAACCCTTTAAGAACTACAATCATACATGTATGGTTTCAAACTTTGTGCCTTGGTTTCTCTATATCTTCAAGGATTGATATGATTTGTTGCATTCAGAGGGTTATTTGCACTTGACCACATGTGTCCATGCATCTGTCAATGATCACAAATTCTGAGCAGTTTGATCCTCAACCAAAAAGGGCCATATTGTACCCCTCAAATGAATCCCCATGTTGTTGAGAAAAGGTTTTATTATAACCTTGATTCATTCTGTACTAGGGTGGTATGCAATGAGATGGCTTTAAAAAAAAAAAATAATTTTTTTAGCAAAAAAAAGTAATACGTTTGAATCTCTCATTGAAGAGTCAATTTTGTTGTTTTTTTTTGCTACTTTCTTACATAAGGAATGCCTTTGAGGTTGTCTTCAGATGAAAAATTGTAGTGCTGATGGAGGTATTTATGAGCCTTACATGGTGCAAACAGATGTATATAGTTTATTTGAACAGAAGCAATGAAACAATTATATAGATTGAAATTTGGGAAAGGAAAGCAGTCATAAGTACCAAGAAAGTGCTGAGTCTATTGAAGTTTGTAACATTGTCTCAAAATGACTACCTCCAATATCAGTAAAATTCTGGCATCTTCTGACTACTTCCATCATGAACTTTTCAAAGACTTCATTTGGAATGCTGGCAATTGCTTGTCAAGTTAATCTTCCAGCTCATGGAAGCAACATGGTGTCAACAGGTGGCATTTCCTCAAGGAATAGGAATATTAGAAATTCCCATTTTGTTGCTGCAATGCTCTTAAGATGCCTTTATCCATGTCCTTCTTTTGATAATTCAGCCTTGAGACTTCCTTCCATAAGTTTAAAGGTAAAAAAATGAACCATAAAAGTTGTGAGCTCCAAGATATTTAAAATGTTCAAAATATTCTATTCACCATAGCAGTAGTAAGAGACAAACAAAATTAGATACACCTGTTCACATAACTCTATATTAGGGCCTTGTACTTTTACTGTTCTGCAAAAAAATTTCTGCCACCCCTCCCCTGTTATAAAAATTGGGACTGTTTACTTGAAGACAACTGTATATATTTAATATATCATATAATGAAAACTATTTAAGATAGCAGCTACATGCGCAGATAGCAGTGAAATAAACTAGAAACAGTGAATCCTGAAAGCCTGAATATATACTTGGGCTAACAGTAAAAGGGTTAAGTAAGCTGTTTTGATATCCAAATGAGTGAAAGAAACTGTGACCCATCATATATTCTTTTCTCCCCAGAAACCTTCAGAAGGATGTGGTGTACCAGATGAAGCAGCATGCAGACTACAAGGCATTTTACTTTCGCCCTGTGATGGCAAAGTATTACAGAGAGCTGAGGCAGGAATACGAATACCTCGAGTCAATCATGGGAGAAAAGTAGATTTGATGCTTTTGTCTGAAGTAGGTGATTTTTTGTTGTTGTATTTCTCTTCATCTTGTATGTAAAAGTGCAATACTTGTATTAAATTAGGCTGACATTGAAATGAAATGTATTTGATTCTTTTTCTCCAGAAAAACCTGAAGAAAAAAAAATCACCATGGAGCAGACACAGCAAGAAGTAACAATAACAGTGTTTTATTATTCAACTTTCAGGGGTGCAGAGGCATACAACATTCATACCAACAGAGCAATGATAGTATCAGAGCTTTGCTTCTGATACTGTTATTCAAGACATCAAAAAGAATGACTTTCTACACAGTGGCCACATACTGGACGGATAGTTCATAAGGTGACACATGGGGACAGCTTTCATGCTAGTGGAGAAAAATGTGGGACAATATGAGTAAATAAGGAACAGTGCATGAAGGGAATATAGGTATGAAGGTAGGCCTACAGGTTTCAACATTCATTATTTTCATTAAAACTCTTGATACACTGCTATCAATAGAGTCATTGTAGATTAATGCCTAAAGCCACCTCAAGTTTCATGGTCAAATCTGCAGTCTTCTGGTGAACAGAACTTGGGATGATTGCATATCACCTCAACACAAAATACAGGGTGTCCACAAATTCACTCAGGGTTTCAGCAGGCCATATCTGACTAACATTTTACATTTTAAATGTGGGTTCTATTCAGCAAAGAGTCAGGTTTATTTACATTAGTTGCACAAGAATGCTGAATCATGGAATCCATAGAGAAAAGATTCAAATAATTACATGACTGGCCAAATGGGAATCAATGGCAACCAGACATGAATTCTGAATTTCAATGTGTCTATAGATGACTGTCATTAAGTGCAAATGTCCAAGCTGCTTTAAATTCCTTGAATTGCATGATGCCATTTGCAACTTACAGCAGTAATCTGTATGCACATTGGAAATTGTATCTAATTGCCATTGATTCCCATTTGACCAACCCAATGACAACTTGGATCCATTCCTCTAGGGCAACAACACGTTTCAGCATTCAGATTCAACACTTGATAATAAAGCTTACATATTAGCTGAATCCAGATAAAATATTTATATCCTTACTGCAGTCAGAGATGTGGCCTGTGGAACCATCAAGTGAATATTTGGACACCTTGTATGCTGTGACCTTGTTTATCATGGAAAACAGTTAATTTTTGGTTTGACAAGCATGGACCTATTTTGAGGCCTCTACGGCCTCAAAATAGGTCCATGCATAGATCCAACTTCATTAATTTGCAGAATATCCAGTACTGTGCCCCTAGGGTTTGTGTCTCTGTTTAGTGAAGAAGTTGAACTTGACACCTTTTGCCAGATGATTGGAAAACTTACAAGTAAAAATAGCCAAAGAAGACTGGATGAAATAGTTCAAGAGGCATCAAATACAAACAAGAAACTTTGGGATTGATACTGTAATCCTGTAAGCAAAGGATTGTCTGCAGTTCATTTCAGTCAGTGAAAATGACTAGAATCACAGGCAGTACAAGGTTAAATGATAATCAGAAATGGAAAAGGGAAATTGTGGTATGAAGCCATAAGATTCACAGTGAGAGGCATCATCTTGTGAATGCTCAGATGATCTCTATCCATCCTGAGTGAACACTGGGAGGTTGAGGCCCTGGTGGGACATGAAAGCAATGAGATCAGATGTAGAAGAGCCGCACATTTGAGGTGGAGACTAGGAGGTCATCATCAAAGAATTTGGTCTCAATCACCACATTCCCGCTGAAAAGTTTCAAGCTCACAATAGAGAAAATGAAGTCTACAAAATGAGCAGCACACAGGCCTACTTACTTGAGGATATTGGCAGGCATCATCTGAGATTCAGGTGCAGCTTCAATAATGCTCTGCCATGTGTTGGTGGAATTGGGGATAACAAAGCCAAACTCAAACAGCCACTCTTCCAGGCACTGTCCCTATGACCAGGAAAAGGATGAAGAGAAAATATTTCTAACCATCAAGCATCCTTACATGCTGACTCAGACAACTGGTAAAACCAACCTTGAAGAGAACTTTCTGTTCAAGTCTGAATTTTTCCATGGGTTCAACTGAAGAAAAGTTAATCTCCCTGGATACAGCTCGACATTTGAGGATTTTTTTTGGTACTCTGGCTTCATGTTCCATTCCAGGATGAGACCTGTCAAATTCATTTAACCTAAATGATTATTTTAGTCAAAAGTATTCTACTTTAGCCTGGAAGTCACCCTAATGACATTTACTAGGGAGAGGAGGACCAATTACATTTTTAAGGGCAGCCATACTAAAGGGAATATTCAATTTGAAAAACTTTTTTTTGAAGCACTTCATGCCCTGGATAAAACTTCCAAAGAATGTAATTTGTCCTGTCTTGTCCCTGTTTGTCCTTTCCATGGGTGGGAACTTAAGACTGATACAATATATATCAGTCTTTAAAATTTAAAAAGCCAGCATAAAACAAGTAAATGAATCCCAGTCTAGGAAAAAGCCTTTTTTCAGTTTATCATCGTAAATAGTTCATGGCACTAGCAAAGGAGAAATAATGAGGGATAGGAATGAAGAAGGGAGGAGAAAAATACCAGGAGAGCCAAAAAAGTACCACTCTGAAATTCTTTGACATTTCATGATAAATAAAGCACTAAGAGGTGTTTTCCTTTGCAATGACTTGCAAAGGAATGCAAGATACCCTGCATCAATAGCAGCTAGACCTAGCCTTAAGTCAATAACATTGACTTATTTCAAAATGCAAAAGGAGTTAATGTAGTCAAAGTCTGTGAACTCACAAGTCTTCACTGGCTTGCCAAAGGACCTTTCCCGTATCAGCATCTCGTAGGTTCATCCAATTTCTAAAGTAAAGGTCAAGGAATTTGAATTTTGAATGAATTATATATGGGTTTGCTTGAGAAAATTACTTTGATTAGACATATTAATTTAATTCCAGGCATCCCCTTCACTTTCCTTGCAATTCCCGTTGTTTCAGGTACAGTGTGTTTCTTCAAAACTTTTATACATTCAAAAAAAAGCAAGGGATTGTTTTGGTGGTCCTCATTGCCATCCTAATAGGGGTGTGATAATATTGTTTGCTCTGGACATGAGATGGGAAGAGGAGGAGGCAGTGACAACCTGAGTCTGGCGGCATGCGGGTGGGAGGTTCTGGCAGACCGAAGACTGAGAGGGGGAACAAAAAACACATTTCCTTGCCAGCTTCTTTCTTACTTTCATGTCCAGCATGGTAAAAATGTGACAGACACCTCCTCATTGAAGGTAAAACATCACACAAATCTGACTGTAAAAGGAAAGAGGAATATACTACTGGCTGCAGTAGGTATATCTATGCAACTCAAATGGGTAATTAGTGCTTATAGCAAATATGTCCATCATCAGAGAATTACTGCTGGATGACACTAAGAAAATAGATTTGCAAAATTCATGCCCCTGTTCTCCTGTAAGCTCAAATGAAGTACAGATAGGAGACCCTTGGCTGATGGTGGGTACATCAGCATCATGGATTTGGCCAAACATTGGTTAAACTTAACCTCTTCACTGCCACTGATGAAAAATTGCTGCCACAACGGTGAATGTTCAACTCTACCTTTGATGACACCTTGTAATCACATAAAATAGTCTCGGCATTTCTTTCAGTAGCAGTGAGATATCAATCAATTCAAACAGAAAAGCCTTGAATGAATGCCAAGAGATGGTGGGACCATGTTTTCCCCTCACTAAATACTATTGTGATGAAATGCACTAAATAGGAAACCAGGTGCAAGGGCTGACTCGAGGCAAATTAAAAACTACTAAGTATTGAAAACATGCTGCAAGAAGGCCTAGAGACATATCCAAGGTGTTATAGTATAAGCAATACTAGTGTAGTAGCTAACTACTGCCATTGGAATAGAAAATGCATGTTTTAGCGTTTTGTTATATTACTGACATGCAAAAACTTGGGTGTTTTGAGGACGGAATCTATGGGAAAATTTTATTGACAAAGGGGTGAAACTGATCCAATTTCATAGTAGCCCCCTATGGGAATTGGTTAAAAGAAATAATATTCTCCCCCCAGAAACTCATTACAAAATCAGATCAGTTCATGGAACATGAATCAATCAAGTGCATGTCATCCAATACTTGGCTGTTGAGCTTATATGGGTACTTCCAAAAATTAAAATGAAAAAGTACCAAAGAATGTCTGAAGTATATTTTAAAAAATGCATAGGCTTGCTTGCCAATTTGAAGCGAAAAAGGAAGATATAGGCATAGCCCTTTGAAGAAAAGGATACACCTTGAATCCTTTGAGGATGTCCTCTGCCCTTGATGGCATGCCTGGTCAACCTATCACAGAAAATCTTGAGATATATCTTCTTATTTTTCTGTCAAGTTAGGTTTATTCTTTTGTCAATTGAATTACACAGGCCTGCCAGGCATGAGCTTATCTGCACATGGAATCACACACCTTGCTCACAGCATTCCTGTGATTCTCATTCAATGGTTAGCAACCTGAAAAGTCAAAGATGTAGTTAGCCATTTAAGAGTTAGAGGGGAAGCACTTTTTCCTATTTCACAGAGAGCTCCAAGGTGGATATATACAGGGTGCAGAACCCTATTTTGATAATATGCCACTTTGAGGCAGATATTGATTTTTCTTCCAAAAGGACTGGGCACTGCCCCATTGCACATTAAAAGTACATGCTTGGTTAGATAAAACTAAGCTCAACAAGTGGATAGGACATGGTGGTCCCATTGAATGGTCTCCTCGTATTCCTGATTTAATGCCCTTGAATTTCTTCCTTTGGGGTCATTTAAAATCTACTGTTTACACTTCTAGGCCACAAAATCTTGAAGAATTTAAAGAAGCTATTCAGCATGAGTACACCAAAGTTAATCCAGACATCCTTACCAATGTCCAAAGAGCCCTCCAAGATAGAATTGTCATGTGCAAACAACAACATGGCATGCAATTTGAACATTTGAAGCTCTAATTCAATTTCCCAATAAGTAAAGACTTCTTGGAACACCCTATACATGCCACTGAGTAAAGGGTGGAGGGACTCTTTCTTCCTCTGACCAGACACAAAGACCTAAAAAATTAATAATAAACCTCCTGAGAGCTCTAATGATGACCTGCAAAAATATATCAAGTAGCCATAAAGTAATATTGTCTTTTATAGGAGTTTGATTCACTCCATTTTTTATTACCCTTGCTTACTGCAATAGCACATGATTAGCAGGTTATTGTATTAATAAGTATATCCATGAGCTCAAGACAGGGCAGCCCTAATAACTTCTTCTTTCCAACATCCAGAAACTTGATATCAAAGAAATAAAAATGAAGCTAAATATACATTTGCTCTGTGGAGCAAATGACTTACAATTTTCTGAGTTTTCCCCCTACCCACACCTAAAGCACTATTGAAAGGACTCTCTTGACATCACAAGACCCAGACAAGCTCATGCTCACATCCTACATGACTTTTCTGAATTACCAAGAGCTGCAGCCAAGTCTACCATAAGAATTGCTGTGACTCACAGAATCCCATCTTTTAAAACACATCCTCATAAACATCTTACAAGAACCCCCTAACTCAGGTTTACCCATATGCTACCATACCAGAGACTGCTTCAACAAATAGTATGCCACTATATATATATACCACTCTACGCAACATTATTCTCAAGCATGGCTCCTCAGCATGAATGAGTAGAGGCTTTCAGATGCAGGTGATGCGAGAGATCAAATCTCACCATTGCTAAACTTTTTTGTCTGTTTCCCTCCTTTAGCCTACAAAATATATTTTGTGCAAGCCAATTTCCTGGTATTTTTCATTGAGGAGGGCTCAACTTTAAAATTGTGGATGAGGACTTTCTTAAGATACCTGGGTTGAATTATGAATTAGATCTAGGCTACCCACAACCAAATACCATGGAACCAAATGTTTAGCTGAGGCATGCAATAAGTCTAGGCTATGGAACAGTTCCAAGGCAAAGGCATGAGAATGAGACTTACTAACTTATTAGGCCTACAGACCTAACTAAGACCCTTTCCCAATGCTCAGCAAAATTGTCAGGGTGAGTTGTACACAACAAATACTGCAAAAGTGTTTTCGCAATGAATTTGTTTTTTTCCCTCTCTCCATTCAATGAAATGACGACTCTATGGACTAAGCCTGATTGAGGAATAAAGATGAGTTCACACAACTCCATGGAAGCACTGGCGTTACTGGTATTTCAAATCTAGGGGTATCTATCGATAAGCCAGTTCACATCATATGTGACCATGGGAAACGTTACCTTCGCTGGAATTGGTTGGCCCAACCAAAAGAATGGTTTACGTGAAATGGGTGTGTGAACTCATACAGAAAGCATTGTAACAATCCCAACATTATTCCAAAAACGTGCATCATAAGGTATGAGAGTCTTCAATTAGGGCCTAGGCCTGGGCATACACCCATGCCCATGTCGTTGAGGGGGTAAATGATTAACTTCCACCGATGCCTAACGTTTACAAACCTCGTGCTCACCTTTTGCTCGAAAGATCCATTCCGGCACAACTTTGAAATGAGGCTTAGTTTCTATCATTGAGCTAACAATTGTCCAAGAAGTTGCCTACGTGCTATAAACGGGAATATTCATTATTTGTCTGGGGTAATTAAGCTAGGCTTCTGATAATCTAAGTCTTAACGAACTCCTTTACCATTCCCAGTCAATCGAACCCTGCGCGTCGCCACATTCGACGGCTGTAGGTTGCTACAGCAGCAACAGAATATTTGATGATCGAGGAAATCTTTTGTCTCGGCTTTATTCGATGAAACAAAAGATTCTAGCTTTGATCAGTTTTTCATCTGAAAATGATACTTCTATGTCATTTCATGACTTAGTACAATTCTGAGGATGACAGTGTAAGAGTGGTAGTTTCTGATATCCACAACAGATGGCAATGTGACAGGGGTGCTAAGTGCGACTGCGTCCACATCCAGTATGCCAGTTCTCCTTCTCTCTGTCTAGTCGTATGTGTGGACGTCGTTGCAAGCCTCCTTGCCCTCCTCTCGAATTTCTTGTTTCTCCTGCATGATATCGGAATCATAGAGAAAGTGTTACGAACGAGGGAGGGACTGCCCGTGCTGTGGGTACCGAAATTTTGTGAAGTTCGGTTTTTGCTCCAGACATCTCGGACTGTATTCAGGATGAGTCGTTCGTTGGATCTGTGACTACTGTACAGGTGAGTCGATTAGATATCGCGACTTCAGGCAAACCAAAGGCAAAGGATCCTTATGTAGCATAGTTTGTTCCAAGCTAGTTATTGGCAATGAGACCTCAATGCCAAGGCCTCCTATGTGTACATGTTAAGAGTCCTATAGCGCTATAATATGATGGCATATTAATAACTCTTGTAAGTGGCTTCCACAACAAACCCAGAGCCCTTAAATTCAGAGAGTATAAACATTTACCCCGAGTCTATGAGACAGTCCAAGTCGAGAATACGTCATACTTCATTGTAGCTATGTTTCTGTGTAAAGAACTCCGATCCAAATATAAATTATATTAAGACATCATTATGTTCATATTGTTGAGTTCCGTTGTAATTCCAGTAATACTGCTATGAAGGTGCATTTTCCCTATTAGGCAGAGTCCCCCTTCCTGAATATGAAATATAGTATATATTCGACGGTACACACAGGTTCTTTTATAATCTTTTATCCACCAACATTACCATCCGCTTAACTCCATTCTATGAAACATTTTCCAAGGCGTCTTGCTGAAGTAAACCTGAAGCCCTCGGATTAACGAAGCTTTTGTCAGCGAGCACACTCTATAAATTTCAAGCAATATAGATTTCCAGGAAATCCCTGGCTATCCTTGAAGGCCTTCCCCTGCTTATCAAGGGAAGTCATGCGTCAATGTTTAGTCCTGTGGCAGCCTTTTGTTTACCACATGGGCGCTTCCAAATCTGTAGATATTGAGCGGAACACGTGGCAACCTGAAGCATCTTGACGTTAACCAGAAAAGCGCGCCACCATCGGAACCTTGCCGAAGAAGCAGGATCAAATGAAAACCCAATACAAGGTGGCCATATCGTAAGTTTCTGCTCCTATCGCAAAGTATCGCTTGAGTTGATTTCGGCGATGATCTCATAGTCACACAGAGGAACTTGGCACTCATCGTTTGTATTCCATGAGGATTTTCCATACTCAGTAGTTTCAAATTGTCCATACTCAGTAAACTCTTCGAAGACATGTGCACTCGTCGGACTAGCGGGCCCATCCAATTCAAACTTGAGCTTGGCAGTGACACCAACCTAGAACCTCACGCTGATCCTGATGTCAAAAGAGAATTCAGACGGGAGAGGGAATCAAAGCATTGCGTCATGCTCCTGCCGTATTTGCACGAGCATGGCGACTGACCTTGAGTGAACGTGTACATCCTGTAAAGAAAATCGCTAGTATGAGCTCTCATGGATGGGGAGGACTGTGCCACAGCATTTCAAACCAATTTGCTTAATGCTTAACGAAGAAAAATGAGACAGTTAATAGAAGGTTTATCATGAAATAGTTCGAAGGTGACAGCGGGATCTGACCTTTATGTTCACATCGGAGAGGACAATATCGGAATCGTCGCCCGCAACCGGTTACATTGCCATCATCATCAAATGAATTTATGAAGTAATTTCGTTCCAAGAGCTGATATTCACTATAAGATATACAGCAGAGAGTAAACCAACTCTCAAAATCATTCAATTCTTAAAGCGATGACAATGAATGGTGGAGAACTGTTAGCTTGGTTCATCTCCTGACCATGACATTTTTGCAGGTGCAGCTCAACGAAAGTAACTGAGAGTTGTAGACTACGGAAAAGCGAACATGAAACCAATGAGAACAAGCGAACGAAGGATGCAATGGAATAAGAGCTTCTCTCGAACCAGGAGAGGGATTCCTTTGCCTAGCCATGATCGATAGAGGCTCTGGAGTATGGGTGCCCTTCCCTCTCGTTCTCAACCTCGTTCTGAATCTCATCATTCCTACATCCTACTTTTCCTAAATTAGGAAAATCTGAGAGAGAGTAGAAAAAGAGTGCACCTTCATCGGAGACGTGGAATATGGGGGTTTTTTGTCATGGAAAATATTCCAGGCACTCTGCCGCCAGGAAATATTGCAAAAGTCATTAGACTGGAATGTCCTTGTTGACACGAGGAAGAGCAATGATACTAGATGCTCGGGGAAAAAAAGTATATAGATGTGTGCGTGTGGGGGATGAATGAAGGATGGTGTCTGGGCACGTGTTGGGGGAATCCAAAAATAGAGATGAAGGGAAAAACTAGGCCTGAATCCTCGTTCACTGCCAAAATAGAATTCCCTTTCTCACACCAGACATTATGGAGGATGTTGGTGTGGTATTCCATGTGTGTGTGCGTGCGTAGGACTTCTTGCCTATTTTTAGATTCCCCTTTTCTCTTCCTACATACTGAACTTGTAGAAAGGGTGACTGGGAAGACGTTCAACGAACTTTTTTTGGTTTTTGTAGTATATTTATGAAAATAGCGAGTCGTTGTTGTGTGATGAATTAGACTGTCATTTTTTAAAATATAAATATAAGCCCATATGAGGGCACTCAGCATTCTTGGAAATCCAATAGCGTCATTGAGATAGTGAAGTCTGAAGTAAGTAGTTGTGAAAGGCAAACGAACTGTAGCTTGAGAAAGGAGGATCCTTGCTGAGTGAAGTTTTTCGCCCCTCCCGCTTCAGGAAAACCTGACGGCTTCCGGCAAGTGAATGTTATCGACCAAACTTCGTGCCGAACCCCCCTAGTCCCTTTTATGTAAATGCATTCGGTTATGATGAGATTAATGCCGAGGGAGAAAGGTCATGTATATACCATTTCAAGCCACAGGGAGAGGTTGCATATCCGAGTGCCTTGCATAGGCTTGGAAGTGTCCGATAAGGAAAATGACGCAATGAATCACAGAGACGAGATAAGACAGACCATCTGCATCGACTCACTGATACGTGCATTTCCCGTGTGCCTCTTTGTATCTTATATCTGTGGAGAAGGGCGAGGTCGTCATTCGAATCCAACAAGGTGACTTTTTCTCGAGCATGCTGAAGGAACGAAGCCTGACCAGATGTTGGAAAATTCTTCTCGTATGCTGTGTAGGTGACGACATGAGAGGTCCCTCATGAAAAAAAAAATTGACGTTGAATAATGTAATCAGGGGATAGTCCAAGAGATAGATGTATTTCGGGAAACACGTGCGTATATCTGAAGTGACTGATTCCCTGCTGGGATTTGCATCGTATCCCTAACTTAAAAAAAAAATCACCCTTCCCCTTCACAACAGTATATTGTGGTCCCCTTCGTCGAAATGGGACCTCCTTGAATGTCGCGCTCCGAAAAGTATGCTCAAAAATTCAGTTTCTGTCGATATTTGGCGGTGCATGTAGACAGTGTTTACCATTGGGAGCGGCCCAGGTGGTGATATCGGTTATCGGAGACAAGGAATGCGACTGGCACACATGTTGGTCGATAATTATAATTTCGTCCTTGTTCCTCACCCCCGGTATTCCTCGACCGATGAATTCAACTCTCCTGAACCTGCGTGGTGTGGTTCCCCCTCTTTACGTAATGGAGCTTGTCCGGTCTATTTTTAGAAGGAGACAGGGATGCCGGATCTTTCCATCCTCCTACTCCTGTCGCGGTTTTTTTTTGGCGGATATCGAAATAGAGGGGGGGGGGGGAGGAAGAAAAGAGGATTGATATGAGAGAAGGAAAAAGGGGAGACATGGAGACAGGAGGAAGATGGAGAAAGAAAGGGGGGGGGGGGGGGTTTTCCTCCCTATCGATCCAGATCCATTTTTAGCCCACCGGTTCTTCCCTTCCCTTCGACCATGGAAGCCAACATGGATTCCTGGTCCCCCATCCCCCCCCCTGCTTTATTTTTGGCATCGCTACTGCCGCTTTCTCCCTCCCCTTTCGCCTCCGTTTGATATAGCCGATGATCTCTGACATTAAAGACATTACATTGTGTCCCCTGACTTCTGCTCTCCAGTCTCCGACATTCGGACTGAGATCCGTTTATTGGCCTAGAGCACCAAAGGCCGTTTCATCGAATGAACATCACTATGACGAAAAGTACCATTCCATTTTGATTTTCAACTCTTCGACTGGAAGGGAAGCAGAAAAGCAATTGGCAGAATTCACGTAACCCAAGCAACTCGTACGAAAAAGTAGGTAGAAATCCTATAAGATATTAATGTTTCGAAAATCCCATAGGATTGTTTCGTACGGGAAGAGATGTCTCCCTTACTGCCTTCGTTTGTAAGGAACAAAACAAAAATGGTATGGTGTCATTCTGCCCTTTGGCATTGCAAATAGGGGACCGGCAACTTTTGTAGTTCGTGCCCGCGAAGAAACTCCATAACTGATCCCGTTACTCACTAAGTCCACCAATATCTCCAAATTCACAATGGATTATCTGCTTTGGTCCTGTACTTCCGGAAATCTGTAACTACTTGGTTAGGGATCATCTTGTTCCTCGTTTTCCGACGACCGAGTATACAAACCAACCCGAGCCAAACACTATTCGACCAATGTCGTCACATGAGCTACCGTTGACCTCTGCTTGCTCTATGAGTGCCTTTTGAGGGTCTCAAGTACAGAAAATACTAACACTGACTTACTATCGAAAATACACAGTCCAACCTAAGGCATGGACATGAATCTTTCTTTATGTGATGGTTCATTCAGTATTTTAATATGAGATATCGTTGGACTGGTCTCACCCTGAGTGTGTACAGGTATATATGTGGTCTGAAATACTGACCCAGTACGGAAAATTGAAAGAAGTAATTTGCATTACCAAAAACCACTTTTAAGAGATTGACCGACCTAGACCAAAAGCCACTAAGTAGATTTTTACAAGCGTGACGCAGCACGAGAAAAGGGACCAACGGGGCCAAAAATATGACGTTTCCTTTTCACGGATTATTGCTTTAAGGAATATTTTTAAAAAGTGAACTCCTAAACTAGAATTGATTGAAGTGAAGTATTTTAAAGGGCTCAGCGCTAGGGGGAAGGAAATTCCTCTTCGCCAGGAGCAAGGGGTTCAGATCTTCAGAGTACGGAAAATAATCTTCTCCTCTCCTAAGATTATTGGTCCTCGTGGTATCCATTTTTTTTTAATACTTTTGGTATGTACTGAAGTATATTTCAAAAAGTATAAATTGAAACATACAGGGAAAAAAGAAGCTAAAATGTACTTACTGTTAACACATGCCCATAACTAAAACTACACGCCGTTCTCCAGAAATGAGGTATCTTTGAACTCATCTTGCTCTAGAACTTTGGAAAACGTAGTGTTGCTTTAGACATTCAAAATCAGACCGCGACATCCCTTTGAAGCCAGTCTTACTTGGACCTCACTTTCTCGTGTGACCATGATGAGCTAGGTTTGTAGCGACCAGGGATCGCAAAATCCCTAAGGAATGGCTTCCAACGAAAGCATACAGTTCTAAAACCCACGTTCTAAATGTGATTATGCTTCAGCACTAGGTTAGTTTTTCCACTTGGTTCATTCGATTGAATCCTGCTTTCCATTCTTTTCGTTCGCAGCAGTGCGTAATGAGAAAGTGAGGTCCATATAAGAATCATTGCTCGAGGAGAATTTTGAATACCGCACTATATTTTCTCCAATTTAGGATATCAAGTGAATCCATCTTCAAATGATTGTCATCACAGTAGGTTTTTATTTCCCGAAGTCTAGTTTCCCTGGATTTAACCCTCTCATGCATAAGGACCTTCTCTTTAGTACAGATGATGAGTCTGTATGGACCTCAAGTAAAGTCCACAGAGGCCTCATGCAAGGACAGCAGTTGATTCCAGAACTGTCAACATAAGCATTCAAAGCAATCAGAGCCTCCATAAGAACAGAAATTATGAAAATGGGATGAAAATTGTATGCATGAGAAAGGAAAGGACGTGATAACACAAGATTCTTCCTTTTTTTCACATGAGGGATTTCACTCTGTTGCCTTCCAGTCGATCAGGATTGCCCATGTCAACATTATCAACGTATTGACCAATATCCAGTTCGACAGACTGTTTGACGTGGGTGTGATGTGTTGAAGTTTCTCTTTGATCTTCTTGGAGGCCTGAACCACATCTATGATCTGGATTCCCTTGCTTTTAGCGTGGGCGTCTATCCTTCGTCGCCCGCGTATTATTCATTCATCTATCTCCATTATGCAGGCAATCGTACATCAGAGACAGCTTTCTTTATATTTTTTTAATACTCTGTTTTATCGTTTCCAATGACAAGGACGGACTCAGGGATTCGCGTCGCTATTACTTTTCTGATTATTCTTACTTTTTTCCTGGAGACCTCTTTCCCAGAATTCATTTATCCTTCTGCGGTCGTCAACAGCCTTTGTGAGTCGAAGCCCCTACTCTATCCATTGGACCGAGAAATCCTCCTTAATATTTTTTTTTTATCCTCCTCGACGGAGCACCATCAACGCATCGACGAGGATTCTTACCGAGGAAAGGCTGGCCTCATTTTACGTGGTTTAACGGGAGGGCTCATATATGATTATTTTTTTCCCTTCCCGGAAAATTGCCGCCATTCCCTGGCGTAATACAAGAGCTGGCTATTTTTAGGCACTGTCTTCGATCGACTGCCGTAAGACCTCTCTGTGAGACCCCAATCTGCTAAGGAAGCTGAATTTCTCCCTCAATATGCCGCTCCTTCCCGGATGTTCTCCCTCGTGGTGGAGAAAGACGTTTTGAGAGCTGGAGACGAACGCACTTCAATCGATTATAGTTCATTCGTTGTTTTTGAATGTGCGCTATGTAGTAATTGGATCGGATCAAGGGTTTCTTGTCACGTCCCAGCTGTCGCAATTCGAATCATCATCATTATCTCATGACGTAAATATTGAATTCTGAGCACGTGATCTCACTCGATCAGGGTCTTGGTATCACTACGCCATTCCATCGCCGCCTTCCACGAAGGCCATCGTGGCTTCATAAGGGGTTCATTTCTTGCATAGCTTTCTGCGTATAAACTAAAAAGCCTTTTCTTGCAAGATCAGACTGAATATGAGGGCGACGGGTTTTCACATTTCATGCGTAAATTGTGAATATTTCTCTTTCTCCTTTTATTAGCATGGCAAGAACTGAGTGGAATATAGGTCAGAGAAGGGCTGAATAGATCAGGCAACAGTGTTTGAATTCTAGCTTCTTTATTTCAGTGCTTATGTTCATTACTAGAGCTCATCACCAACTCCCTACTCCCAGAAACCAACAAAATCTGTCAGTAATCCGAAAATGATACAAATGCATAACTGTGAACTACTCGACTTGGAACTCGGTTTGCAAAATCGCGCAATTTCTCGTATGAATGGGATCCGAGCAAATCTAGGGTCCTTGTGAGGGTGGCCAAGCCTAGGGGATACGGGGTTTGAAGTTAAATTTGCTGGAAAGTATATAACAATCTTTGAAGTGCTTCATTTGCGAGATAATTTCATAACTTAGGAAATTCTTATGGCTTTTTTATTGGCTGTTTTCAACATGGCAGATTTCAATATAATCTCGGCACAAAAAATCTAACCTGTTTTGCCTTGCTTTACCATATGCTGAGGAATCTTGAGACAAATAAGGCAGGAGTTTGGTCTTGGGACAAACGGGCGAAATATAATGTGACACTTCCAATTTCGTTTAAATGCGTCTTCACTCGAGCAATTGACCGTCTTTCAATTGCTCCAGGACCAAACTCCCGTGTCATTTGCCTCTCGCTTTTTTGCAGCTTGTTGGGTAGTATTTTGTCGTATTGCTGGACAACTAATATAATACATAGTAAAGCCGAATTCGTGCAACCCATAAAAAAAATTATTACGCGGGAAGAAAGTGGCACCAAATCAGCATATTGTACAGAAATGAGGTTGAACATGTTTAGTATACATATCACTCACACATTGCTAAAAGTGGTCACCGCGTTCTCGAGTGCTCAAGTGAATGCGACGCTGCAGATTCTCTGCAACAAGCCATAAAGTGTCCATTGTCGTTGTCTCAATAACCTGTGTTGGCTTGGATAGTCTGCAGAACGTATGAATTGCTAATGTAGACCTTTGGGTAATCCTGTAAAAAGAAGTTGGGTGAAGAGAAGTCTGGTCACTTAATGACCAAAGGCCTTTGAGTGCCATTGCTATAAAAGAAGTCTTGAAGCAAGACCGTCGTTGCAAAAGTGGGGTGGCACGTTTCCCCATTTGTTGAGGGCCAGCCATTTCGGACTTGAAACCACCCAACTACTTTTTGTGGGGTTGCCAAAAGAGCTAGGTCTGTATCAATGACCCACACGATCTGCAGACTGTCCAAAGTAGGATCACCGTTTTTTTTGCTGCAATATCCCAGGAAATCTTTCAGCTTGTTGCGGATAATATGCAGTATCGCATACATTTGTACGTCCAAGGATGTAGAGAACACTTTAAGATCTTTCTGCGATTGGTATGTATGCCGTATATGTATAACTGCATTTTTGCGACAGCTTATGCTTCATTGTCTCTTTGTCCCCGTAAAACAATGTTTTTTCAGTTGTTGCGCGACTTTGGAATCACCTTGTACTATGAGAATTTGCATGACCATTCGAAAATGTTTTTGGCTTTCTTGCAAAATTCATCATATGGATATTCTCCACACTAGCAAAAGAGGACGAAATAAGGTAAATATCAAAACCTATTAATACTCCTTACCCCGGGTTGGCAACCGATGAAGACCTGGGACTTGTACGAGATGAGCGACGGAGAGAAGAAATTTGGAAGTATTGAAATAGAAAGATAGAGTTTCTATCTCCCTTGATCCACGTGAACCATAATAACTGGTTACTGTCCTCACTCAGATGAATCCAGTTTTCCTACGTAGTTGTGGTAGAATTGATGGTGATGGGGGACGAAGATACCTATATGAAAGAGTCATGAGAAAATTCTCAGGTACGAGGAGGAGGAACGAAGGACGCATGGAAAGAGTCGATCAGGAGGGCGGTAATCTTCGTCCTTGTCAGATAACGAATTATGTAGGACATGCGCAGACGCCTAAGAACTGGTTAAAGAAGTTGAGAGACCATGAACTACTAGTTCAAAGTTATGCCTGGAGTCTGTAGTACATCACCTACTTTCTTAAAATAGAAGCTTTGCATTAGAGATGCACGACATGTGACATCGACAATGAACTAACATGGGAAGATGACTGCATTTATTAGAGATCACCTGTACCTAAATCTCTTCAATCATAAAGGAGATAACCCCAATTGATTCGAAAATTCTATCTTGATTCGATTCGATATTGGAAAATGGAAATGAATAGTAACTAAATTTCAGTATTAAGTAAATGAAACATTTAATTCAGAATTTAGAAATAAGGAATCCGATTATAAATAAAATAGATTTAGATTAAATGAATGTATATTATTATTTTTAAAAATAATTACAATCTATTATTGACGTTTAACTGTGCCACTGTGAAGAAGTCCTCAGTCCGAGAAGTCGCTTGATGGAGAAGCCTTCATCCCGACAAGAGGAGAGGTAGAACTTGGAGGGTTTCACAGCCTGGTGAATCGATCGAGTGTTCTGTAAACTGAATCACGAATCTCTAGCAGTGACGTCAGAGTCGCAGGGAGGGTCAAAGATGATGATATGATGGTGGCAGAGAGGGGAGCAGAAAGGAATCGGAATCTATCTCTCTTAATAGCCGCGTTCAATTCACACATGAACCCGGAAGTTGGGGAAATGAAGAAACTCATTACAAACTCTTTTCCAGTTCCCTGAAATTTCATGGATGGGTGGTGACACGAGGAAAAATGATTTCTCGATCCCAATCATGAGATATGATGAAGAAACCCCCCATCTCCTCCCTGAATATGCAGAGAAGGAGTGCATTATGTTAAGCGTTATGGAAGTCGTGGTGCACGAAAAGGTGAAAGGTAAGGGCTCGTTTGATGGGCGTTCACCTCTCGGCCAAGGTCTTCGAGGTTGTATCCATCATCGATCCTTGTTCGATCCCTTCTAGGCATTGTATGGAATCCATAAGAAAGAGGAAGCACAGAATGCCCTGATGAATTATGAGATACTTTCATTCGTGAATAGAGGGATAGGCTTACCGGAGGAAGAATGGATATGGATGCACTGTGATCTGAAAGCTCTAGGCTGAATCGAACCACATCCCCCTGGTCTTCCGGTCCAGTGCCCGGACCGCTCAGCTATAAATAGCCCCTTATTCATTTCATTAGCACCCTTCTCTACCATACCATTTCATGGAGACGATCCCTGGAAGTGAGATTACTCTCATTCATCCCCTCGGCAATTGGACCATGATAGGCAAGGAAGCGATGCGAAGCCACTCCAAGGCACAAGATGCTAAAGTAAATTAGAACTGGTCTCGTGCATTTTGAGGATGACTTCGTCGTATTTCGAATTGACTGTACAGCGTTGATTTTCCAGATGTCCATTCAAACAGATACGCAAAGTTAATCCGAATCCACTCCATGTAGTTGTAGCTCAGTGTTCTGAACACTGTACTATTAAGTTTGTGCCCCGTGGTACAGAGCGAAAGTGATGCTTTATAGTCAACATGTCACTCCTTTTTTAACTTCTCGATTTCTTCTAGAATATTGAAATTATTAGTATAAATATAAAATAATTCTTTTTCGGAAGAGTGCTATGGAGTACCTGTTCGAAAAGCGTGAGAGTCGTGTAATGGTTGTTTGAAACGAAATCTGTAGCCGATGTGCGAAAAAAATTCCAAACAATTTCATCACGGTGCATCTGCACCGTTCTGGTCACAATCAAGCTGATTGTTTAATCCCACAGAACGGTAGCAGATTTGCACCCGGTTCGGTGCAAAATCATAAGTTAATTGTAAGTTAATGGATATTGTGACCGAGGCTCTCAACTGACTCACCTGTGATCACCAAAGAAAAGGTTGACCTCTCTTGGAGAAGGTTTATTTGTTTTCTCGCAAGTTTTGCACAGATCTAATCTCATGGAAATTCTCAAGCGGCCTCAGATTTATTTTCGTGGAGGGAACTGCTGCACAAATATAAAATGTATTCGGAATCGTTTGCATGTCTGCAATGAATTTTTCTTTAAAAAAAAGAAGGAACATGATTTTCGCTCGTTTTTTGATCGGGTGCCCCAAACCACATTTCCTTGAAACAATTTTTTAAAAAATCTGAAGCAAGCGTTGGATATACAGTATTTAATGGCGTTCTGAGGTTTCTCGGTTTTGATCTTTTTACCGACTGATCATTTGACCTAGAAGAATTTTGACGAAGTCAAAAGAAGAAAAGGTAAGTTGGCCGTTAAAAATCGCTTTCTGTACACTCGGTACGATGAATTAGTCTTTTCGTATTTGTGTCTCTCAATGTATTGTACCTTGTAATACGCTTTTAAACGGTTGTTAGACGCATTAGTTTCCGAGCATTAGTTAGTGATGTCACGAGGGACAATCTGCTTGAGGCTATAAATAGGAAGAGATAAAAGAAAGTCTTCCATCTTCTGCATGATAAAAGATTTCTTCCATTTCCCATGAGAGATACGGGGTCACTGAGGATGTGTGGCGTGGGCGCATGTGCCTTGCTTATTTGACTTGCAATTGCTTTGTTCAGAGTATTGGGAAATAGATTGGAAAAGGCATCATGGTGAAGTTTAAAGTGTCTTTCACTTGAGTCAGACAACAATGGGATATCCCTAATGCATGAGTGTCGAAGTCAAGTGAAAAAAAGGATTACTCGAATGAAAAGCACTTTATTCACTGCGCATATGGAGCCTGAATGGCAATTGAAATTGGGAGGAATCTGCAGAAAGGCGAAGCGTTGGACGTTGTTTTGCAAATTAATGCAGTTCCCGTGGAAAACAACAAAGAAGAAAAAAAGACGGAACGTTGCCTCGTTCCTGTACCCAGTACCAATCCCGTCTCTGTTCATTTTCATTCCACTCCTTCTGTGTACACCAGTGTAACTTTTTGTGTATATCCTCCTTTTTTTTCTCGTTGCAGATCATGTGATGTGAGTTCACTTGGGCGGGACATGGAGATAAACCCGTCCTTTGCTCCTCTGCCAAAGAAAGGTCAGTCCTATCCTCATCGTATGAAGACAAATGAAAGAATCTCATTGATTGGGGAACATCTGGAAATGTGGGGGGAATCTTCCATATTGTACCGCGCTGGAGCATCGAATCGATACGCTCCGACCTTTGACTTTTCCAAGACCGTCTTTTTTCTTAATATGGACTTGTCCTAATATGAAGGAATTACGAAGATGATGTCGCTGCAAGCCCCAAGAGGTTATTAGAGAAAATGGCTTAAATGGAGCAACGAGTCCTTAGATTGCTGGAGATTAACCGTATTCTCCATTTTATTTTATTTTTTTTTTTAAGTTCGTCACATCTTTGGGTTGCGGCTGCCCTTTCCATACGTTTTGTTGCAATTCAACTTTACACGTTTTCTTGGTTCGCAGGGGACGTGGAGAGCAATAACAGGGGTTGTGTGACGGAGACACCCGTTTACCCATCTCTCAATTCCATCGCCATCTCGGGAGTCATGCTAGAGAACCTCCCCCACGAAATCATCCAGGTCTCACAGCACGATATATTCATAACGTATTGTCTTCCTCAGTGGACCTCTTGAAATGACATAGGATTCCATAGAGTTTCATTAGAAATATCTCAATGGGTGCCTCCAGAGCTATCAAGTAGGTTGAGGAACCTGAATTCAGGAAACTGGGTATGGTGCGGTGAAAAAATTGTAATACAGTAACAATAAACCGAAATTGTGCTGAAACGGAGTTCGTAATGAGCATTCGATGAAGTGAAGAGTTTGGTGTAAGATTATTGTCGCTATTAACTCAAACTCACCCACTAACCGCAATTTCCGAGAAAATGCCGATTAAACTCAGAAGTCAGGCCGGAACGAGGAGTAATGAGGTCCTCAAAAATACTGTCATTTTTGCATGCATTGACAAATTTGCAACTCCATACGGAAGTGGTCGTTTCTCGATAATCTTAATAGGTTAGTTTTGATCTTTAAAATGCGGCTTTGCCCTATCATCTTGGATCGAGTCCTGACACTCCACAGTGGCGACCCGCTCCCAAGAGCCTAGGAGTCGTTATGCACTCCAAGGCTCTTGGGAGGGGTCCTCTCCCTAGATGAGGACATCCTAGTTCAACTTTGGTGCGGCACCAGCTTGACGTCATCGCTTCCCGGCGTTTCATGGAACGGCGTATGAATGAATAATATAATTGCGTTTCTATTTCCGTTCAGGTTATATCAGGTGTAAGGAGGGAGCGCAGGTGTGCACGGCCGTTTGTTTTATTCTGAGGCTCATTATAATGCTGTGATCTGTATTATTTTTAGCCAGCTCTCTGGCAATGTATGCGAAGTCTTGAAATATAAATTATTTAAATGTAACTTCCTTTTTATTAGCTGAAGCAGCAACAGCAGCTAGAACAGCAGTTCCTCCTACAGCACTTCCAGGCTCAACGGAGGCAGATGTACCAGGAACACGAGAAGCAGCTTCAGGAACAAATCAAGGTCGGTTTTCTTTTTCCCTAACAGCGTCTAAATTCCAACTTAGGCGACCTGTGCAATGGGTCCTCCATTTTTTTCCCACCCTCTAAGCAGATGTATTTGGAGAAGCAGAGTGCGCAAATGGAGGAAGAGGCAAGGCTGGCGGCGGAGAGGGAGAAGGAGAAACTGGAAGCCTTGAAGAACAAGGACGAACGCGATCAGAGTGCCATCGCCTCATCTGAAGTCAAACAGCGTCTACAGGTTGTTTATTATTATTATTATTATTTATTTATACCATAAGCTGTCCCAAGAGATGAAGGAACGTCGCTGGTTCCTTAATAATAATAATATTCATGGAGTATGTGTAACGGTCGATGTTGACACCAAAATATTCTGCCGGTTGCTGTCATTCGATGTGCATTTCTTATTTTTATGTGACGGTTGATAACCATACATGATAACTGTATTCTTTCGCTTTCTGTACTGAATAAAAACTTTGAGTACCTATGGAGTAAATATGGAATGGTAGTTACCCGTAAAATACGAACAATAAGATGGAATTCGGTTACTCAGGGTGCGGGTATATCTAGAATGACATGGATCGTTTGTAAGCAATTGCATATTTTTGTACAGATCTGCATTGACTTATGGGTCACGCCCTTGGTTATTGAGTGATCAATTCGAGGAAATTGGATGCTAAGGATGCGAATGTGCTTGTTCACTAGGAGTTTGTGTTGAACAAGCAAAGAGAGGCTGCAGCTGCCGCTTCAGGCGGAGGAAGTGGCGGCGCTGGGGCTGGATCACCCACATTACGAAGGTCTGTTTCCTTTTTTGTTTGATTTTTTTCCTCCTTTTCATTTTTATTTTGTTCACGTGCCAGTTTCAAAAGATATTCGGGATGGGAAAGGCGTGCATCGGAAAGTTGCCCATCTTAACTGGAAAGTTCCGCTCCTCTCTGGAACCAATTTGCTTTGACTGTAAACGTTTCAAGACTTTGAGGAGCTAACGTCTTGCAGGTGCCTCCTTCACATGAATGAAGATTACGAAGCTTATGCTATGAACATTTTTTTTATTCAAGTGGAGAGAGCACCTGACGCCACTGCCTACAAATTCTGAGTTCTGGGGAAGTTCTGGAAAGGTTATAACATAAACATTAATCTAATAACTGCCATGGCCGACGTTTTCGTCGTGGCCAAGATGGTCGAGAACAGTTCGTTGCAGGTAAAATATCGTATGCGCGTTTGGTCGTTGTAATACCTCGAAGCTGACACAGATCCTCGCACTTGCACCATCGGCTAGGGTGAATGCAAGGTGAACGAGTGCATACAAAAAAAAGAAGGAATCGAGTCCCGGAGATCCTGGAACACTAGGGATCCTGACCGAACCACCTCAGCTGGGAATAGTAATGGAATGGAATAGGTCGCGATCATTATTGTAATTTTCGTGAGCAAATCGTGCGAGTGCAATCTTGAGTCATGTCATTGCGTCGGCGGCACTGGAATGGGTCAAAGATTCTAAAGGTGAAGAAAAACTGCACTACGAAGAGTATCTTTGCAATTTCACCCCCAGAGTACTACAGTGCACACAGTTCTGATCGCGTCCGCGTGGCCAAGACATTTTGGAGCAAAATGCCGCAGCTCAATACAGTATTTTTAAACGTGCAAACTACTCTTCATAAATTGCCTCTAACTGCTACTGGAATAGCGACGTTCGCAGGTACTTGGACAAGAATGTTATGGCAGAAAGGAAAAGAGAAGGCAGCTGGAACGTGTAACAGCAATAACTGGAGAGGCGTTCCTGCGCGCCTTAGATCCGGATGGTCTCCAAGTATTCGCAAATTGGAACATTTGAAATTGGTTTACACGTCCCTGAACCCCCCCAAACCCCTGTTCATGATGGCATCTCTCTACTTCTCCATCCCCCTCTAGCCCAAGGGTCGGGGACGCAGAAAGATATCATAATCAAACGACCTGAGAGAGAGGCTAGAAAGGCACAAAGATAGGAAGAGAAAGGTGAAGGTCACGCTAGTCACATGTGGCTTTTCACTTTAGTAAAGTGAACCTGTCAAGGAAACGTCCTGCAGGTGTGACGCAACTGAATTTTATTCTGAAAACGGAAGGACGATGATTCAAATAAAAGGCGTGAATCGCGTACAGGTTAACGAATTTCCAGATGCATATCTGAGCAGTGATATTTGGGCTGAATCCTGAAATTAATTTAGTTCATTTTAAGCTTTTTCCGATATCGAATGTGCTTTTATCTCTTAGATTTCCGTTTCCACTATTTCATAAGATTTTTCTTCGTTTCATTTTCTTTGTTCGCGTGCTCACTCCGTTTCGAGTTTTTCTTTAGTATACCTCTCCTAATGATTTGAAAACGCCTTCTTGCATTCGGAGACTCGGAGACATTTGAAAGACAGGTCATGAGTATTTCAAACCCCCCCCCCCCTCCCCAAACTTTAGGGCTGGTTTACTGTTCACCGTTTACACGCAACTCGCTAAGTTAGCGCCATTCGCCAACCAACACCAACGCATGAATGGCGTTAACGCCATTCATACGTTACTGACTCTGAGCAGGGTAACATCTCAGCATTCGGTGAAGAATGTCTAGCTGTCGAAGTCTGTTGATTGATTTTTTCACCTTAGCCGGTGTACTTGGCAACGTATTCAAGGTGAAGGTCTGTAGCATCTTTAAGCGCGAGATGCGGAAATTACACAACAAGCTAGAATGTTTCCTACTCTAGTTAGTTCCTTGCCATCCTGCGATATCACCGAAGGATTTGCCTCGTTGACATCTGATTATTTTTCCAATAATTGGAGCCTGTTTTGGATAACCTCAAAGAAACGTGCTAAGGACCATTAGAAGAGGGTAAGAAAAACGCTGTTCTCAATTTTAATGTGGAATTGTTCTCAGCGTGCGATCGAGTATCTTCGAGGAAGGACCACTCGGGAGGGCAGCACAGCCCCTTCATCCCCAGCCTGTCTTGCATGCATCCTTCACGGACGAAATTAATGATAACATCCAGTAACGTTGTCATGCTCTGGCAATGGGACGAACAAATACCAGTGTCGATGAATAATTAATGGCGTAAATTGAACTCGCATATTAAAGCCGTAGTATGTCGTTATGGCCCGACAAGTAGAAATACTGACTTTTCTGCATCGTGTGGCTCACAATTTTGATTTCAGACTTTTTTTTTTTAACGTAGACTGGGACGGACAGACAAGGACAAATGCCACAAGCGGCAACACTGAGTAGAGGAAAGGGAATTCTATGTCGGACATTCCTGACGGCATTGTCCCACCTTCCCACTCTTCCTGTCATAATATATCTCGTTTTCACGGGCCCGGGGAAGGTGGTGGCAGCTTCGATGCCGCTTCGGCCATAGGCCTTCCATCGCGCCACATCGGGCCGCTAGGGCCGATGTGGCGGGTGCTATTGAGGTGCACCAAGCCCCTACCTCTCATACAATGGAGCAAAGAATGGCTTTCGCTTCAGTCCAAGGGAGAGCAGGTAGCACCCGAAAGTAGCCGGGTGAACTGTCGGCTCAAGAAAATACTGCTAGTCGTCGAACCTGGACCTCCCCGCGTGCTCTTATCCACTGAAGTGACGCGGTCTTGATTTCAGACTTTGTTACTAATTCCCGAACTGCATCACAGGTGCCTTTGTTAGAGTTTCCATACAGACTGCCTCCTAGTGCCTTGCTTGCGTTGAGATATTATGAATTCATCCCACCCTCCGTAATTCCCTAGCGACAAGGAGAGTGCGACGATTGTCCACGACCTATTGTACGGAGATAAAAATGCCAATGCCCCTGATTTTGATGGACGCCGAAGCGTTTTCGAAATCCCGATCTTGCCCATACGCTATGTCCAATTAGGACTTTCCAATTAGTCTTGTTTTTAAATAACTTTCAAATGCTGCACATAATGTTCTGCAGCGTAGGATCCTCCCAGATATAGTCACCTAATGGTAACTATAGCAACTAATATGATGACTGATAATGGGAAAGAGATCAGAAAATAAGTCGTGATTGAAAGGGCTAGCGTAGAGCAGGAAATACATAACGACTCGCGAAAAGACTCTGAAAATGCATTTTCAACGATGAAACTAAGAAAATTAATCTACTTTTTCGAAACCACGTGCTGCATAATTTTTCGCGAGAGCGCAAGTCCCAATAAACCAGACGATCGCGTCGGAATTGCTGATTGAAATTGCTGATTCATCCCTGGCGAGAAAAAAATTATTGCTAGTGTAGTTAAGACTTAGGACTGTGACTAATGTTAAGAAAAGGGGAAAGCGAGAGGAATTCATTCGTGCTATTCATCTGGGAGTTGAACATCTTCAAGCATCCTCATAGTACGCAACGTATTAAAGGCTGGTTTCATTTAGAACAGGTAAAAATCACAAAGTGGTAAATAATTAAAAGTAAGTATTTTGGACAGATGTAAGAGTGGGATTGGGCGGGATGGGAACAGTGGCGTTCGCAGGATTTAAGGAATGGAGGCTTAGTATTAAGGCAGCGGAAATCGAGCGAGAGGGAAAGGTGAGGGTTCAGCTGGACCAACGAGAAGGTAAGGTTGCCAAGGGGTTCGAGCCCCCCATGCCCCCCCCCCCCCAACCTCGTCCGTGTGCGCCACTGGATGGGAATGGAAGTTGAGTCGAGACAGGCCTGTTTGCCTTCCTTAAGCTGACTATATTTCGCGGGACATAGTGCAAGATTCAGGAGGAAGGAACGAGGAATAAATTATGGACTCCCTCCCTCTTCCAATGCCAATATCGGGAATCGATGGCCATGGCCGTGGCGTGATATGCCACGGGATGTACCATGCAATGCACTAATACCAGTCCAAATACTCAGGTGTATCCAACCCGCATACTGTTTCTTCGTCTCTGATGAGAATATTTTCGTGTCTGATCTCATTCCTGTCATAATACACTGTCTCTTCTCGGCGATGATGTCAGTCTTCTCTGGCACCAGCGATGGGAGGGGGAAAAAAATCTCATCACGCAGCTTTCACGTGGTGATTCTCTTCACTACTATACGTGGGCCTTGGAGTAAGCTATTATTATCGCTAGTGGCGCAACCAAACCAAGTTTCCGAGGGGGTTCCTCATCATCTCTCATCCCCACCACCCGATTTCCCCCCTTTGGACACCGACAGTATTAGGCGAAAATTGATTTGGCATTGAACGAATTTTTATAATTATTTTTTTATGTAGCTCCTTGCTATCGGAGTACTTCAAGTTATACGTTTCTAATTTCATGCGCTCTTATTCGAAATATGAACTTGAAAGATCTTGAGAATTAGATTCCTCAAAGCACATTAGGACGTCAACTGCTACTAAGTATAGGTGGAGATTAGCCTTGTCGGGGAGAGAAGTATTGCAAAAACCGAAAGAAAAGAGTTTGGAAAGACAAAGATATTGAGTGCAGCAATGGTCACTGTCAAATGTGTTTGCTATACGTTTATTTTTTTTGTTGCCAATCTGTCGTTGTGTTTTACCTGTTGTAAAAGGGGTCTTTGAGGAAGGGTTCGAACCCATTAATCCCTTCCTCCCCCTCCCTCCTGGTTGCGACACTGCCGCATACATAAAAATTTCCTTACTTATAATGATTCCATCATGCTTCAAGTCGGAGTTGACGATTGTCATCAGTGTAATTATGTTGTTGCAGCCATTTCGTGCGGAAATACGAGGATGACTTCCCGTTGCGAAAGACGGGTGAGTTCATGTTCATCTGTTCCTCATTTATTTTCTCATCCTCCTTCCCTTTCGGGATGATGAGATCCCAAGGAGAAAAAGAAAAGAACTTGTTTTCCCCCAGCATGACTTCTTTTTTTTTTTTACCCCACTGTTCTTTTCTCGCGTGCTATTTTTAACCCTTGTCCAATAGAAATTCTCTGTGGGTATTTTTGCTGAGAATTGAGGGCGACGGGTAGGGAAGTGCTCCTTAGAAGATTCACCTCAAACGTTTAATTTTTAACCTCATCATGAACCCTATGAGCTGTATTGATCTATTGACCTGAATGAGTCAAATATGCTTTTCCATCACGGGAATCCTCGAGTGATGCAAAATGAATATACTAGAGGGAATGCTGAGCGCTCCTCTGGGGAAACGGAGTTCCTCACACTATTATCAGGGAGGGAAGACTAAGGAAAGAACAGAAGAGGGAAAAGGGAAGAGATCTATTGGCAGAGATCTATTTATAGATGTAGAAATTAATGGCCCACGCAGCATCCTTTCCTTCCTCCCTTATCTCTCTCTCCTAACGTCAATAGAATTACTCTTGAAAGGAGAGAAACTATTTTTAGTAGTATCGAGATCTTTGACTTCCCCTCTCTCCCACACCCATCAATTTTGACCTGATTGAGTCCATATTCTTCCATTATCTTATTCCATCCCGGATCTCAGTATCTTCTTCATATTCATAGTCATAAAACATCGACTCGTGGAACATGGGTCAAGGTTTGGAGTCAGTCATCTTTCTCCATCTGTCTTCTATTTGTACCTTTTTTGTCCTTCGCCCCTTTATTAATGAGACCACCAACATGGGCGCCTCATATTGGCCTCATTTTTTTTCTATTCTTTGAATGGAGGCATGATGAATATGTCGGCCTGGGTTCGGTTTTCCTCCTTACTAATGACTGCCTCGATGACCTTTAACCTTGGATCCATATTCCATATTCCCCTGTGAAAGTGGGCGAGTGTTGAAAGCCTTGGTCCCGGTTCACACCCAATGCACTTGTTTTTAATATCGACAGCAATGCGTGTGCATTGCTGTTTCGATATTCGAGATCCAGCCAGAAATAAAAGGAAAAGGAACCCTAGGGAAATGTTGGACACAGGGAGCACTTCCGAAATCAATATCCCAATTTCTTCCCTCAAACCCTTATATGCTCTATGAAAAATACATGGTTTGGTATCGACGGCATGTATTGATTGATTGCACGACTATTGGTCTTGTAGTGCATGAGTGAGTGACTGCATACAAGGTTAGCGTATAGACTAATTCTGTGTGTACTAACGTTGATGGGTGGTGAGTGCAGCATCGGAGCCGAACCTGAAGGGAAGGTTAAAGGGCCGAGTGATGAGTCGTGGAAGTCCCTTGAACAAGAGGCGCGATCGCTTCCACCCCCTCGTCAAGAGACGATCCCAGCTCGCCAATGCCTCTCACTTACACAATCGATCAGGTCTCCCCTCTCTCTATCGCTCACTTTCCCATCAACACTTACTTTCCGGCAGCGTGTTGAGGTGCGTTCGGAAATTGAGAACTCGGGCAGAGAAGATCGAAAACCCCTCCAGATTATCCTCATTTTTTTCTTTTTGCAAAACATTAATTATTATGCAAAAAAAAGCGTTAGAAATCGTGTATAATTCTCTCGGCTGCCCGAAAGGACCTGTCCAAAGGTTTTCTATACATTTTTTACATGTGTCTTCGTAAACGCTGTTGACTTTACTTCTCAAGAGTGTCATTTTCTAGACGCACCCCTATGCACGGTAGTGCATCGAATGCAGATCTGCCAGACTTCTTATTACGTAACACAGTCTCACGGCATGGACCGCATGACTTAGATGATTTTCAGAATTGCTATCGATTCTTTGTTCTGACCTGGATTTCCATTTCAATTTATTCATTCGTTGATGTGTTGTGTGTGGTTAGTGGATTCGAGTACTGCGAGCACGCCCGACTCGGACCCCAACAGTCCGCCTAGCGCCGCCAGTGGACATTCCAGCAGTGGCTCTACTATCCACGAGGTCTGTCACTCCACTTCCACCATTATTTTTAAACATTTTCAGTTGCGCAAGTAATGGATCTGGAAACAATAATACAGATCTTGGGGATCCCTTCCATATTATTATAGCGTAGTGGCTGCGGTGACATTGTCAATGCATTATGCTAAGGCGCAACTTTTTGCTCTCCTCCCTGACCCTTTCTCATCAGGTCGCCTTAGGGTACACCTGTTGAACAATAGCTTCGAACATTCAAGAACGGATGTTGAAACTTTTTGCAGGTGTCATTAGTAACTTTTTTCGTATTTAGGAGCGCATAAGGAATAGCGATTTTTTTCTCTCTTCCATTCCTTTCTAGGAACTAATGAAAGGGGAAAAAAATTGACCTGAGATCTTCTCATTTCTAACCTTCGCTTTCGTATCCCTACCATTCATCCCTTATATCTTCAAAAATGACTCTTGACTCTTTCACAAGGAAGCAAGTAAAAAAATAGTTTTTCTTAAATAAACTTTATGCCCTTGAATGCCTTATTTTTGCGGAGGCCATTCTTACGTTTCTATATGGTATTGGACTTCTCTCAAAATGGGATATAAGAGCAAATTTTTCTTTCCTCATGGTTTGCTTATGCCCCATGACGCTATCTGAAAATGCTTTGTTGTGCTTAAGGACTGCATGTGTAATTGTTCTGTCTTTGGTCTCTCACTCAGGAGAATCCAATAGGAGGAGGGGGTGGAGGAGGAGGAGGATGTGGTGGTGTGACCAACTTGTTCCCGGCATTCCCGGCCTCCATCGCTGCATTGTATACCAGCCCCAGTCTCCCAAATATCTCCCTTGGGAGACCTCCCGCCCCCCCTGCCTCCATCTCCACAGCTCACGCCACTGCTTTGGCTGCTGCCATCAATCATGTGAGTCCCGCACGGTTCTCTCGACGACTCTGTTCCGACAGCGTTCATATTCAATTTACTAGATGCAGCTTTCAGTGGGGTTTTATCCTTCCTTTGACAGTCTATCCCATGTTCCATAAATCCCAAGCGCTGATTCTTTGCGACATGATATAATCCATTGCAAAGTATTGAAATTTGGCGTCCAAATTTCAATACTTATTTCAATAGTCCCTCCTCCGATTTACAATAATTTTTGATAGGTCTCGAGCATTATCAACCACCGCAATGCCGAAGACGTCTGGGTGCTGAAAGCTCTCATGATCGAATAAGACACGTATTTTATTTTCGTCAGTCGGAAGCGTCGAATAGAAGGAACGCCGGAAAAATGGAATATAGAATATCTGACATAATCGACAGGCCTCATAAAATGAAGTAGCCGCAAGTAACCACATAAATATTAATAATTTTCTGGGTCAAGAATGTTCGTTCGGGCTATGGTAAGGAGTCCATCCAAGATGTGAGAAATTAAAATAACCATAGCTATGGGAATTCCAATTTAGAAAAAGTTTTCGACGTCAAAAGTTTTGAATCGCTGATGAAGAGAAGCTCCATTGGATGTCTGTGGGAATTTATGTGTGAGAAACCTAAAGCTCTTCCTGCTTTTCCCTACTTTCTTCCTTAGCTCCTCGTCTCATTTCATTGTTTCTCACTGAAAAGTCATACCCGGCAGATTCTTGAGCAAATTTCGGAGAAATTATGACACATTTCTTGAAGTTAGCAGCAGCTTTGCTTACATGAAAGACGAAGCTTTTCTGGAGTATGAAGACATCTTGAATGTTTCAGCTTGACAAAGAACATTCGAAGTCACGTGTCACGTTATGTGGCTCACATTCAATCGTTATTGGGCTTTGAGACGTTCGATATCCTGTGGTATTCCAGTAAAAGGCCAAGACCTACCTTCATGCCTCCTACTTTACATTTTGGCCTGGTTGACTTTCAGTCATGACATACCGTAGATCTTCAGTATTTCGCTATTTGTGTGCGAGCCCTTCTCTGATCATGATGATAATTCCCCCCCCCCCCCCCCCCATTCCAGCTATGCAGTTGCCTTTTCTGGCTCTATCTTTCCCTAAAAGCAGCTATAAAATAGAGGCTTTTTAGTGATGCCATGGAAGAAGAAGGAAGCAATTTTGAAAGCCTTTTTATGTCTTCATGTTTTCATTTTCCATTAATTTTGGACTTAAAAAGAATCTCATCCATTTACTCTCAAAAAAAGTTATTTTTTTTTGCTTCGTTTCCTCCGCACTTAAGATGTTTCTGGCTTTTAGCTTGGCCCACATTGTTTTTCTTGGTATGAATCTCCGAATATGAAGATGCTCGTCTTTCCTGAGAAATAATTAGGAAATAGCGTTTAGCATTAATGGCTTTGTTTGGCTTTAATTGTCTTTTGAAGTCCCTTAATGCTTTTAATTGAGGGAAATTCCTACTTTCACTCTTCCAGGTATATGAAAATTCATTTGAGACCCCTGAGATGACATCCTTTCATGTTGCTTCTGAAATATTCTGCTGATTAGGGATTCCCAAACTTAGGAGGTTCATGGAGGCAAATATCTCAGCCCCCCCCCCCCCCCCCCCCCCCTAATCTTAATGTCGCTTTAAAATAGACAAAAAACCTCCCCCCCCCCCCCCCCCCCCCCCTCCCCCTAATCTTAATGTCGCTTTAAAATAGACAGAAATCAACTGCAAGATCTGGAAAACTTGATGGGTCCATGTCCCCACATAACAGCGAAAACGGAAATACAAACTGGCATTAGCGATCATTAGTATCCTGCACTCTCTGCAGACCCGTTAGGAAGCCGGGTCATGCACCTCTCTCCCTTTGGAGAATCAGATGCAGTCCAGATTTCCAAATATATTTGTTTTTGACATTTTATTGCATTCCCAACAGTACACACTACAGTAGCGCAAAGCTCTAGATTCTACGAGCATTTGTTGTACATTATGTCTTATTTTGTTTTCGCCAGACACGAGATAGAGAAGTTTTGGCTGAGCGGATGACAAGTCGATGTAGGGTGGGAGCCACCTTGAGACTTGCTAGAAAGATCCTTGAACGGCAGCCAATTTCCCCCTACATCAGCACATCTGTGTCTCTATCTCAGTCGGTTACAACGCGATGACAAAAATGGACGGGGATTTCTTTTTTTTCCCTTTCCTCCCTCTCCTCCCTCTCCCCATCTTTATGTCTTTTCTTTCCAACTGAAGAGCAAGGGGGATTTATGGACTCTAGAGGAAAGGAAGAGAGAAAAGAGAGACGGCTTATGAGAGGTGGTATTTTTGGGCATGGCTCCTGCAGTGGCCTTGGTGGAGAAAGCCTCCCTTTCCCTTCCTTCCGGAAGGGCTAAAGGGTTTTCATCTTTTTTTTTTTCTTTTTTTCTTTTTGAATCTCTGCCAAGGAGCAGGAACAGGCAAAGGCTAGGTCATTCTCCGGTTGCAGAAAAATGCGCAGTTTGGCACTGCTCCTAAGTGGCAAAAGATTTCACACGGGTCTATACCCCTCCCTCCCTCCTTTGGAATAGGAACACCTCTGGGATCTTCCATATACTTATATAGTGCATTTTAGCGGGCCTTCTTTCTTCAGATATGGCGGCAGCCACTCTGAGTCCCTGCCCGTGCTTGGGTTGTCCCTATCATTGTACAACAATGAGCATGCAATTGCCTGAATTGCATGCTAATTTTTAGCAGAAACATATGGGCTAGAAAATGTGACTGTTGGTCCATTAAACATTTAATTGTGAGTTCTAAATTTGCATGTGAATTCGCAATTTGCCGGGAACGGGTGTTGGGCAGAGAGGGATTATATGTTGGACTCCATTGATTTTCCTGCTTCTTGCCCTGGCGCTTCACTCTACCCTCCACTCTCCCGCCACCATTCCAACTCCATCACGAGTGTGATTGCATTTTGTTCAATTAGGTGGCTAAATGAAGCCCCTCTTTAGTGAAAGGAAGCCCACTACTGGACCATATTGTTTATTTTGCAATAATTTCCATTTCCCCATTTCTTCCATTCTCTCTCTTCCCCCTTTTATTATAAATACTTAGCGCTGAAATTTGTCTCCCAATCATTCTATCCGTACGGAAATTTAATTTGGTGGCTGCGTGAAAAAGAAATAAGGAAGAAATATAAAGAAGAGAGGATAGAGAGAGGGAATGAGGGAAGAAGCCTTCTCTCCGAGCTTGCACCAACTGTTTTCAGAAAAAGTAATGGACCATCTTAATTTTTCTCGATCAGACCTCTCTCTCCCCTTCTCAAAAAAAAGTATCACATTTCGTTGTTACCAAGTAGTTTGTTGTGTAGGCGTCTTCTCTACGCATCCGTCACCATCCGTCTTGTCTTTTCATTCTGAAAGGTGCCTACCGCTACGTCAGATTTTTAGGATTATAGGACTGAAGAAGAGTGTTAGGACTTCGATGTGATATGAGAAAGGACCAGAATACCATATTGCCTCTGTCTTTAACCGTTTTTGTGTCTTCGACACCTCTGTCTAGGAAGAAGGATCGGCATGAGAAGTATTCGTGATGGATTTTCGGTATCTGGCCGTCAATGATTGCAAGGACTTCTGGTTTTTCTTTCGTGACCAAAGGGAGGAGAATCGCGTGCAAAGCCCTGCATCACGGCATTTCACGTGATCGGTCCGAGCTTTTCTCTCTATGAGGTCAAGTTCATTTCCGATCCTGTCCTTATCTCACGTGGGAGAGTGGCGCATGAGCAGAGCAAAGAAAAGAAATGATAGTATAGGAAAAGAAAAAAAAAATACGAGAAGCGTTTTGGATGAAGGCCAATAGGATCTTGAACTTGGCATCACGCCCCTCCCTCTGTCTCTTATCACACGCAATAACGCCACCTGAAAAATCAATGGCCTCCCTAAGCTCAATGTCATGCAGCCTCTTCGGACTCCTTTCAAAGAGAGAAAAGAAATGCAGAAAAATGCATTTTGGCGGAGATGTGTCATCAATCGAAATTAGCGGGGAATTAATGTCAAGACATTGTTTACTCCCCCAGTAAATGGCATGCTACACGAACCCTGTATGGGTGGAATTCATGGTTCTTTTTCCATTAAAAAAAAATTGAAATAAAAACGAAATATTTCATTCAAAGTATTGGATTTCACGATAGCACGTCTTTGCTAGCTGTACGGAGTATATCCATGACTTGCTTTTTTTTCTTGCAGGATGGTGGGAAGCTGATAGGGGTGGGGGAAGGAGGTGGAGCAGGGGAAGGCGGACGTGTAGGGCACACTCGAGGAGTGTCCACTGTCACAGGGACTATTCCACTCAGTCTTCCTCAAGTCCCCACCCTTCCACCTCCCTTACCACCCTATTATCCAATTCCAAGTTCGTTTTGCTATACTCCCTTTTCATCCCAGGGGTGGCTGGACTATCTAAGTAGCTGCTAACACGTGCAGGCCAAAATGAATCCCTTAAGCCTGGTTTGAAGGCTCGTGATTAAAGGTTATTTAGAGGAAGCCAGTCATCATAATTCACCTATCATTTCTATCCTGTGCTTTTTTTTTGGAATGTATTAAACACCTCGAGTCTGAGTGTCAAAATTGAAAAAAAAAAGAAGATATCTTGAAAATATGACGGTTTGCTTCTGCATGGACACACAATGACACTGCGAGACCATGACTCCTTTCTTTTTGGAAAAATCCTGTCTCAGAGAAACCTATGATGGAATACTGCTTTGTTAAAAAAAAAAAATTGGGTGGGAATGAGGTGCTTAAGCAAACCTGGAGTGCAGATTGTTTTGTCACCCCTGTTTAATGATCGTGATCATCATAATGATAGCTAACTACTGGTAATTTCAATTTTGGACTGATTTCCTTGCTGACAGTGGATGGAGAGATGAGTACAAGCCCAGTGTGCATTCAAAGGCAGATGGCCCTCCTTGAAGGCGCAGTGGTCCAGCATCCACTCCTAACTGGCATGTACCCTCCTGGACCCATCACAGATGCTCAAGTGAAAAGCTTTGATATTCCCTATGGCTTTTAAGAGTTCTTTCAATGTCATGAGAGAGATACTCAAAAGTTAGTTGGGCTTGTAGGTGGCACAGGTTCGGCTGTCAAAGGTGAATCAGAGACCTTTGAATCGGACCCAATCAGCCCCATTGCCCTTGGGCCATCCTGTCCTTGCAGCCCTGAGCATAAGGGATCGACAGGCCTTCCTGGAACATCAGTATCTCAAACAGGTCTGCTGAATGACAGTTTTTAATTTTATCAGTGTCAGTGCACCATTCATATAGTGGATGTTGTGAAGAAAAATGCAATGTGTAAAATACATATTGTGTATATTAAATTCTTTAAATATGTAAGACTTGGAAACAGGCAATTTATAAAGTCAGGAGAACTTATGAAAATAAGTTTTATTGGAAAGTTGCATACTGTTGAATTCATAGATTGCATGAATTAGGATTAGGTACAATTTAAAGTACCAGGAGTTTTAGAGGTGTTGTCTCAATGCATCAAAACTTTTACTCATCTAATGAGTTTCTTTTTAATTGGATAGCAATTGAGGGCCACAGTGTTGACTCGTGCTGGGAGCAAGAATCATGTGGAGAATGTGGAAGAAGAGACAGAGGCAGCTGTGGCCCAGGAGATGCAGGCAACTGACCCTCCAGGTTCTGGGCCTGGTTCTGTATCAAGACCTGGAGGGAGATCTCATAAGCGCTGTCATGTTACTGGGATGCTTGATCAAGGGCCTGAGGTTATTGACCTAACCGATTCCGGTGCTCATCACAAGTATGAACCAGGAACTCCTTTTCAAATCCACCGGGAATTCCTCTTACGGCAGCAGCAACAACACCAATCATCTGAGTGTGAGTGAATTTCTTAAATTACTCCCTCCATATAGGCTGGAATAAAAAATAGCATTCATATCAACTAGCCAAAATTAGCCAGAGATTTGAACATGGTAGTTGAAAATATATGTTTCTGATATGCCCTTCATATATTTTCCCATGTCCATGATAAGATCTTTTGGGACTTCAGTAAGAATAGTTTTTCCTAAGCAGTGACTCTATCACTTTTCAAAATGGCTGTTATTCTGAGTGTGGAATTAAAGAACTTGCGAATTACAACCCCTCTAGGATGGTTAATGACATCCTCATTATTTGGGGGAAAAGGCAAGATGAGCCTCTCTTTAGCTACTTGATGGAACAAGATCTTTGGAACCGTTCTGTCAATCAAATGACAGGGACCCTGTCACCAAGTCCATGCAATAAGTACCTCCAATAGCTTTCTATCAATTACATAAAAGTGATGTTGCAATATTTTGAAGGTCTGGCAGGAAGTGGAAGCCTGCGGATGCATCACACAGCGCGACCTCTTTCCCGAGCCCTCAGCAGCCCTCTGGTAACTCTTGGCCCTACAACAGAAGTCCCAGGACCAGGTCCTCCAAATTCTAAGCTGAATGGGAAAGGCTCTGGTGGGACAGCCCTGGCATTTGATTCCCTGATGCTCAAGCACCAATGTGTCTGTGGAAACAATGCCATTCATCCTGAACATGGTGGAAGGCTCCAAAGCATCTGGGCTCGACTTGGGGTATGACTACATTAACCATTACCAGTGCCATTTTGGGGGGAGCATTGTCATAGTCAATTGGGGACTTCTTCACACTGATAGCGAAACTGAGTTTATTGACTTAACCTTGTGTAGGGAAGGAAATGCATTGGCAACTGACCAGGTTTGATAGTGTTGCAACAGTGAGGGAGGAGGAGATGGCAGGACATGCAAACTTGCAAGCCCTCATTCCCTCTCCCCTCACCTCAACAGTTCCTCCTTGTTACATTTCTGCATCATGTTTCTTCACCAAGCACAATCAGAACTTTAGCTTGTATACCCATGCCAAATTTTGTTGCAGTATTAAATTAGAATTATTTGAGAGGTTGGGTCTCATAGTGGCCATTTTCTGTGGGATGGCTTTTATGAGTAAGTTTTTCTAAAATTAAGAATACACCTTTTTATGTTTTAGGAGACTGGTCTGGCTACTCGCTGTGAGAAGATTCGATCTCGAAAAGCATCTCTGGATGAGATCCAGTGTTGCCACACTGAAGCTCATACTTTGCTCTTTGGTTAGTATACTGGACTTGCTTGATCTTCTCCTATCTGGAAGTTTCTAGAAATAAAATTTTCTGATTCCTTGACTGCAGGTACAAATCCCCTGAACAGGCAGAAATTGGATCTCTCAAAATTCCCTGAACCACCAATCAAAAGCTTCGTCCTCCTACCTTGTGGTGGTGTGGGTGTCGATTCAGACACCACTTGGGATGAACTCCACACTGGCTCTGCTGCCCGCATGGCTGTTGGCTGTGTCCTTGAACTGGCATTCAAAGGTATTCTCATTACTCATCCCTGTACATCGTTCGCTATGACTATGTTACAGTATTGCCTTTTGTTCACAGTGGCACAAGGGGAGATGAGGAATGGATTTGCTGTGGTGAGACCTCCTGGTCATCATGCAGAACCCCAGCAGGCTATGGGATTCTGCTTCTTCAACAACATTGCCATTGCTGCCAGACAGCTCCGATATCATCTGGGTCTTGAGAAGATCCTAATTGTGGACTGGGTACATTCCCTGATTCATAACTACTCTATTCCATTTGGACAGTTTTTATCAGATAGTTCTTCTTGTTCAGGATGTTCATCATGGGAATGGGACACAGAGCATTTTCTATGATGACTGCCATGTGCTGTACATTTCCATCCATCGACATGATTGCGGCAATTTCTTCCCTGGCACTGGAGGTCCCACTGAGGTGAGTTTCTTATTTTCGCCCATGTAGCATCTGTGTCTATTATGATCCAGCCTAGGTATGAACTGCATAGTTTATCTGATATTTCCTTTTCAGTGTGGATTAGATGATGGGATGGGATTCAACATTAATATAGCTTGGTCTGGAGGTCTGGTTCCACCCATAGGAGACTCAGAGTATCTAGCTGCTTTCCGTACTGTCATCATGCCCATTGCCAGGGTATGGAAAATCTCCAAGATCCTTAAACCTACTCCCCTCATTCTTGCATTTCAGTAAAATTTTATCCTTTCATGTGTCTATACTTATAGGACTTCAATCCCGATATCGTGTTAGTGTCATCAGGTTTTGATGCTGCAGCTGGACACCCTCCTCCCTTAGGTGGTTATACTGTTTCTCCTGCAGGATTTGCTCATATGACACGGCAGCTAATGAGTCTGGCAAATGGCAAGGTCTGTGCTCCTAAAATTACCATCCATTCCCATTACTAGTCCAGGGCTGTCTAAAAGATATAATTTCATTTCTAGGTGGTGCTGGCACTGGAAGGCGGGTATGACCTCCCATCTGTCTGTGATTGCACTGAGGCATGTGTCAGGGCATTGCTTGGTGATGCTCTACCTCCCTTACCGGAGAGCTCAAGAGTTCAACAGCCATGTCAGAATGCCATTGACACTCTTCAGAAAACCATTGCTATCCAGGTAACCTCCAAAAAAAAGCCTCATGAAATTACTGGCATGGGCCATTTGAGAAGATACTGTATACATTGAATGCATTATCACACAAACTGATGGATGTAACAGTCTCTGATTATTCCTGATGGAATCATGTTCTATATGTAGGCATCCCATTGGCCAGTAGTGAGAAAGTATGCTCATGCAGTGAGGTGGTCCCCATTGGAAGCAGAATCCCATCATGAGAATGATGAAACCGTGAGCGCACTGGCATCTCTTTCAGTTCATACTCCATCTGCTGCCCAACAGCAGCCAACACGTCATACATCTGTCATGTGAGATCATTTGAGTCTTCCTCGTGAAATATTTTATTTTAGTCCCTGTCTCCTGTCCATCCAGGTGCCTGGCTTGTAAACAAGAAAAAACTCCAACCCTTTTAAATTTCTCCAGCAAAGTAGCTGTAACTTCTTCTTCCCTAAAACCCTAATAATACCTTCCCCTGTAATACCTTCTCCAAAATGATTTGTTTCAGCTACACAGATTGCTAATACTTCAGAAATATAAATATATACATATTAACACCATGTTAAGAGATTCCATATACCCACAATATTCTTTGCTATAGAGGGAAGTCTGTCATATTGTGGGACCCTGTACAATGCCCTCATAATGCTGTGAACATTGTCATCTGATTGATGACCATGCACCAGAGAATGTTTCCTTCACCTCCTTTAGAATTTAGCCTCCCTTCACCAAATTCAAAAGGGGAAGTATTAGTAAAAGTTCAAAGTTCACAATTTTGCTTTTGCTCCATTATTTGTGAGCCATGGTCTCTTGTGATGTTTTGTTAGCACATCAGGTTTCAGGATATTTTTTTCTTCTCTTTGATATTCAGCAAGTCAGAGAGCAAGAAACTCCCCCCAGAGGAGCCAATGGAGGAGGACTCCAAATGATCACGAGTTCCACTCTCTCTTTCTCTCTCTTGAGATACTCCAGCAGGGAATTTTGATCTCGTCGGATTTGTGCAATGACACTGCATCATTCTGTCCGTCTTTGTCTCATCATGCCATTTTCTTCTCTTTCCTATTCTCTCATGACTGCTCGTTTGCAAATTGCATTCCGGTGAATGTTGTTCAAGTGTTTTCTCTACTTGTTTCCTTTCCCCTCTTGTTGTGGGAGATGTTTTCTGATCAGATTGATTTTTTTTTTTCAGGGATAATCTATTATACTTTTACCACTGATTTGCAGTCATGAGGTCACGCATGCTGTACAGAGATTTTTGTATTACTGGCCGTTTCTGTGATTTTGCAGAGAAGCATCGTGACATGAAGAAAGTTGACATTATAAAATGACAGGTCTAGTCATGAGTGATGTATCTTGTGACTCCCTTTAAGTTCCGTTTGGTTTCCAAAGCCTCGGTGAGATGCTTGAGACGTTGAGATGGTGCATAAGAAGTGGTGACCCGGTGAATGATTAAGGTGCTTGTGACCAAAGATTTTTTTTTTCTTGTGACTGGGGTGAATTTTCATGTTAGAGGTATCACTACACACAACTTCTCTGTGATGAGGGACCAAATTTGACTCAATTACCACGTCCCAGAATCTTTGCGCATTATTTGTCGTCTCTTGTTCACCTGGGAAGATGTAAAGTTCACATACATCATGAAGGAATGGAATGAGAGGGATTACTTGCAGTGTTATGATTATGTACTCCCCATTGTCCCCAGCATCTCTACCCTGTGGCAGTCTTATGGGGAAATAAATGTCCTATTTATAGAGTGTGGTGTGATATTATTTGTATGGATTGGGTGACTCTTAATTATCATGATTCAAGACCATTGTGAATGCGGATTATAGACCTATCCAGCTATCCAGCAATTTAGGTTCCCTGGAAGTACCTTGATGTCACAATTGTGAGCACCAATGAAGCCATATTCCCCGGTGGCACCGGCAGTAGTGGGCCATAGGCGGCGTTTGCTGGGAGCCCCTTGGCATCGGGACGAAGTGAGTCAGCAGCCGAAAAGGAAGGTCGGAAGGAATCAAAGGATTTCAACCCGACAATGCCCAGAGACTTCACGCAACTGGGACGCCGCTTCGTGTGGTTAAATGAAGTGGTGGCCACTTCCAATACCATTCACCCAGGGCCGGATTAAGGAAGGGGGCAAAGGGGGCTGTTGCCCCAGGCCCCACTTTCCCAGGGGACCCTTGAAGAAAATTGAACACGTTAAGTATTTGTGTAAAGTAGCAGGGGGGGGGCTGCCTCTCCTCTCCCATTTAAATGTAGAAAGCACATAAGTTAATGTTTAGCTCCTGTGAAATAGATATTCAGGGTTTTTACCCCAGACGAAAAATTATTAAGGCGATAGGACAGAGGGTGATGGTAGATGGGGGGGGGGGTCCATATGAAAAATTTTTGTATCCGCCACTGCCTTCCACTGACTTCAGCTACCGACGATGATTTATATGCTGCCGGAGAAAATCTATAATAAAAAAATATGACTCCCACATAATTCAATAGTAAGAAATTGGACAGCAGGCCCCGTTTCATTCCTTGCACCAGGGCCCATGCCAACCACGCTACGTCACTGTGTGACACAATACTCGTAGATTCAAACTCATCCCCCCGAGGCTCCATATTGAATGCGGACGTGGAGAGCAGCGGGTCATGTTACTACTCTCGGGTAGACTCGTTTGAGTTGAGTTTTAGAGGTGAATCGGTTATGAATGGGAGGCATTGGGTCCCTTCCCAACTGGTGATGCATCACAAACGAGCTAACTGGTGATGCGCTAGCCCTCTTGCGGCCCGGAAGGTAGCAGGCCAGTGCTGGCAAGTGGGACGTATACCTGGTGGTCCACAACCTAGTGAAGGTGGTGGACCACCAGCTCTTTTCCCCAAATGTAGGTGCTACTTGTGTTGTTACCTGTGACCCATTACTCATCCATGACCCTCATCCATCCCTTACACATCAAGACTGCTCAAAATTATCAAAGAAAATCTTATCTTTTGTCAAATAACGAGATGATACATTATGAGGCTCACCAACTTCCGTCTTCATTTTATTTTCAATTCCACTCCTCCCGTTTACTCTGGCTGCTTCAACAACCGACTTCACAGAATGAAGAAAAAACTAAAAATCCGTTGGGAATCATTCATTAACGCCTACCGTTTTCTTCAACTTCTCAATTAGACCTATCTATTCGGCGGAGAAAACATCCGACAGCTGCAGCGACTACACCCTCCCACCTCATCTAAGGACCGACTGGATTCATCGGCAAAGTGAATGCCTCTATTTTCTCAGGGGAAAAGCACATACGTAATTGGTTTTCAGGTTCGTCACCGCTCAGGGTAAAGTCTAAAGGTCGTTTAACGCTTAGCGAGTCATGCGTCCTTTGCGTCTATGCTTGGGCAGGAGGGGAGGCGCACGCGTGTCCTTTGGCATTCAAAAGGTTTTCATTAAACAAGGCTAGCGTTTTCAGTTTTGAGCTCATCCCAATTGCACACACAAGCCTTGCGTTTTATGAAAAACCTTTGAATGTTAGTTGTCACGTGTGCGTCTGCCTGCTCGTCCAAGCACTGACGCAAAGGATGCATGATACGCGAAGTGTGAGACAATCATTAAGCATAAGAATGACAATTTTTTAAGATCCGATCCAAGATAACGACGTTCTTGGAACTGAATAATAAGCCTGATGACCTGCAGGGAAGCAATAAGGATGTCTGTCTTTCGCAGAATTTCCCAAAGCAAGCTTCTTTTTTTTTTCTTTAACCGGTTTTCTTCTACAGGTATTTCGTTCCTTGGTCATTCCTAGAAACAGCCAGAACTTAAATGTGACGTGCTGCTCTCCGTCTCACGTTTCTCTCGTTTCACGTTGTCCCAAGTACAATCACTTTTCCGACGCTCCTTAGGGGTACAGAGGAGGAGAAAAGCATGGACTCGCCAGGGATTCTTCCGAGATGGGGGGAACACGCAGAATAGTTTGCCTTTTGTGCTATTTCAGTAATCATGGCAATCATTGGAGAAAGAGGGTGAAACTTGAAACTAAATGACGATAACGGCTGCAAGTGCTCCAAGTACAAGCAGTACAACCAACTTCGAACGAAGCGAGTGCGCCGTTGGTTTCCTGACTGGCGTCAGAGCGTTAGCATATAATCCTGAACTCTTATCCCTGGCGTCTCCCTGTCTGTCTGGATATGGAAATAAGCTAGAGATGGAATGACGTATCCATCCACTGCGATTTGCATTTGATACACAAAGAGAAGCAGTTTCAAAATAAAAGCCCCACCTGATGTCATGATTGCAATATGGCGCTCTAGCTGTGCTAGTCGCACAACATTCAATTTCGATGGTCCGGTGTTGCGAAGCCGTTGTATCAGTCCTTGATACGTCAACTTGCGATATAGGCATCGGCCTAAATTCGTAATGAAGTGAACTGGATTCCTTGAAGTTACCGAAACCTATTATTCTGTGGTCGAGAGATTTAAGCCTAAGCTCAATTGGTCAAAAGTGACAAGAAATGTCAGAGAAAGAGAGGGGCTTGCTCTCAGCCGAGAGTGGCTCCAAGAAGAATCAGTTGAGTAAAATCCAGGAATTGAAGGCTGAAATACTCACTTGGCCTGTTCAACAAAAGCTTGAAAAACTCTCCCTGTACTCGTCTTGCCAGGTGAATGATATAAACATAGCCAACGTTAGGCCTAACGTAAATTTTGAATTGTGATAGGCGTATCGTTCAAATTGATTTCCATCGTTATCATCTAGCGTTAGACGTTTTCAATGCTGAAACAGGAAGAAAAAAAGCCTACTTATGTTGAAGTGGCCCATGAACTTGCATTTACCAGCAGCAAGTCTGGAAAGCAACAGATAATGTAAATATTTAATTCTTATCCATAAATTTCCCATGTGTGATTGATGCCCACATGGCGATCACGTTCATCTACATGCCTGTTCTACCGTAAAAAAAAAAAAACGCTCTACTCATGGAGTTCATTCCTGTTAATCCTCCTTGTTGTGGGGTTAGCCCTTCTACCTCCCCTCCACCCACAGAATTAACACTTTTTGTCTAAATCCTAATGATTGAGCCACTCTAGATACATCTTTGCATAGACCAAAAAGGCTTTTCTTTACAAAAGGACAGTAACACTTATTCTTGGAAAGGTAAAAAAGTCCAAAATCAAATCGTATTTATATACACATGTATTCCCCTTCTTTTGTAGAATGGATTGAGCTAGTATAAATGTAAGCCTAACTGATGGAACAAATTTTCCTAGGGCTACATTAAGGACAGTGTTAAGAGTCTAAGAGTGGATTTTTGAACAGAGCATTATCCGATAATGCAGCTTTATTGCAAAGAAAATGCATTATAAATCCAGTAAATAAAGCTGCATTATCAGATAGTGCTCTGTTCAAAAATCCACCCTTAATCATTTAGTAAGGATTAGGGAAAATGGTATATGGGGCTGACTGTTTTGAAGTGAAGTCAATATCTTGTGAGCTAAGATTAGTGTTAGTTTAATGAATCATTGCAAAAAATGTTAATCCTCCTTGAATCTAAAAATGTTTGAATACATCATGGCATTCATAAATTTTGGCATGGCCCAAAATTAGGCCTTACAGTCATGTTCTATATATAATATATGACAGCAAGGAGATGGAGAATGCAAGTGTAGTGGTTGGAAGGCCCAGCAGACATCAGGGTCAGTATCCCCCCAGGGAGAACCCAAAAGGACCATGAATGACCCTTGTCGGGGCTGTGGACATAGCCTCAGTGAGTTATGGTATCTTTTTATTTGAGAATGAATTCATTACTTAGAATGAGAGGTATGGATATGCTACTTGAATGAACACACATAACGCTAGTGACCCCAACTTGATTGCTATGCTGTAGAGGCCCACGTGACCCAGTTAGAGGATCTGGGAGACCCAGAGCTGAGTAGAATGGTGTCAATGGCCATTGACCTTGAAAATCTATTCAATTGTGTTCTCCAGGAAGAAGGAGACACAAAACAGATCTATTTCCACCTGTATAAGGTAAAGAAAACTATATTCCTCAACTTTTCTCTGGTGCTTGAACATTTTACGAAATGTAGATGGTTCAGTCTAGACTTCCTCATGTATTGGTTTTGCAGCTGCTGAGGAAGTCAATTCAGCAGATATCAACTCCAGTGGTAGAAGGAGCAGTAGGGAAGCCTCCTTTCCAGCAGCCCACAATTGTGAAGTCTCTCATCAATTTTCTCTCTGTTCGAATCTCAGATCACTCTCAAAAGGCAAGGTCAAATCTTTTGCTGCCAATCATTATAGTATATTCTTGCTTTAATATGTCCTTCATATGCTCAACAGGAATGGCAGATCATGTATGATCTGGTGAGGAAGTTAGTTCACTGCTTGAATCATTGGAAGCTAGAAAGACCCAATATTAAGATTCTACGAGATGGCCTTCAGGGCAGTGATGCTGTGTGGTACAAGGTCAACTATACCAGGTGAGGCTCTTCTTGACATATTTTGAATCAATTTTGTGAAAATGTGATCTCTTTAATATTTTGTGTTCATCCATGTGTTCCTAGATGGTTGTGCTTCTGTCATGTCCCAGCATTCTGTGACTCCTTCCCACGATACCAGACAACAGCTGCTTTTGGAAAGACCTTCCTTCAATCAATTTTTCCTCAAGTTAAGAGAGATATAATTGGTGCCATCTCTGGTGACCCAGAAAAGGACAAGTCTCATATGGCCATCTATTTCCCTAAGTCAGTTTTTCAATTCAATCAAACTCCAGTCAAAGTTTCCAATAGATTGTTAATCAAATCAGATGAAACTGGAATGTTTTTTTTTTAGGCTGCTAGACATGATCCAGGAAGAGCTGGGGAAGGCAGACAGTCCGGTGTGGGACCCAGATTATCAAGCACCAGCCCTGGAAAAAGGTAGAGCAGCATTTGAGAAGTTGACTCTCCCTCCACCCTCTGGTGGAAAGGAGGATTACTTTACCACAGTTACCATCAGTCCTGGAATCAAGAAGCCTGCTCAGGAACCTGGGTAATATCTGCCTTTTACTTCTCTCAGTTCATTTTTCATGCCAACATTTCTTGAATTAGACTGCACATATGTTTTAGTTTTCATCTAGAAGCATTGAGTTTAGTTGTAAAATAGCAGTATCATCTTTCAATTTGGGGCTTGCTGATTCATATTTACTTGGATCTTGGACCCCTGGTGTATTTCTGGCTGCCATGCCTACAATGAGCATGTTCATTTTTATGCTTTTTTTGTTGGGCCAATATACAAGTTTTATATGTTTTGCTATAGAAATTGTATCATTTGTGTATTTATTTATGTTACAAAATGTGGACTATTAACTGAGAGAATATATGGTCCAGGCCAAGTGGAGGTACAAAACGAAGCTGGGAGGATGATAGTGTCTCAGGGACTAGTCAGGATGCCAAGATTCCCAGTCTTGAGGGAGATATCCCAGAAGATACCCTCCAGGACATCCTTACCCATCTTCAAGATGAAAGACACAAATCAACTGCCTTTGAGGTCTACTCCCCTTCTCTTTTTAGAAGGCTGGTATATAGTGTTAGACTCTTTTTGTTGTTACCTTTGAATTTTTTTCTACATTTCTTTTGTAGGCAATCTTCCCAGAACATGCTGCAAGAGATGCAGCAGCCAAAGCAGAAGAGCGGCAGAGTATCATTGAATTCCATGTTGTTGGGAATTCTCTCACAAGACCTGTTGACAGGCAGACACTTCTCTGGCTCTTAAACCTCCAAGATGTGTTTGCTCATCAACTCCCTCGAATGCCAAAGGAGTACATCACCCGACTTGTTTTTGATCCGTTCGTTCCCATTAGCTCTCTACAAAGCCCTAATGTTTAAAACCGAATATAATCATCTGGTGTTCTTTTTTTGTGAAGGAAGCACAAGACACTTGCCCTTGTGAAGGATGGCCGCCCAATTGGGGGGATTTGCTTCCGCATGTTCCCTGCACAGGGGTTCACAGAGATTGTATTCTGTGCTGTTATGTCTAATGAGCAAGTGAAGGGTTATGGGACCCATCTCATGAATCACCTCAAGGATTACCATGTCAATGCTGGAGTCCTTCACTTCCTCACATTTGCCGATGAATTTGCGATTGGATATTTTCGCAAACAGGGCTTCAGCAAAGACATCCGCCTCTCTCGAGAGGCATATACAGGTTACATCAAAGATTATGATGGAGCCACACTCATGGGTTGTGAGCTGAACCCCAAGATTGTCTACACAGAGTTCACAACAGTGGTGCGGAAGCAGCAAGAGGTAAGCCCACCTGCACTTGTATTAGTTGATACTATTTCCTGGACCCAATTTTAACTTCCTTGCATTGCTTGGGTAATGGGTCTCATTATTTGGTTTATATATCATAGTATGACTTTCAGTGTGCATTCCATATCTCATATATGCTGTCAGGGATTTGCATGCAATAAGTGAATAGTGGTAAATAGCAACAAGAAAGATTTGTCCAATTTCCTATCATTGTTTTGTTGGCTGTAAGAGCTAAGAGTTTCTCAAAAAAGTTTATCTAGAAGTTTGTCTGTATAGTCAAAGTTGTTGGCATAACTAATAACCCACTGGGGAACTGGTGCATTAACCCTTTCAGTGGCATATCTAGTACATACTTGCCATGCAGCTGCCCACTTGCCAGCATTATCTCAATTGGTCAAATGACAAGTAAAAGACCCTTAACCCTTTCAGCAACATCGACAAGTATTTACTTGTCAAGCAGCTGCCCACCGGGATAGCAATGGCAAGTGGACAGTTGCAACCACTGAAAGAGTTTTCTACTTTTCACTGGTGGTACTGCATCTCAAGCATTGCTTGAATGCCTCCAGATTTACATTCTTTGACTGTGGATTATCCTTTTGTATTAACACAAGTACTTTCACCTCCTTCTAGAGTTAAGTGCACCTGCTGAGGCAGAATGCAATAGCAGGGATGTCATGTCCTCTTTTTTTTGCAAGTTCAAATTGGTATAGCGTGGACACCATGGGTCATTTTCCTTCAAATTCAGCACAAACCTCATTTCCATTCACATGCAGAGTTTCAGCTAACACAAATCCCTCTTGTACCAAATGGAGACCTTGAAAGGCCCTATGGGCTTTGTTGGATGCATTTTTGTTAGATATATAATTTTATCTTTTCTAAAAACATTGGAACATGTACAAGCCTACTGACATACATGTTTTGGCTTATGCTTAGATTGTGAAAAAGCTGTATGAGAAGAAGGTTGGGGAGTTGGCTAAGATGTATGAAGGAGTGACCTGCTTTAAGGATGGAGTTTCCCAGATCCCTGTTGAAAGCATCCCAGGCATCAAGGATGCTGGCTGGAGACCTACTCAAGTATCCGACAAGGAGAGGTCTTCATCATCTGGACAAGGAAATAGTCATTCTCGTCGGTCAGTTTTCAGTTTTTATTTTCACCCCTTCTTGAAAAGAGAATTCTTGGATTGCCAGTCTCACAACTTGGCCAACAGGGTATCCCGGCCTGATGTTGAACGCCCTGAGGACATCCAGCCTCTTCTCAAGAGTATCCTGAATCAAGTCAAAAGTCATGCCTCTGCTTGGCCTTTTCTGAAACCTGTGGACAAGAATGACGTTCCAGACTACTATGATGTCATTAAATATCCCATGGGTGAGTTAAATGTTAAGAATGATGTAAGAAACAATTATGTGGTGGTGTCTGTGTCTGCCTGGTCTTGGACCTGTTGAATACCCCTTCTTTCTTTCTTTTCTTACACTCTCACTTGCATGTCTTGACATTTCACCAAGACTTTGAGTTTTGCATGGCCAAATTGATTGTCAAGTGATTTATGGATGTTTCAGCCAGGCAAGAAAGTCTTGGGTGTGTGTGGGCAGGTCCATACATAATGGGCCTGTATATCTTCTTACATTGTTTGTACTTGAATGAGAATTTAATTTTTGAGTTTAGCAAGGAATGCCCTTTTAGAAGGAAAATAATAAATATCTAATCAAATACTGCTTTGAGCCCAAAGCTGGGTAGAATACTTTATTGATGGCTGTTAAACCATGAAAAACCCATTGTTGACCAGTCTATTGACAGTTGTGCTTCAGTGAGTTATGAATCTACATCAATGATTCTGTTCAGTCACATAAGTAGTATAGTTACATACTGTAAAGTGGACATGATAGCATGACTTTATAAGCATTCTCACCCCATAAACCTGTAGACCTATGGGGTGAGAATGCAGGTATGTGGTAAGGGACTATAGCTGTTATGAGACTTGGATATTTTAACAATTGCTTACATGATCAGATCTGAAGACAATTGGTGAACGGCTGCGTCGAGGTTACTACTGCCAGAAGAGGCTGTTCACTGCAGACATGCAGCGGATGTTCATCAACTGCCGCAAGTACAATGACCCCACAACCGAGTATTACCGCTGTGCTGATGTTCTCGAACGCTTCTTTCAGAGCCGTATGCGGGATCTTGGACTCATTGACAAGTGATCTACTTTCTCTTTCTTGATTTCACATAATTTATTTTAATTTGGAGTTTTATATTCAAATATGTTTAAATTGAGGCAGTTTTCTCACTTTATGAAATAAAGTGGTCTTCTTTCCCAGTATTGCCATAAGTCGTTTTATTTGGTTTTTCATTTCTTTTGCTCTGTAAGAAATAGAAGAAAATGCATAGTGCTGACCACCTTGGTTATGCATACCATTTCATGGCATGTACCTAGAGGTTCTTTCAATGTACCCACAATGATGTGAAGTGCTTCTTGAACTTTCAGACTACTAAATCTGAGACTATATGTGCAGGATTGGTTGTGTCCAGTTCTTGCTTATTTGGAAAGGTAAATGGGAGAAGGTATCCATCTTTGTGCAGCCTCTCCAAGTTTATAATGAGCCCATGTTAAAACCGGATGCCAATAAAATGGTATGAAGAAATGCCTCTCAAGTCTACCACACATCACCAAAGGTGATTGTAAGCCTAGAGATGTAAATATCATTAGTTTTCATCTGAGAAAGAAGTAAAGTCATGCATCAAACTTTTCCCGTATATTTTTTCACAAATGAGAATGAGAGTAATCCCTTCTCTTCCATAGTTTGCGAAAAAAAGACAGGATTACAAAAGTTTTTTTTGGCCATTTCTGACGGTCCCCTGCCCTGGGAGACATCCCTTCTTTTTTCACTCCCCGTCAGTCGCATGTACATAGTGGTATATACAGGACTGAGCATTTTAGGTGAGAACCCATGAAACCAATAATAATTTTGGGTAGGAAAGAGCTGGGAGCATGAAAGAGGTAGTAACGTACTTTGTTGTCTGAAAAGACGTGCAAATTTATTGCAAAATGTTTTAACATTGACGACCGCCATTTTAGATACGCAACTATGCACGTTGGAGCATGCTGGATTACACTGCCTGTAATGTGGGTGGGATGTTGGTAAATGAGTTGCGAGATATTTTTCGATTCATCCAAAGTGTGTGGATTAGTGTAGGCATTGTCCTAGACAAAGCCCCATACGAAGAAATCCAAAGGCAACAGATCTGGTGAACTGGGGGGCCACAATCCTTTCGAAATGATGCACTCCCCAAACAAGAGTTCGGCCATACTCTGCCTCGGTGTGTGACTTGTTGCACCATCTTGCTGTCACCATGCTCTGGCATTGTGGCAGTCTTCAGTCAGTTGTCCAAGAAATTCAGGGACTATAGCAACGTACCACTGAGAGGTTATGGCGTCTGTGATAAAAGATGGGTCCCACAATCCGACTGCCGGGTGATTGCACACCACAATCCAATACTCAGTACGTCATTCCAGATAACAAAGTGCATTACTACCAGTTTTCATGCTCCCAGCTCTTTCCTTACCCTAAGTTATTGATGGTTATCAAGGGTTCTCACTTAAAAATGGTCACCCTGTATTAGGGCTGTACCGATGTATCGGCAATCATCGGTATGACACCATTGGCCATCGGCATGTTTGCAAGCTGTCCAAAGAATATCGTGCAGAACAAATATTTTTAAAAAAACTTCCTGAACGGGCTTGGTAACTGTTTCTCAAACGACAATTGGTAAAAAAAAAATTGGGACTGCTACTCGAAATTTTGTACGAACTCCATATTTTTCAATGGAACGTTCCCTAATGAGTTCTTCAAGAGCTCTTAAATATTTCATGCGTCTTGTGGATGACGCTGTTATGGAGTTATTCTTCTCGGAAGTGATAGCAAGATTTCATTAACATATTACAAACCGTTCTCTTTCTGCGATGTGTCTGAGTATGTGGCGGGATCGACCCCCGTTAGACTAAGAGCGGATCGAATTGATTTTGCTTCTGTGGTCACAACCACAGGTGGCCGATTGTTTCAATGAAATCCGCCCTGGTTATCCAGCAACTATCGAAACGTTTGGAGTTGGTGAACATTTCGAGTATTACAATCCTTATTAACTAAGTTATTAAAAGAAAATAATGGACCTTCTCTCCATATACGTGGAGGCCCATTACGTTCCCACACTTCCTTCTTTCTCCTGTAACGCCGGGGCCGAGCGCCTATGCACCCGAGAAATAGGATAGTGTGTACCCAATGGTGGTCCTGGGTAGGACCGGCTGGGATCGAACCCAGCCTCCCGGACGGGCACGCGGACGCTCTGCCAACTTGGCCGTTTCCGCCGGTTAGAAATAAATGGGTAATGTGGATATCCATATGCCTCCTACTTTGCCCGTTTCGAGGAAAAGCACAGCCTCGGGGTAAAAAAGCCAGACTTAAGCGTTATGGGTTTTCTTGTCGAGTCTCGTGCACTCATCCTCGGTCTGCCGTCTCGGCGCGACATCACCTACGTAAGTCCTTTACGATTACAGTGATCATTTCATTTATTTAGTGTATCTTTCCCCCTTCTCTCCCCATCCTGTTGGCTCCGTGGGAAGCGCGAGTTTGGACCAAGTGGTTCCTTCGTTTTAACGAGGGTGGGACATATTTCGGATCATTCAGCCGGACGGATGGACGAAAGATCATCCAAGATTCACAATTGAGTCCATTGTGGGCGCGGCCGCCGAATGGGATTACGTGTTCTCCGTGTACGTAAAAGGGCCCTATTATATATGTACTGACTCCAATTAGATGAGTACCGGTGAGATTCGGAAGGACTAGGCTGGTCAGCAACAATAACAATGGATATATTGGATGTATACCACTCACTCGTATAGTCTACAGGCACCAGGCAGGAGGGAAGTTGATACGTCAAGGGCGACGAGTCCACTCTCTAGTCTCGCCTCCACCCCCTTGTCCCGGTCCGTGGGAGGTCTCTTGGAGGTGGGAGGTGTCCGGTAGGGGGTGGCTCCTCCTCCACTCCTCGGTGAGGTCCGCCGCTAAGCCCACACCGTCGTGGACCGTAATGGTAAAGAGACACGATCGCAGTCTCATCTACCGATATCGAATTCCCTCTTTTTAAGTATTAAAATAAGATAAATCTTCCCGACCTGGCTTTCACCTCAAGCTCGTACGGCGGGGATCAGAACCTTGTAATCCTTTTCAAAAAGTTCTTTATTTCCGGTTCTTTCTTCGAAGCCCTTTCCTGGTTCTCCTTTTTACTGCTACAGACAATTAATGATGTGAAGTTTGATTGGAGTGGCCAAAAAAAAAAGGTTATTTCAACGACACCCTCTATTAAATCAATTTCTGTGATCGTCTACGATTTGGTTCTCCAGACTTTCCCCCCTCCTATTCCCTATGCGTCACGGGATTATTTTTTTTTTAAGATTTATTTGAGCGGTTTTAGAGTTTCACATGACCTAAATGTTGCCAAGGAACGCTTGAATTCCCCCCCCCCCACAAATTTTTGTATGCCCGCTACTGGTTGAACCAGTGTGTGTATGTGTGTTTCTGAACACCACTGTGACTGTAAGGGAAAGAACAAGAAGGAAACACTCCACGTATGCTCAGAAGTAAACCTGTGTTTTCATAACACACCACTGAAACGTCGTCCTGTTGTCAACCAACACGTAAGAAAATATTTGAAAAGTTGCCATATATACATATGGGGTAAAAGACCCAGTGATGGGCCACGTCGCAGGAAAATTCCAAAAACTAGGCATTTGTTCCATGACCATCTTTGAAGTGTGTATGTGCTTGAATGCTGCTAGCATATGTCGAAACAAGGGTAGGTGTGGCATAGAAGCTAAGCTATTGGAATTTTTATGTGGACCGGGGACCGGTCCAACACCGGGTCTTTTACCCTAAGACAATCACAACAGCACACCATTGTTTTCTTACCTTCAGGTTCACACATTCTGCTTCCACAAAATTTTTGAAAATTTCTTTTTTTCCGTTTCCTTTGCTTTGGCTATATTAACCTCCCTCAACAACAGCCGAAGCAACAAAGAAGTAGTCTAGTCGAAGCTCGTAGTCAGCGAGCAGCCTGGACAGCACCAGTGATGCTGCGATGCAGTGGAGGGGCGGCGGCGCCGTCCACTGCACTGCAGACGCACCAAACTATGTGTTTCACAACACCTCTGTGACGCATAGAGATATACGACCTTGAATAATATGATGTAACATGCACACGAAATACAGTTGGAAAGGGAGGAATGAAAACAGAAGGAGGCGGTTGACAGCGCCTCGGGGCGATGCGAGGGGATCCTCGGGTCATGCCCGACGGGGAGATGGGCCCGTCTTCTGCTTGGGCTTCAACCAGTTCTTTTTCTTTTCTTGAGTGTGGTGGATGTTTCATGTGTCTGTGTCATGCACTGAGTTGACCTTCTGCACAATATCGCGTCTATCAATTATATATGAGTGAGTTGTCATTTTTTCACATTTCATGCTCATAGAATTTTATTAGGTCCCTTTTGTTTATTTAGACTTTTCCGTTTCTTTAATTTTGGTGTCGGCGGTATTTTTGCCAAATAAATCGCTAGATTTTTCTGAATCTGGCTCGACGACCAATAGCAGCTTCTGTATTCCTTCAGTCACCTTCTCTGTAACGGAATAGTACGGAAAGGCATCGATTCTCCAAGCTTCCATTCAATTTCGCACGACAGTTTGGAGACGAGGAACGAAAAATCTCACCCATGGTAACCTGGAATGCCTTGGGTTTGCTCTCCCCGTACACAAACAGGAAATACACGGGAACACCGGTGAGAATGATGAGCACCCCATAACCTGGGCATGGGAAACAGGCATTTGGTTAGGGAAGTGCCTACCAGAGAGGAAACACTAGGGCTCTCTATCCCAGTTTACGCAATTTGCCGAAGTTCATCCGTTTCATGAGAAGTTGGAGCAACTTAGCCTTCTGCCGAGATCATCTCTGTTTTGCGAAGAGATAGATCCGAGGTTTCCTCTGAAGGAAAATTGATGTCTTGAAACTGGTGACGATGCGCGATCCCTGTCGACTCATTTACCATTCGTACAGTGACACCCTTCCACCACGGAACATGGAGGAAATCTTTGTACCCCCCAGATACACTGCTAAACAGAAAGTGGCATGGTGGACGAACGCCTGTGCCCGACGCGGAAAGCATGTCTTGAATATAATAATTGGTTTCCTTTGCTGATCGTGTCATCTTACAGGTTCGTTGAGAGTTCCAGGTGGGATCGTCATCTTGAGTATCCCTCGAACGTGGCGTTAAAATAGGTGAACTTGGGCTTTTCGGCTTCAACTCCAGGTCGGCCTATAGAACTTTGAGCTCTTGGGGTCAACGCTTGAACTTGGTCTAGCTTGGAAATCCAACCCCATCGGCTGTGATACGGCATGACGCGACCAGTGACAGACTTTTCCGCAGCGTCGGCTTTGGCTCTCGATAACTTCTCTCCGTTTTTTCCATTTTCGATTTTCCATTTGAAAGGAGGAAGAGCAGCTCCGTGCATGTTCGTATCCTCCGAGCTAGAGAAAGAGCCGAGGGTGGAGAGAATCACAGAACCCGTCACCGTCGTTTTCTCACAGCTCACCCGTGGAGACGAGATCCGCCAACATGGACATGACGATGAGGAACACGGTGAGGACGACGTAGACGATGGGGAAGAGGATGTGGACTTTGAGGGGACGCGGCCTCTCCGGCTGCTTCCAGCGGAGCCAGGGGATCACGCTCACGCCCGCCCCGATGGTCAGCCAGGTCGCGAACCCCACGTAGTTGATCAGGGCGATCACGTCGGACGAGGTGAGGTAGAGCAGAGACAGCAACGACTGCCGGGCGATCGACACGCGTTCAAGGACCTCGCTCTCGTTCCTCCCGTCTCTCTCGCTCCCGTCTCACCTGGAATATGACGGCCGGGACCGGCGTCAGTCGGGAAATCTGGATGTTGGTGAGAACGCGCGGCATCTGTCCTTCCATGGCTCCGGCGTGAATCAACCTGCACAGAGACGATTTCGAGCGGTCGAAGAAAGAATTTCTCGCGAAAAGAATGCGACCGAAGCGGCGTGATTTCGCACCGAGACGATGTCAGGAGGATTCCGTTCACCGCTCCGAAAGTGGAGAGAGAAACGAAAACGGGGACGATCCAGACCATGCGCCCGTATAGCTCTTCTGCAAAGGACTGCATAGAAAACCGGCCATTTCTGTCAGAGATGCAGGTGATGGGGGAAACAGGGCAGAATAATGCGTAGCTGAAGTTTTCGTTGAATCTTAGCCTCATCCGCTCCAACCCCGTGTGAATTCTGTTGCAGCTTTAAAAAAGAAAATGGGGGGGTTCTCTTCTACCTGAAGTTGGCGCGACATCATGCTCATAAATTTTGCTTAACTGGCAGGCTGTGCTCTGAAGCGTTCTTCAAAGATGGCATGCGGTGACATTTTGCTTCGAGAGGAAGTTTGAGGTAAATTTTAGGAGTATTTCCAGACTCATTCTAAATTTCATACAGGATCGGGAATGCTTCAATTTTCTCGTACTGAAAAGTACACCAAAAATCGATAATAGTAATAATGCTTCAAAACTTTTCGACGTCACTATGTCATCTTTGAAACGCATGATATTGCCTGCACGAGTGTGATACGTTCAGAGACGTTCCTTTTACTTGAGAGAGGCGTTTCCAGCAGGAGTAAATCCCAGGTGATCGGTCTTCCTTTTCCATCATACTCATAAAATCGTGCAGATTGTCGACATTGATATTCTTTTTCATTTCCACCGTTGATATTTCGATAGATTTCGGGTTTTCGTTGTAATCAAAGCTCTCAAACCACGACCGTGTACATCTCAAGTTTTCCTGAGCGTAAGCAATTAAGGGGCGTGAAGGCGACCCCAGACCCAAAGCGTGGCGAAACCCCAAAAACATTGGGGGGGGGGGGGGCCAGGGGAGACTCACGACAGCCACTGCCTCTGACTCCAGCACTTCTTTCGTCGTGAGAGTGGTAAAGAATGCAACGTTGGTCGAGACGTAGACCAAGGTCACCAGGACGCACGAAATACCGATCGCCCTCGGAAGATTCCTAACCAAAATTCCAGGAAATACGCATTGCGAATTTTATAGGTGCATGGATCGAGGAACACGGACGAAAGAAAGTCCACTCACTTCACGGGATCCTTGAGTTCCTCGGTCAGGAAGTTCAAGTAATTCCTGAGAAGAAAAGAAAACTGTTGATTAGCACTAGCGCACGTTTAAGGCGAACGAATCCGAGTCGTTTCTACTTGGAGCAGCAAATTCGCCTTTTCGGTAAACATGGCAATTCTCGAAGATGCACGCGCGACTTTGCTAGGAGCAGTCTGCGTCTCAACATCTACGACGTTAGCGTTTATTCCGTGTTTCATTTCGCTCCACGGCCGACAAGAATACCTCAAAGTTCTCGGTTGGCATATATGTTACAGCTCCATATTTACCTCTTGTGAACGGAAGATTCCTGTCAGCTGGCCTTTTATCTCGGAATCGGAATGTTACCATTTCTTACATTTACTTGCCTGTAGGTTCATGGATCCCCGGCTGGAAGTTACGTCAACGACCGTGTTATCGACTCTCCTCCACCAGAACGGTGAGTATATATATTTTGCATACCGGTTCTTCTCTGATCTTTTTTTTTTGGGCCCTCTTTCCAAAACGAACTTTAATCTCGATGCCGTTAATTAGACATGGATAACTCGTCCGATGACTCACCATCCGTGGTAGGCGAACAATCCCGAGTAGCACGAGAGCACTATCAACGTGGGATCTGTTTCCGTGTTCTCGAAGTTCATGTTCTCCGTCTTCCCTGGAATACGTAAGCGTCCCTTCGAGAGTTTTAAGTCGCTCTGAAATGCCGAGTTGTTTCTGGGCCGAGATGGGAAAGTACGATGAAAAATGCTGCCGGTGACCGAGGAAAGGGGATTCGCATGCAAGCCATAGCCAGCAAAATATCGTTGGCAGAAATCGTGTCTCTCCACCTGAGAGAAGTTCCCTGAATACCAATCGACTGCGTACCACTAGTATAGTACTGTATATCCTCGTGCGTCGAATTTTTTATTGCTCTTTCGAGACGAAAGACCAAGTGATTCGTCACTCCCAAATGGGAGACACGCCTGGTTTTTGTTCGATGTGGTGATAAATCCATGTGGCTTTGGATTCACCCGTAAGATTCCATCAGTACCTGCGAATTTTCCTCCATGTGATCGTGGGGCTCGCTCCCCCTCGAAGGACCTTAATTTCGCCTTTTAGAGCCTTTGCTCGGCACTTCCTACCCTCCCCCCCCCCCCCCAACCCACCGACTCACGAGCCAAAATACGCCACCGCCTATGGTGCCCTTCATATGACAGCGATTGATGCAACCTTCGTTTCACTTCGCCATTGAAGATGCCCAGCATGCCCGACGAAAGAGGCCGGTTCCTTCATGCTCGCATGACCGGAGTCGGGTCGCGAGTCTGTCCTGACGAGTTGGCAAGTTTGATGGGCGAAAAGTATTCCCGGGATACCTTCCCAGACTTGTAACCTAGAAACCGAATTGAATCTATCCGGAGTTTGTCTTGCGTTTCGACAACGACGTCGAGAGTGAGTGGCAAAAATCTCGTCGCGGCGCACGGTAACGCCAAGGTAACGATACCGTCAGGTTGTTGCTGCCAAGAAGGCATCGTGTAATTAAACATGTCCCGTATGACCCTTCGAGGTGGGCTTCGGAGCTCGAGCTGTAGCCGAAGCGAAACGAGAGGCGTGGAAGAAACTCGGCGGGCATAATGCAATGAGAATATCACACAGTCACCAAGGTGTTCTGGCAAACCATCCAGAGATTCCGACAATGTACTCTGCGGGTCATCGAGGTGCCGTGCTTCCAAGATGGAAGAAACATTTTCGAGTTCTTAAGTCTTATCTAATCTTAAATCTCTTAAGAGCGGATGGAGGCAGGCATCGAATGCCACGCAGCCCGCATGGCTTCTCCGACACGTCTGAAAAGTGGGATCTGTGTCCCTCGTGTGGATGAAGGAGAGGCACCGGTGGGTGTTCGTGGCTGCATCGGCTCCACTTTATTGCCGTTTTGGCTCCGGTTCTGCTCGCGATGTCGAGATGAGGCCTACTCTCTATTTTTGCATCAGCTGGTGGGAAACTTGCGAAGTTCATCGCTCGCTTTTCCGTAATTTGCATCGGGAAGCCGAAACGTCACGACTACCGATGACGAAATCGTCTAAATGGGCCCGAAAACACTGGTTTTAAAAACATCACTCACCGATACTGAGCATGTAGATGCCGGTGGCGATGATGATGGCAAGGCCCAACAGTTTCGCGAGAGTGAAGATATCTTGCACCCTCGTAGCCCATTTCACATCGTAGCAGTTGATAAACGTCAAGATCCCTGCAAGGAGAGGCAATGCGTGAGGTGACATCGACGACGAGTAACCAGGCTCCTGCACACTGTGAAGTAATAGCGCTGCACCCCAGCAAGTTGTGGCAAGAAGGATTTGCGCTGGAATCTGACGAGTCGAGTCCAGTCGTGCGTTTGCGATTGAATGAGGAAGTACTTATATTTTGAGCAAGAATTCATTCAATAATGTTGAGAACAGATTCCGTTTCATCTTGACAGACCAGCATTGTTTCCGCTATAAAATTTGCACTGAATACCCCTCATGTCACCACGAGACCTTCCCAAGATCTGAGTCGAGATGAAATTTCGAACCAAAGCGGAGGCTTAGGCGGCTGGGCATTTCGCAACACATGGTCCATCCACCAGAGTTCGACGATTCTGAATCCACTTTCCTTCCCGTCCCGAAGTTCTGTCCCTCGAGCATCATGCATTTCTGATAATTAAAAAAAAAGAGGGGGACATACCGATGCAGGCAGCAGAGAGGAGCCGGGCGGATTCATCCGGGGCAGCACAGGAAGGGAAGAACGGTCGCAACACGTACGTGGCGAAAGTGAGCGCCACGACTGCCTGACTGCAGGGTCTCACCATCGTGCACTCCACCCAGAGCCTCATGAAGGCCCAGAAGGGACCGTAAGCCTCCATGATGTACGCGTAATCGCCGCCCGACCTCGCGATCGTGCATCCCAGCTCCGCGTAGCAGTAAGCCCCGATCGCGGAGAAGACCCCGCAGACCGCCCAGACGACGAGCGAGAGCCCGGAGGACCCCGTGCCTCTGAGGACTCCCCTCGGCGAAACGAAGATCCCCGACCCGATCGTGCTCCCGACTATCACGGTCGTCCCGTTCAACAGCGACATTTTCGGCTTCAGGCGAATCTCCTTCTCGGGCTCCATTTGCGACTACCGCGAAGCACAGATTCTCGTCGGTCGAATTTGATCTGTAATCGCGGCGAATCGACTCGGATAAAATTCATTCGCATTGCAGCAAATTATGCGACCGTTCGGATGAAAAATGCGCGGGCTCGGAAAAATGCAGCGTCAAAACGCCTCGGCATGGAATCACGTGGCGCCAGAATATTAAAATGTCCTGGACTTCTGATTCCAGCTATCCTCTTGTTGAATCGCAAATGTAATAAATATTTCAATTCGTTTATTTGCTCGTTTGAAGAGGTTTACGATTCAAGCATTTCCAATAGGGAGTATAAGTATACTGAAGTATTTTCCACCCCTTTTCTGATTTCCGAGAAAGACTTATTTGTTAAGAGACGTCATATAAATGTAGGCTCTGTTTACTCCTCCCACTAACAGGCGACGGTGGCAAGACCTCGTTGAGAGTGTTCCCATTCGGCACGACAACGTCGTGTCGACCTTAAGAAAAGGTTGAAATGTCGAGACATCCACATCGAAATAGGTTCTACCGCTCGGCGCGAGATGGCGGCTAAGCGCCGATTCGGCGATTCTCGCCCTGGTGCCAACGGAATGAGTCCCCTGTATTTTTCACACGGTGCCCGATCTTTTCCCCATGTACAACTTAAGGGAAGGCTTTGGAATTCCTAGATCGGCCCGTTTAAGGTGGCAACCCAGCAGGAGACACTAAGTACTACTTGCCAGTGGGTTCCGAGGAGACATGCTCAATTTGTATCTAGACTGTCCGTCCCATCGCGCATTCACGGGCTCGTGTATCCCTTTCGAGAGGGAAATTGAAATTTGCGTGAAATTTGGCTTGCAGGGATGCGCCTGGCTTCTTTTAAATTGAGATGAATCTGCGGATCATGCGAGACGTGTATTTTCTCTGTTGGACTGTAAAGGTACTATAATGCCCAAAAGTTGATATTTCAACGCTGGCAAAACGAATTTCCAACGTTGAACTATGTTTCGTTTCGACGTTGTTTCAGCATCGAAGCAACATTGAGGCAACATCGTTACGTTGAAAAATTAACCTTGGCTCAAAGTTGACACAACGTCGTCGAGCCGATTGGGTTATGTTTAAATTTGGAGAGCGCGGAGACTCGATTCGCTCGAGAGAAGGTCAACGAAGGGGGAATAATCTGGGCGTTCAAAGTCATTAAGGTAGGCTTAGGACGAAGGCTTTAATGAATCATTTATTGTTGGGTGATAGAGTAGAGGACTAGCTTTGAAAAGCGATACTTTCCCGAACAAAAAAAAAGGAGCAGTGTTAATGGTAACTAACTGGGATATGCTCACAGGAAAGTATTTGAGAGCCTATTTAATTTCATTTGAATGTGGGACCTTGACACGGAACGTCATTACGGACAAAAATGCCTGTTCCTTGAACCTGGGCGCTGACGAAACGCCATTGGGATTTCTCCCACGCTTTCAACCTGGTGGGAAATTCCCTTGGTCCTCCGATTCCCTCACGGACTTTGACCTTCATTATGACTTCACTATGACCTTCATAAATTGGTAAGGATGCAATTCTACGTGCGCCACAAGTATCGTCATGCAAGTAGACGCAGAAATTTCATTGCCTTTAATTTGGGGCATCGATTTAATGAAGCGACGAAGGAAAACCCCGCATTACCGAGCACGTGAAGTTTAAAATATCCTGGACCTCAAATGTCGAGTACGGAGAGAAGAAGCTCCTTGGAATTGTGAGGAAATTCATGCGCGGGGTTCAAGCGGCCTTCCGAGAAGTCGGACTTCGTGGAAGGGGCGGTGTCTGAGGGAGAATCCCTTCGGGGAAATGGTCCTCGTGAGGAAGGAACCGCACTGGGGTGGGAATTGGATTTCCCAGAAAAGTCCACAATGTGTTTTCTGTTGGAAATAATATGATGACATTTTCCTCTTGGGTAATATGAGGAAAACCCCTTTTTTCTTGTCGATTCAAGGGAGCGCATTTCCTTTCTCCTGAAGGAGAAAGCAATTTCTTTAAAGAAATTCTGTATAACGGTCGTTTTGCCGATTGGAGACTTCATTGAACGAGTTGGAAAAGACGAAGCCCCTTGGGATGAGGCGATAGACCCATTTCGGTTAACATGTGAAACCTGATAATGGATACGAGGGTAAATCGTGGGGCTGAACCGAGCACCGATCGCTGTCTAGTGGGCGAACCTCAGAACAGGGCTGAAAGCGTTGCAAAATGGGTGGGTTGTAAAAAAGCTTTCGGTGATCGGAAAACTCGTGACGAGTTGGCACGGGCGATCGGCAGAAATAATTCCCAACAGCCTTGCCAGATTTATCTTGTAGAGACCGAGGGGGATCTATTTCGATCTGACGTTTCGGCGGCAGCAGTGTGAGTGTGGCGAAAAGCGTATCTGGGTAGCACGCGGTAAACACAAAGCATGTTAAGAGGATTTCCTGGTGATTGTTGCCACCAAGAAGTCAGCCGATAGGCCGAACACGTCTCGTAGGTCGGACCCTTCGGGGACCTGCAGGAGGGAGGCGCATAAAGTTGCTGTTGCCGAGGCAAACAGTAGAAGTGGAACAAAATCGGCAAAGATGTTGGAATCTGACTACCACGATGTGTGTCAGGTAAAGGAATGCGAAGGTTCTGAACAGGCAGACAAGATATTCTCTTGGTCACGAACCTTCCCGTTTCGGTCTGAAACGGGAAGGTCTGTCTCCCGAAGAAACACTCGAAAGGGGAAATGAATATTTTGAAGAACTGTTAAACCAACCCACGGCGGACCCTACTTGGGCCCACTTAATAATAGTCTCACCGTAGGGGAAGTTCTACACGCTATCGCTTGCTTGAAGAATGGAAAGTGTCCTGGTGTGGACGAAATCCGAGCAGGGGCAATGAAACCACCGATGGATGCTCGTAATTGCGTAGGGAACGTCAAACCGTAGGGAAATCGAGAACGGCACCAACGAATTAGCAGACCGGTGTGGCGGTTTCTTTTTTCTAGAGGGGGGGGGGGGACGAGGACGACTCGAGGGAGTACATCAATCCCTGTGGAATCACAATCCTCAGCATATCCCTGTAAGGTTTAGTGAAAGTGGAGTTTTTAAGAAAATGTTTTTGGATCTTTATCGGACAGTACACTTCGAGAAAAGCTGCGGGGATCGCTGCAAGAGCCTTGATCAAAGGTTGGCTATTGGTGCTGACCATTCAGTCACTGGGTTCATGTGAGCGGAATGAGCGAAGGAATCTTTCTCTGTGTGAAAAGGCGCAGCCTTTGGAGTCATCATCGGTAGTATCGAGATTAATATACTGTACGATCTCTAAGCCAATGATAATCTGTCATTTTCAATAGGACCTCGATAGGAGCTTCGGAGCGTACCGGACCGGTTCAACTCGGGATGAAAATGAACTTCCCTAAAACTCATTATAATCCTCGAGAAATTCTGTGCAGTGGGCCCGACATGTCCTAAGAACACTGTGAATAGGCGGAGAAGTTGAAACTTTTAGCTTTGGTTCTCGCGTGATCCAGAAGCGAGAATTAAGAGCGTTTACCTCCTCACTCTCGCCAATGAATATCTGGCTATGTACCAGAGGGGTGACGACCTAATCAGGTCGTGGTTACAAGCTGCCTTGATGAGGTTCTCGGGGGCAGTGGCCGAGTGGGAGGATGCGAAGCGTCGCCATCCGTGATAACCGCAAGGTTAAATAACTACTTCGGATCTTGAATCTCAAGCCCGCTGGTTTGGAATCGCGTGTCGCATGCCCCCTGAGAGATTCCCTTCAAAAAGTGGCCTATTCTTAAGTGACCTGATCGTTGGGTTTCATGCAGGGTGGACGGACAAAGCTTTCAGTGTCGCTTTCAGTGTCAGTGTGGGCTTAATCACTTGCTAGGCCGCTGTCCAGGATTGGGAGCACTTGGGTCAAAGATCCCATTAAGTTGGGATATAGCGGCATTACAAAGTAACGAACATATAAAAATAATTTAAATATTACGGTAAGGTCTGTGAAATTTCGAATTTGATGGACCGAATCCACTAATTTTCCATGTACCCCTAACCCGATTTGCCATTCCCGTGATAACTCTTTTGAAAAAGGAAAGAGGAAATCTCATCTCTGACTAGGGAGAAGGCACAAGCACCCACCGGCTCACACGAAGTGGGTTACCCCATCGACTGGTGTGGAAAAGAACGCGTTCGGAATCTCTCGCTCTCGTTTCGATCCCTTACGTATACGGATTCCACGAAGAAGATCGTGGCTGATGGACCTCACCTGTTTGAGATAACAACTATCTAAAAATGCGGGTATCATCGTAGCGCGAAAAAGCATAATACATTTCAACTATCCATGCCATTTTCTTCAGTCTTTGAACTTTATCGCAGTTAAGCCAGTTTGTCAGTCATTTTCTACGTTTTCGGACTTATAAAGGGCCCAAATTTTTTGGCATAGAAGACTTTGTGGAGGAAAATAAGGTGTAAAAAGTATACAGGGTTGTTATGAAGCAATAATCCCCCCCCTCCCTCCCCCAATATCTTTCTTTTTTATCATAACTTTGGGAAGGAAAATCAGAATCTAGTACCTGTAAAATTTAGCATAATGCAGATATGTAGGTATTAAGAGGGGGGGGGGGGGACTTCTGTAGGCCACTTTTACTCCTGTCTGTTGTTTTTGTTGCCTAAGAATGTCGACTGCCTCAGGGATAACGGGGGCCATCTTACGTGGAAAAACTTTTAGAATCGATTGGTCATCAGTGCCCCTGCAAATACAACAGTAAGCCTGGCAAGTGGGAAATTAAAACACACAACAAATCTTAACCTTCCTCTCGTTTTATTGAGGTAAATCATACAGATCAGATGAAAGGGATTGCTTGAGATTCTGCACGTCCAGACAAGCGTATAACTTCAGCACTTGTTGCTTTGTCACCCCATTATTGTTGGCGACCATGAAACTACTATTTCGAAGAAAAGAGTTATCTGGTTTCAGTATTGAGCAAATGAGAGGATTAATTTGATTGTGAAACTATCCTAGCTTGTGTATGAATTATTCATTCAGAATAATAATTTCAGCAGATCATTTCTGGTTCCTTTTTAGTCACTTCATGATCTTTCAGGCCTTATACTCTACTGAAATTCATTTTAAGTCTCTAACCCAGTACTCTCATAAATGGTGGTTCACTTGGCCTGTCTCTGGGTGCACTTGAAACAGAAATGTCAACTGCCGTGAAGCCAGTCATCATCTCCTTCTGCAAAAAAAAAATACAAAATGCTATTGGAAAAGTTGTAGAGAGTTTCCACAAAAGTATTGGAGAAACTTTCCAGGACTGAGCCCTGGCCTCAAACAGAATTCCAATAACTCCAACTGTCCCCTATTAAAAAAAACCTTGGACTAATATGTTTTTTTCCCGTTTGGCTCACTTGTAAATTAAAACTAAATTGAATTCTGCAAAACATGTCACACGCCACTTATGCAGCAAGCTTGTCCCTATATTGTTGATCAGTAAGTAAGGCAACCAAATACTAAATGGCCTTATCCAAGCCATATTTTTACCTGACTGCTAGTTGTAATTACCCTTTGATGGGAAGCTGAGCTTATGACTGAAAAATCCCACATCGATGAGAAGCCTGAGGCTAAAAAGTCAATGCTATCAAAATATGTGTCACTACTAACAGTGCAGGAGTCATGTTATTCTTAAAAACAGCAACACAAATTGACTCCCATTGCTTTTGCTTGTCCATGACCTTCCATGGCTTATGGAGAAAAGTTTCTCCAATAGACCAAAATTTTGATAATGCATATGGCTTCTTCCACCTCAATAAATTTTTTGTGGCAAAAATCTATGATATTTGCTAAGTGCAAATTAGCTACATGAGACAATAGCATCACACATGCACTGTCAGCTTTATGGGTGCTCCATCATGTTGAAACCAGTTTTTTTTTTTTCCAGCAGAAACACTAGTTTCCTGTAATACAATCCCCCTTTCTCATACATACAAGATCAAGGTATGGCTAGTTGTAAAAATCCCTATTACCACAGTAGTTAAGCTCCAGCACACTCTAGCTCCAAGGTCTTGTAGCAATGTGACATCATTTATCTTTAAACATTCCTGTGTAGAGTTTTTTGCAACTGGTAGTGGTGTGCTCAACTTAAATTATTTCTAAATGTTCTTTCATTTATCTTATTATATATGTGCATAACTGGACTGTCACAGATTGTCCTGAAAAATCTCACTAGAATAAATATTGCAAGAGACACAATTCCAAACTCATGTTAATCCATTCATAGCAGTTAAAGGGTTAAAAGCAAGCCAAGCCCATCCCCTCAGGTTCATCCAATTGTAAGCTTGATCAAACAGTTTAAATCAAGTTTGTAATTTTTTTTCCCACAGGTCAGTCTGTTGCCAGAGGAATTGAAACATCTTTAGTGCTATTGTCCAAAGAAAACAAAGTCATCAGCAGGCAATTCCCAAAGTTTGCTCAAAGCAGATCCTTCACTGGATTGGTGATGTGGTAAAGCTGATCTAATCCAAGCACTCCATTGTCATCATTCCAGAACAGCAAACTATCTCCTGAAGGCTTCATTTAGCTTATCCCCCCACATTTCATCAACACTTAGTGTGTGCAAACAAGCATTAAACACAACAGAAGGGACTTCATCACCATGCACATGAAATGTTTTTTAAAATTCATTAGTTTTTGCCTGTAGGTTGGAATATATGTTTGGTCAGCAAATCAATAAGATCCCTGACCACTGACTAGATTGAACCCTCAAGAAACTTAACAGCCACATTTGGCTCTCAATCAGAGAAGTCATGAAAAGTGATGTTCAGAATTGTAGATAATAACCCAAGATAGGTTGAAATTTTGTTATAAGAGGGAGTTCTTCATGCTCTACCTTCACTAATATGGTCAGAGACTTTGATCAGCATGTATACTCTGTTTATGAGACATCAATATTACTACAAAGCAAGTAGTTTGGATAAATAAATAAAAAAGAATTCGACATCACTGCATCAGACTCTATTCATCCTTATGGCATGCAAAACTGTATAGCAACACATGCAGTAATTTTTCACCTCAAACTGCTTTGCAAAAGGGTAGAACATTTTTCTCATAGCTACTGACAAGGGTGATGTTACAACACACTCCCACTGAATATATATGAATATCATAAGCATACACTGATAAAGGATGGTGTCCATAGTTTGGTGATGTTGCATGACCACTCCTGCAAGAGTACTTGTCGCCTGAATATTTGAAAACTGATGACGTGATGACAAGAAGTAAGACATGCATTCCAGTTTTTAAAGAAAATTCAATAAGAAACCAAAATGATCTGATCTGCATGAAGTTTGTAAATCATTACTTTACTTTATTTGAAAAGTAAGTTATGAAAGACAAATCAATACCTACCATGTTTGATCTATTCATAGGAGAAAGATCTCATCACCCTCAAGGTGGCTCTCCAACATGCCTATAAATCAGACACCACAATGTCATGTCAAACAATTTGACAGTAAGGACCAGTTTGTCTGTTTGAAAAGGACTTACGGAACAATATCTATGGAACTAGGAGGAGCAAAGACTTCCAATAGGCGACAGATGACCTGAGCAAGGAGGATGACCAATAAATAAAATTTCCCTGCATAGGGTCCAACTTTCAGGCATCTACAAAAGATGTAGGATGAAATGAGACACTTCTAAATCAAAACAGGAAATACTGCAACAAATTCTCCCTTCTCACCTGCTCAGCCTTTGTTTGAGGGTCATTTGAGGGTGGCTGTCACTAATGATGGCAAAATAAACCTTTTCAGTTCGTTCAGCTATGTCTGTCCATTGGTACATGGACTTTACTTGACGATGCATCTCCCATTCATTCAGAGTTTCTCCTCCCTCTACCCTCTCTATCACAGTCTTCAAGGCATCTATCAAAGCTGCACAAAGATTCCATAATATAGGAATCAATTATCTAAATTTCTAATGATTCAAAGCTAAGAATAAAATAAACAGCATTATTCTGATTATTGGGTGGAACATAAATACTTTTGATGGATCATTTCTGACTCATGATGATTCCTCTTTAATAAAAAACAGCATGCTTTTTTTTCATTTGAAAATAAGTGAACCTCTGTTAATTTTCTTCCATGATGAGTGCAAAATTGAAAATAGGTAAGATTTATCATTGTAGTGAAAAGGGACTGGCATGACAACATATAGATGCAGCACTGGAGTAAGCAGCATGCAAATCCATCTTACATCTCACTGAGAAACAAAGTATAGGCTCACAAAATTTCTAGACTTCCCTAATTCCATTGCAATAATAAAAACCATTTAGAAAAGTCTGAAAATGAAGTCATGCTATTTTAATCTTACTATTGCAGCTTATCTTCCTACCTTTGGAGTTGGGCTGAGCTAGAGTGATCAGATGAGGAGGCAGGACTTCAGGAATTCCTCCTACGCATGTTGTCACAACCTGCAAGCTACAAGAAAAAAGTAGAAATATATCAGTATACAACAAAAACATTCCTTTCATATCTTAACTAAGCATGTCCATATTCCCTCACTTCATGCACTGAATCCAGGACATACCCACAAGCAGTGGCTTCCAAAATGGCAACACAGAATGCTTCTGTGAGTGATGTATTGAGAAAGATGTGTCCTTTGATGAGAAGATCCCTTACTTGACAGTGGTCAACTGAACCCAGTAGAGTGACTCTTTCTTGCAATGCATACTTTTCTCTCAATTCCTCAAGAAGCAGCCGTTTTGGTCCATCTCCACCAACAAGGAACTCAACCTAGGAAAATTAACAGAGTTCATAAATAAGAGTTAGTTTCAGATAATTATCCAGATTTTTGAGAAGAGGGGGGTGATATGGTGTCATGGATCTTGCAGTAATTTTTTAACAGAGGACTCTGGGTGTAAGCTTCCAACCAAATATACAGAAAATAGATGCTTAAAAGGCCTCAATGTACAGAGTAGACATGGCCTTGGTAGTATCTATCACCCTCAAACATGAATATAAAAATCAATTTGGCCCTTTATATGGAGGGGAGTTCAAAGGAAAACTAGAAAATATCTGTTTTGTCATTCACTCCACCTCACAGTGCTAGAATTTCACTGTCTGGCCACTTTGTGACCAAATACTGAATCACTCCATGCATTTCTTACTTGGTGCAATCCATTGGAGTAGATGCTATCTTTCCAACTATACTCCTAAAAGGTAAAGGAAGTCATGCCTGACTGATGCATCACATAGTAGTAACAGCATACCCCCTTTGTGCCACATTGTAGATTTGCATTTGCACTTATAACTCAACTAGCACAGGACATTTTTGGTTTTCATTTGAACTCCCTTCATAGAATGAATGAAAGTGTAATACTATGCTATACTTAAGGACTCACCTGAGGGAATGCTTCACATATTGGAGGAATGACATCTGCCAGAAGATCAATTCCTTTCCGATACACCAATCGAGACATTGTGACAATGGTGACTGAAAAATAGGCATTGAAATTTGACAATCATTATTTCCAAGGAATATTTATATAACATGAGAATGTAGAAAAAGCTAACTTTTGTTGGGGTTTCTCTGTGATGGATCTGGCTTGAATATGCTGGTGTCAACTGCATTTGGAATCACTGAAACATGACTGGATCTGACTCTGGCACGAAGCACTGTGTTCTCTTTCCTGAATGAATAAACAAAAATGATCCTAGGACAAATAATCACTTAGATATATTTGGTGCATCATGAACTGAAAGGCAATGGCTCACCCAGTGTGAGAGACACAAATGCAGTGGTCCACATTGACGAGGGAGATGCAAAGGAAATTGTTTGTCACAATGGCTGATGCATCCGCAAAGCCAAACAGAGAATGGTCTGTGAAAACTGTCTAAAATAAAAATATGCAAAAATGATAAATTGAAGGAGAAAGATTTCATACTCTGGTATTTCTATTCTTTCATTCTGTCTCCACCTTGATGCCCATGTATGATGCATGCAACATGGCCTCGTGGGCCAGTGTAGAAAAGGCAGAATGACCATGGACCACATCTATCCTTTCCCTGATGAAGATGCACCTGAAGCCAAGAGAATCAGAAGCACAAGGGTTGGAGAACCAAGTACAAGTACTTTAGTATAAGAAATGACATCTGATTTTTCTTTCCAAATATACTAAACTATTCTTCTATACTAATGATTTTGTGTGCCAAGCTGCACCTATCATGCTCATGCACCTATCAGATATGATAGACGGGAAAAGAAAGGGAATCCACTCAAGAAGCTGGGGGAATGCTGAACTTACTTTTTTGATAATGCTTCATTAGCCATACAAGTTTTTTCATTACATGCATGTAAATTTAGTCATTTTACCCTTTGACTGGTTCTTCTCAGAACATCCTAGGCTCATCTTGCAAGCTGAACATTCCACATTGCTTCTAAAGAATAAATGCACATCATACAACCCACCTCATCAATGGCAATGTTGTGAGAATTGTAGGCAGAACGCATTGGTTGTAGAAAGTTGGGATTGGTAGGTAATAGACCTGTAACAAGCAGCAGACCATGAATAAAGTTTGATAGAAAATAGTGCCTGAATTTCATTAGAATAGTTAAGTACCTTGAGTCCATTGGTCATGTGACGAATCCCCTTCCTGTTCCCATAGGAATGTGTAACAACAATAACTCTGTGTCCTCGATCAATCAAGCATTGACTCAATTGATATATATGAGCCTCCACTCCACCAATATTGGGATAGAAGAAGTCAGATACCATACTGAAAAGAGAACAATGCTTTCATATCAGTACTGCTAAGCTAACAGTCAGAAACTAACTAGCTAACAGTAAGAACACACCTGATAAAAAAACTTCACTTTGAACTATATATCAATCTAAACCCACTATTCTAAGGGACTACTTCTGAAAGCAGTACATTGTAAATTAAAGCACATTTGAAAATTCCAAGGAGGTCTATGATATATACATTTATTTGAAGTGTTTGGTCATTCCTTTCAAAGCTGTGCATGAATTGATGTCAAGTCAGGATGCAAGAACTGTGCAAATTACATCCCCCAAACCACCATCCTTCTTTTCAATCTAAACTCCATCTACTCTCACTAGTATCTGTCAGTGATTTGTTCAATGAATGAGAACATGTAGGTGACCATCAAACAATAATTGAATAGCCCTACAATTCTGATTCAAAACATTCAATACAGGTAACAATACTTTCCAAAACATTTTTAAAAATTCATCACATTTACCAATGAGAGTTTTGCCAAACTTTCAGTAATAAATAAGTCACAATGTCAAGCATTTATAAGAATTTGGGAATATGGAACCACGACAATGAAACCTTGCCCATGAATGTGTCTCAAAGACATAGGTAATAAATTAATGGATGAAGGAAGGAGTCTTTGACATTGACTTCTTCTATACCTATTAGCTGGAAGCATGATATTTCTCTTAGTGAGCTGTATCCAATTTTAACTTTCTTATTCTCTCAAAACAAAAATAATTTTCAAAATTAGAATTAAATACTACATTTACTGGCAAATTGCACATTTCTAGCAGTAACTTTACTAAAGCCAGTGAACTTATAGCCTTAGATCTCAAGTACTGGAATTTCTCCAAGAAAAAAAAGCTCTTTTCAAGCATTGCTTTCAAGTAGTATTTATTTCATGTCCTATATCTGAAAATCCAGTGCCTAGGTACCATTATACAACAGAAAAAAGCCCATTTAGCTTGGCACACAGCTCTTTTACGCAGCCATGAGAGTTCTTCACAAGTATAATTCGCCACATGCAGTTTACCTAGTAGAAACTATGGCTAAACAAACACTGAAGAATATGGAATGCAAAGGTTGACCTGATGTGTGAAATAATCCATGACAAAACCTTTCTCTTGGCAAGACCTTATAGACTGCTTCTTGCTTAACATTAATACAAGTTGCCAAGCATGTCTTGCACTATATAGGCCAGGTTAAAGTTGAATAAATCCTGTTCTGGGCCATGAAATCTCCAACCATACAGGCCTATCATAGGACCTACCCTTATGCTCGACAACACATAACCTTCGCGCAGAACTCTTTTTAAGTGAGCGTGCGTAGAAAACTGAGCCACCGTATATGCTTATCATAAGCCCAGGCCTTCCACTAAGCTTATTTGTCTTACATCCAAGGACTAAATGTTCCACATACCAAATGTTCAATCGCCTGAGCCTCTTCTGGTCTTCGAAGTCCCCAGTATCGCCCGCCATTGACTTCTCAGAATCGCGCTTTCTGGATTTATTGAGTATCGAGTTGTACGCTTAGAGTAATTGAAATGAAAAATTGATTAAATCCAGGTGAAACGGAGCAACTCCACCCAGAGTGCGTTTTGACTGGAATAGGACCAAATCTCTTGCAGAAGGCATACGAGGCGACCATACCTACATTCCCTTAGAGCTCTATGAGGAAGCGATCTTTGTTTCCGTCTGCCCTACACGATCGAGATCGGGAATTCAATAAGGCCATTACTACTTACGGCAACGGAGCCCGTGCTGACTGACGATTGCACAACTCTAAAACATAGTTGCCAGAGGCCTTAATTCAGTTTTGAAGAGGATTGCAATATACTCAGAGATTTTCTAGGGAATATTGTTTATTTATTATTATTATTACTCTCAGAATCTTTCTTGAAGAGAGTCCTAATTGAAGGCTCAAGCAATGATATACCAGAATACACTAGAGGAAAAACCTTTATGTCATCACTGTTAAGTGCTGAAAACCTCGTGTGCTCATGGTTCATACCGCAAGCGATTTCTTGTGGATAAGGTTTGATCGATTCGCTCAAACGATCGATTTCAAGCTCTTTCTGCATATGATTGTAAATAGTAATTACATATATAGGTCCTCCGATTAAGCATCCTTCAAGCTGTGAAGGGAGAAGAAGTTACAGAAATGACCGGAAGAGCAGAAGATGTCAATGTGAGTGAATTCCACATGTGAATAAACTCTTCTCTCAGCTGAGTTCTTTTTAGCAGTCCTAGAGAGGAGGATGCCACTTCCCTTGCAAAATTTCAAAATTGGGAGGGGCTCATCCTGACCCACCCTAAGTTTTATTCATCATCCCTGACAGATCAGATGTTTAATTTGTTAGGCCTACCGATTCATTAAAACTTCGAAGCCCCATGATTTATTAACTGTTGGTGATGGAGCACCAACTATAGAACAGAGAACATGAAAATATTCAATTCAACAATGCCCAGACCCTTCCACGATGAAGTTCATGAATCCTTTTGTTGCAGGTTCAAGGGAAATTCAATGTGGAGGAGACACAAGGAATCATCTTTGAGGCCATTGAGAGCTGTCTAGGCAATGAGGCTTACAATCCCAGCAAGGTGAAGCAGTGGACCAATGATGTTGTTCAAAAATGCATCAGTCAACTCACCAAGACCAGCAAAAACTTTAAATATGTTGGTTAGTGTCAAACAGGGAATGAGTAACATGATCTCCATTTAGCATGCATATAAAGGATCAGTTTGACCATAGCTGTTTATAATATTTGACTGTCTGAATCTTTCTCACCATTTTAGTGACTTGCACCCTCATGCAGAAGACAGGAGCAGGGATTTATTCACTCACCAAGTGCTACTGGGATGACACTACTGATGGGACCTGTTCTGTGCACTGGGACAATCAAACCATCTACTGCATAGTGACTGTGTTTGGTGTGGCCTTATGAGAGGATCTCAAGCAATGGACTGACATCCTCATCAAATCCTATGGTTCATCCCTTTCTTATCACAAATTCCATGGGCCTACTATGTGAAGAAGAATGACTCCCTGAATGTGAAGTGTGAAGGTTGTTTGAAATCACTGAAATTGAATGCCTGCGGATAAAATACTTTTTTTTTAAGGCATATATGGTATGAAATAAACAATGAAAAAAAAATTTTTGACTGACATGCAAGCACAAATTTATTGCAGAATTTAGTTAACTCTTTGGTTTTATTTGGTTTTAATTTGGTTTATTGATTCAAATTTCAAACCCATAAAGCTAAAACAAGATGTACTCTTCGGGGAAAAAAGGACATTATGAGGTTTCACAAAAGATGTCAACCATCTACAGAGATTGGAGTCTAAGAAACTGGCTTCTGCCAATAATTACTAATGAATATTCTGTGGACGCTTTATAAGACCTTGACTTTTTTTTTCAATGCAGTACCAATATTATTCTAAGTTATATCCTGGACAATGAACAATATTTAGCACATTAGTGAAAATTGAAAGGTGACCTTGAACATAATGTTGAGGAAAATATGCCTTGACTGCAAAGACAACTTGTAAAATAACTGTAATTCTAAAACATCTAGGACTCTGTGACAAAGCTGAAAAAGTGGCCAAAAGCATCCTAGAAAGGCTTGTGGATGTAGACAATACTTTCATGTTTCTAAACCTAATTTAACAATCAAGAAGAAACTAGTTCAATCTGACATGGGTATTCCAGATTTAAAATGTTTTACTCAGCTTTACTTGTTGAAATTCTTGACATTCTCTGACTTGGCATCATGCTTACCACGTTATGGAATATAATAGTGATGTTATAGTCACCTACTTTTGCCCAGCTTTATAGTATGCACTAATTGGAAATGTAATGCATTAGCCAGGAGGCCTACCATGTTCTGTTCTCTACCCAGAGAAAGATTTCTACCATGATAAGTTAGTGGGAAAGATAGTTTGTATTGTGGCAATCATTGTAAAATGAATATATAACCCCTTGGTAGAGAGTTCTTTAAGTTGAGGTTACTTGACTTTCAATCCACCAATGAATGCTGACAAAGAAATCATCCTTGAGTTGAAGGATACAAAGTGATTGTAGCAGCTCCAGGAAAACCCATGTAAATGCAGGAATCTCAAACATGAGTTTTGTTACTGTAAAGAGAATTTGCAATGAAGGCATTCCAAACCTAAAAGGAGGGAACTGTTCTTCAGAATTTACTACTTTGATGGAGTTGGTCAATTGACCAACCAAATTGAATATCCAATCCTTTATTCCTTGCTGAATAAATTCAAAGCAGATTGTAATGAACTAATATTTCCCATTTCTAAATGGATAGACAACATTTTACCACCTCATCCAAATGGACTTTGGGACTTAATAGTTTTATAGAACAAGTGCAATGGAGCATCCATTTAGCATATTCAACATGTCTTCACTTTCAAATGGCAGGCCAAAAAAAGTTAACCCTTTTATTTGGTTGGTACAACCATAATAATACAGCCTCATAAAATTTTAATTATGAATAACAACTTTTCCTTGATTGCATGCATTTTGCTCGAAAGAAATGAAACGAATAGTTTTTACACAATTTTTAAAAATGCAGTAGTTGTGCATGTATTGTTTTCATTTACATTTTTAAACAAACATCCTTCAAGCAATGGTTTGTGGAGATTGTGCAGAGATCAGCTAGACTGACAGCAGGTGAAGTAAGAGAGAACACAAAGAACATTGCCTTGGATAGTTATGGGTAATTTCAATCTATTTGCGGATGAAGCATCTCCATCAAAAAGGAGTCAATCAATTGACTCCTTTTTGATGGAGTGACAAAATTGACAAAAATCAATTGACATTTGTAATTAGTATGAAAAGAAAGATCATACCTAGGGTCAAAATGAGAGCAAGGAACCAATTAACAGGGTAGGGTAAAGGCACCAGTTTAAGGTTAAGGAAATTTTCCTCTCAAAAATTGTTACTGTCACTGAGGTAACTGAGAAACTGCTTGATTGGTTTCAATGGGAGGCCACTTATCAGTTTGATGCCCATACCATAAAATAAAATATTTAAAATATACTTTTCCAACAATGTTTAAATGGATATGTTTTTAATTTCACATGGTTCCAATTTGTGGAGATCCATGGACATAGTTTGTGGACACCAGTTTTTGTCAACAATTATGAACGTGCATAGGCCGAATAGAAAAATATGGGCATGAGACATGTACAGCAATTATATTTATCTTCAATGATGTCCTGTTAAGAAATATCATTGGAAAAATTAAGGAATTTAGGGGTGCAATGTCTAAAACTGAGCGAGAGTGTCAAAATTCACTCATGCTGATGGGTATGCATAATTTATGTGGTGGCTGACAGGCAAGTGCAAAATATGGAGCATTTGAGGAAATAAATTTTCAGCATGAATTTTGTGAAATGGCAAAAAACACAACACTTTCCACAAATAGGCACCTGCCCACAAACTGGTGCCTCTACCCTAGTTAGAATATGAAAAAAAGACATTACTATTAATTTACTCATTCTGAAAGAGCTCTACTGCACATGGAATGAGGAATATACAAACAAAATTCTCCTTATGAGATTTTCAGCCCTCACCTAAGCAAAAATGATGCATATTGGTAGGTTCAAACAGATCTCACACAATCTGTGGAAGCACATACTACAAAATTCAAAGCAAATAGTATCTACACTCCATATTTGCATCATATGCAAGCCACAAACAGAAAAAGCTCCATGCAACCTCAACTGCCAAGAATGCATGTTTTACCAAACCAAGATTTTCCCTGGACAAGAAAACCCTAATGACAAGTAGAAATAACTTGAGAATTTCTAGAACACATTTCAGAGGCAATCTTTGACCTAAGTCAACACTTCATTTCACATGTCCATGCATTTTTCCTGTGATGGGTATCAGGGTTCGATTTCATTTTTTATGACAGAACAAAAAGCATAGTAATGGTGAATGTCAAGGACAGGAAAAGCTTTATCAAATCTGTCTTGCAATACCTTCTCATGCTTTTTTATATTATTTTTACTGACTCTGATGAATCTGAAAAGAATGACCCATGATACAGTAATGTCAAAGAATGAAAGGCATGTGTGACAATCAAGGAATGCACAAATGAATTGTCTGATGGCTTGTATCTTTTTGCTGAGTAAATAGATATCTCATTGTGTAGATGTGTAAGAGATCAATTGGAGTTATCTTGTACTGACATGATGAAAATTCAGCTTTCATTTTTTTCCAAAAAGATTTGTTCAGACCATTAACTCCTCATTCACAATGGGAGATTTCCAACTTCTTAGTGCGATTTTTGTCCTTTGCTCTCCAACCTTCATGACACTATAGTTTGGAAATGAAAGACTGCATGGAAATCCATAAACTCTCTTGATTTGTTTTGACTCTGCACAGCATTAACCTAATGGAGTAATTTTTTCAGTTTGCACCCTCCATGGAATGATAATTTTTCCTTCTTAAATCACTTGGGTTGATAATGAAACTCTTAATACATTATTTGCAAGTGACATGAATCATTGTTTGGGAATTCCTTCCACTTCAATCTCTTGATTTTCCTGTAACCTCTGGACATCCTTGTCACTACGGATGACGGTGTTGGGCAGCCTGCGCAACATTTTCACTTCCATGTTCAACTCTTCTTCGCACATGGCTAAAAGTCTCTTGTACGTAAGATCATTCCTTGGGATCTCAACTTCAAAGAAGTCAACACCATTTCTTGGTTTGATCCGAAGCAACAGATCTCCAGTTCCTGGACATACACAACTCATCATTTGTAAAGAAGCTTCACTATTTTAGGAAAGGGTTAATGCTCCATCCATGGTCACATATTTGTTAGAAATATCGTCAGAAATATCCCCTAAAAAAACTAGAGCTCTGCAGGCTTTTTTTTAAAATCATTTCTGCATGATCATTATGAAAGGAAACAGTTTTCTTAACTACATTCATCTTTTTGAAAGCATTGTGACATTTTTGGCAACTATCATATAGAAAGAGAAAATGAGAAGTTCTGATTCCACTCCTAGATGCTCATATGTCCAAAATGGCTGGATTTATTGAATGGCCAATTAAACACCCCCTAACTCACCAGTCAATTGGCTGGTAAATATACTTATTTATAGCCAATACTGTCAACTCTGATGTGGTTTCTTCCTTGACTGCTTTGCACTCCATTTACATGCCATGCCAAGTTCCAACCACAATTCTCCCATGAGACAGACTTTGGCATGCAGACTGCACAAATTGCAACAGCACACAATAATTAGTACCCATTCCCCACAGATTTTTCTGAGCATGGCAGCCCCATGATGCCAACCTTTCTTTAAGAAAAAAGTGGTTTTTTTCATTCATGATGCAAGTAAGACTTGATTATCATGACATGATTATCACCAATGACATGATTATTCAGAATGCAATACTTTCTTGGAGTATCTCAGAGCTGCCTATTTCCCATGTGAAGCCTGAAAAACTGAGCATGGATTGAGTCCATGGTTGGCAGGGAATGGGTTAAAGATAGAGAGGACTACTAGACATGAGAACACCACCCAGATATTGAAAGATGTTGGAGTAGAATGAGCACCTTTCAGAGTGCTATCATAATCAACAGGGGCCACAATTCAGAAGCAGCATAAGCCATATGAGTTTGAAGTGAAAAAGGGAGTTAGGCACATAAACATGAATGACTATGATTTTACCACGTCACAATTTTATGTTTGCTCGACTCCGAATTCCTCCTGAGTCAAAATTTTGGTTTTGTCATTTTAGCTGTCAAAAGTGAAAACTGTTATGCTTCTCACTTCCCCAATAATGCTTTAAGGCCTTTAGTATGCCTAGTAGTAGTAGGCCTTCAGGGTTTATCTCAGTTAGCAATGATCAATGATACCTTTCACCTTATTTTTAGCTGGAAACTAAGTTCTACGTAAAGAGGATGATGAATTTCATACTTTAATCCTTACATGCCTGAACTATGTTTTGGGAAAAGTATTCCATTTAGTTTTGTGGATGCAACATGGCATAGGAAACTTATACATACTTTTTCTTAATTTAAAAATTTTTGGAAATTAAATTACACTTAAATCAAATTAATTGTAAACATAATAACAATTTTAAATATCATGCAGCTTTGATAGTTCCACTAAAACTCCAACATTAATTTTGCATTGAATTCCTCTCAACACTTCTATGCGACTCTCTGTAACAAAACTTGAAAACAGATCAAATTGCTGGGATAAAAATTTCCCGAAATCACTCTTCGAGACTCAAAATTCCCTTTCATTGATCTAGATGCCTGCAGGTACACAATTGTAATATTGTAACAAAGTCATCAGACAGACTGCATTGTTGTGGTAAAGCTAATGTAAATGTTAATCAAGAAAAATGATGTTGGAAAGGCTAGACAAGTCTTGAAAGTTGGTGCATTTAAATTAGGCATGAAATAGCTCAGCAATCCAAGTGATGAGATGAGATGTTTTTATCAATCCCTCCTTTCAATGAAATAGTAAATACTAGCAATATTTGTCCTTTCCTCCAATCCTGTTTACTTTGGTGTTCATTTTTTTTTTCAGTCACTCTCAATTCACAGGAAGGGGCTTCCAAATAGTCAGCCCTGCTCTCATAAAGGTATCATTCTTATGTCCCATGAAAGTCCTGCAGAACACCTGTTTCTCTCCCTACTTTCCGCTTTCAATAGGCAAAGTTCTCAAAAGGGTTTAGCAGACAATGGAACTAGTCTAGTTCAAAATCAGTTCTCATAAGTTTCCATCATGTTAAGCTTCAAGATCATGCATGTCACTGTCACACTGATTATGTCCCATGATACTATTCTACTGAGTTTCTTGTTGCTCAAAATTTGAGTACAATATCTTACTTAGGGCAGTCTACTTACTAGGAAGTTCTTCTGAACCGAGTTTGGTGTAATTCTCTGGTACAATCTTAAGATCAACTGATGGGGCAAGAGGTGGATTGATGAGAAAGTGTGGAGTGATGGGAAGGGATGGCTGAGGCCTCACATCCTCTTGCTTTCCACCTAAGATTATAGCCATCTGTTCTGTGTGTGCTAGATCCAATGCCCGTTCCCCTTTGACATTCACAGCATCTTTGTCTGCACCATGAGTCAAAAGCAGTGTCACAATATCTTCATGGCCTCGATGTACTGCCCAATGAAGTGGAGACCTGTAGGAAATAAATTTGATTGCAATGATTCCACAAATTGTAATAACCTTTCCTAAGGTGAATCAAACATGATGCCTCCAAGTAGTATTAGAGAAGGCTTTTGTCATTAAGAAGTACTTGACAGTACTTGAGCAACATCTTTCATTTGCAACTTCTACCCTCTTCATGGATTCAATACAAATTTGGAGATGTGAGTGATTGAAGAATGAAGAGTTGCAAAATGCAGGGTGTCCATTAAGCAGGTACTTACAGGTAACTTCTTTTCTATTGACAGTAAAGTAGCCATTTTTTAAACTTTTGTTGACTGAAAACACTGATCTTTGGAATAGTGTCTTTCTTCTTTCATATATTTCCTCCTATCAACTTGGCATGACTGAGATTTAATTTCTCAAATATGGCATTTTAGAATTTTTTTTCATTTTAGCAAGAAAAAATGGAGACTAAAACTTAAAAAACAATTTGTCTTTAACCTTATTGTGCCAACTTTTTGTAATTAGCATGATATTGATTGAATAACAGCATATTTTAGGAATTCAAAATCATAAAAATTAGGAATTTACTCAACAAAATGGTTCAAATTGTCAACTGCCAATTTCCTCACATTTCTGAGCCCTAGCAACTGCATCATTATCAACACCTGTAAGAATTCCCTCACTTATATGGCATGCAGCATGAGAGATATTCTCTTTTGAATTATTTAAATATGTGGGCTTGTCCTTTCAAAAAGTGCCTTTTCCCCACTTGTTTGGGGATGGTGTACTCCAAATTTCTGAACCTGTAATTGAAAAAAGGGTCTGGTAAATTAAGTCTAACACTAGAGTGGAGGAACGAAAGATGTGACACCATTCTGATGTGTATATATTAACAGGTGATGCAAATAAAAAAAGAGTTTCTCCCAGATTCAGAATGAAAAAAGTTGCTCATGGGTACTTCATGGACCTGCCTGAACTTTAGTGTATGTTCCTGCCAAATGTTACTTTAGCCTATCGATTGCCCTTAGGATCATATAGAACTGAATAGTTGTTGGATGGGTACCTATATTAGGGGTGGGAGGCTGGCTGCCAAATATTTAAGATATTAAAAGTGTGTGTAAAAAAGCCCTTCTGGCAGTAAGTAATCAAACACATGGCCTTGATGTGTTGCATCTAACATGCTCTCAACCCCAAAGGTGCTATAAAGTGCCAATAATAGTTTTCTTATAAAAAGTGTATTTCTAAAGATTAGGAAGGATGCAATTCTAAGCTGACTGAAAAAAAAGGAAATCTCTAATAAAGATCCCTGAATTACAAAATAATTTAAGTATTAAAACAAGGATATCATGGATTTGGGAATGACAAGACTTGTGATGATACAATTTCATATGAGCATGGGAAGAGTGGTTATGACATGATGAAACTCCTTCTATGAGCTTCACAAAGTTCTAACTTTTCTTATAGCTTAGATCTAAAGAAAAAAAACCTCATGTCCACTTCATGGACCTATACAGGAACCTACCAGACCTAGCCAGTAGCTGACTTAAAAAACAAACTCAAATGTTGGCATACGTTAATCTCTCATATTAGGCCTTTGAACTCACCAGCCATTGATGGAGTGCTTGGCGTTAACCTTCGCCCCCTTGCTGAGAAGTACTTCAATGCCACGAATATCCCCCATGCAGGCAGCCTCAAGCAGCTTGTCTTCTAAGATTCCCATTTTTTAGCGCCTGGCTAGCGTTGATCCTAACTTTCCTATGACGAACATTATATAATGTGGAGGGCCATAAAAGTGGCCTAACAGTTAAGCCATGCCTCCTATCATCACCACACTTGGTATCGAGCTGGCCTAAAATATAAGGCTATAAAATCAGTGGCAAATAGACCTGGCCTACAGCTGTTGTACCAAACACGTGGTTCCCCAATGTATCACCAAACTCTCGCACGGACGCGCGATAGCAATTCATAGCTCGGATACAATTTTGCGTTTGTCATTGAATGGCTTCCTACTAACACGCTTCCTACTTCACATGTATAAATATTACCACTTATTTTGTGAATTTTATTGGTGGGAAAGTACTCACGGTTCTCTTATATTTTCGTCAATCCTGGACGAGTTCCAAGTTACCGATCGACCGAAGGAAGCATGGAAACAGCATATATGGCAGCCCCCTCCACATTGAGACCCTAGGGGGTCATCGCAGATCTGTAGCTTCCAAACCCCGAATCCCGGGGTTGACCCATCTCTGAAATCCCTGGTTGACAGGATGGCTTCTTCAATCAATTTGGAGCATTACCTGGATAGTGAGTTTTCCTCACCTCGGTTACTTTATTAGATTCATAATCGTAGGGTCTACTCTTGCACCACAGGCAGTGGTGTAGCCCCGTCTCCCTTCTACTTTCGTGCAGGTGTATGTGCATGTACGGCAAGCCTCAAGAACCCTGATATTTGTCAGGTGCCATAATATTTCAGTAGTCCTATAGGCATTAGTCGTCTGTGAATGATGAGTGTGAATTCTCTGCCGAACAAATGTGGCATTAAGGGAAAGAGGAGTTTGAAAAAGTCAAGCCCGCAGCGGGTAGGATTACCAGACCATAAATAAGAAAGCCTTCATCAAGTAGGCCTGAATGCCTTAATAATCACAATTTTTTCTAATTAGAAATATGAGCTCATTCCAACTAGCATTTGAAAAACCAACTTGAAATTAACATTTTTATTATGCCCAAAATGGAGGGTTTCCCCAATTGGAGACAAGTGGCTAGAGGACGGTAATTCAAAACCAATCAGATGCAACTCCTGAATGATGTCACTAGGGGACTAGTTGGGTGCACGTGGTTGTCATGTTGAGGTGCGAAGTTAAATCTTTCAACCTGTGCATGCACTTCTGATATTTTTCACTCGAAAAGAAGTGCATAAAACAAGCAGATGCAAGCTGGTCAGTCCCTGCTCCCATCAAAGCCGTCTTTCCCATGTTAAAAGCATGAACCGATTCTATCGGGCAAACTTCGTGAAGCTGATGAATGAGATAATCCGCCACATGATAAGCTTCAAAGACTCTGGGCCCTAGTTAAGGGGGCACCCGATTGGCCTAGGCCAATCGTCATGCAATCAGTCGTGTAATGACGATAGTCTTAGACCAGGGGTCAGGAACCTTTTTGGCCATGTGAGCCATATTAAGATTGAGGAAAGTGCTTGTGAGCGAAAGATTTTCAGAACAATTTTTCCTGAAGTTGAGAACAGACACATGCATTCTTTGATACATGAGAAAGATGAGAAAACACCAAGATTTTCAGTCATGACTCAATGAGTCAAATTTTTCAGCTTGTTAGCAAAATTTGTCTCGGAACCATAGGTTCCCAACCCCTGGCCTAGACAGAGAGCCCCTCTTGGTATCGAACTATCAGACGCTTTGATCCCACTCGCAATGCTAATGGGCTTCCTAGCCTCAACCTGTTCACGATCTGAAGGAGGCAAACCTATCAATGCCAATGTACCCAATCAAGCCAGTCCATTACTTCCCATCCCAGAACCACAGACCCACATTTATATTATGAGTGGCCTGAAGCCTCCTCTCACCAAATCCCAGCCCCAAGTACACCCATATGCTTTCTTTTCCAGAAGTGCAAAAAACACTGACACACCTTAATGCAGAGGAATACAAAAAATCTCATCTTTGGAGATTCAATCATCCAACATTTCTTGACAAAAGGAGGGAATAAAAATGTGCACTTTACCTGGTACTAAAGTGGACAGTTTGCATCATTGTGTTTTTGACACAATTCAGACCTGATTTCAGGTGTCCCAAAAAATCCATCCTAGGCTAACCTACTGTCAACATGCCTCCTCCAGAAGTGAATCCAAGAATATCCTTTTTAATTACAAAGCGATGTTTATCCTCTGTGTTTGTGATGGGTTCTTCCTGAAAAAAAATTATTCCTCACATTCAGCACACCTTAGGCATCACCTCTTTTAGGTGGTTGCAGTTGCATCAATCCTGATTGAGCCAGATCCATAGCTTGTGATTCCTTTGTGCTTGTCATTGAGTTCATTTTGTTACAGCCTTTAATTGCAAAAATCCTGAAGAAACGTTGAAAATGCATCGGTTTTTGTAAAGTAGAAGTTTTCCAATAAGGTGCACATGGATTCCATTCTAGATTGAATGATTAATTTATTCAGGGAAAAAGGATAAATCATCTCAGCAACAAACCAGGTCCAGTTGAAGGTGAGTGGAAAATATAATACTGAGTAAGGAGGAAAAACGAAGAGAACATAATGCCATAAAAACACCAGCATTCAAGAGAAATTCCCAAATTTCTTTCTATAGGAATGATTTCTGAAGGTACATAAGGCAAGAACATATAGACAAAAATCATTTCCATGTATTTAAATCTAGTCCACAACTTAGGGATAAGGTTTCAGCATGTTCTCCTTCAAGGTTGTGTTTTGAAAAATGATCAGGTAAATTGTGCTTATGCTTATAATTGAATAATGCTTTCAAAATACAATTCTCCAGGAGAATGCACCAAAATTCTTTCAGATCCCAAGAACTTCAGTGATTCTACCAGGGTTATCTTCCTCCATGCCAATATTACCCAAGAACCCAAGAAAGTTCAAGTGGAATTGACTTTTTTGGAAGCATTGAATGACTTGTGCATTGCTTGATTTATAAACCACATAACAATTTGGAGTGATACTGAAAGATGGAAAAACCTAAAGAGAGAAAGCTTTTAGAACATATAGTCAACAAATTCTCCAGTTTATCATTGAACACTTTAATGCCAACCTTCATTGGCTGGAATATGCATTGGATTTGTTTCAGTAGATGTTTATGTCTGCTATGAGAGATCTGCTATGAGTAAGGGTATCATATATTGATGGGAGGCTGGAAACAAGTAAAATCTCATACAGTTATTACTATGGACCCCAGAGCTATGGAATTTTTTTTTACTTTACACCTTCAAAAATAACCAATGACCGAAAAGGATTATGAAATATTTGTTTTTTTGGCATCCTAGTAGCTCTTTCCTGCTAATGAACAGAATAGGATGTTGTGAAAGTTCTTTATGTTCTATTTAATGATTTGAGAACACTTTATTTCATGTTTTCTTTCCCATTCAGGGATAATTTGTTTTGAGTGAAGCAAGCATTGATGGTACAAAACCCAGCTGGTTTCCATACCAGTGATGTTGACACATTTTGAATCATAGTCAAAGTCAAGTATATTGGCAAGTTCTGCATTGAGGTTAAATATGCTGTACTACATGTGGTACATCATTTCAGTTAACTAGTAATAGGAACAATGATAGAATAGATCCTTGAAAGACACCCTAAGACCCATGGGCAAAATAGTGTGCTCAGCTAGGGTAATAACTACATATGAAATATAATCTATCACTAGCCAATTTGATGCAACTTGAAAATTGGAATACAAAGAGAAAGGGAATTGCAAGCTTTGATTACTGATAGTTTCCAAATGAATGCAACCCTTCCTCCAGAGCATGCTTGTTTCTCTGAAAATGTAACGAGCTATGTCAAATAGAGATTGGAGGAATATGTGTGAGGTTCAGCTAGAATAATAAACCTTTTTATTGACAGCTTAGAATCTATAGTCAAGCCCTGAAATAATGTTAAAATTCTGACTCAATTTCATGAGTATGCATGGGTTAATGGTCATGGAGAAATAGACCTTATGGCAATTGATTTTCATCATGAAATATTCTGGCTTCCAGCTTTTTCTTCTTTCACCTTAAAGAGATCATCTATTTTACATTAATTGAAAAATCTCACAATAATAGGACTATTGAGTTATTGGATGAAAACCATAAACACTCAGTCTGCAAAATCTATATCACACATTGAAACAGACATCTTGATTGCACCACTTTAATTTCCAAATCCACTACATCTTCATCTTGAAGGGACAACTTGAAACCCCAATTTGCTAAACTAATATCTGCCCTTCCAATTTCTTTAGACTAAATTCAAGATCATTCACCTTCTCTGTCTAGACCTCATTCTTCAATGTCCGATCTTCACAGATAATATATTTTGGATCTCAAACTCTCCTCCATAGATATTTAGGCCTCAAAACAATCAATTCACTATAACTGTTCACTTAGTTTTCAAGTCATTTCTGGAGACATGGGAACAGGGACGCATCCGTTGCACCTGTCATCACAGCCAATGCAGTCTCCTCTGATGATACTCTCTGTTTTGATAAGGATGAACTTTGCAGCAAAGAATCTTGGGCTATCACAGCCTAGGCCTAACATCTCACACATCCTGTAGAGGTAAAGGAGAGGTTAAGTCAGTATTGCACCGATTATTGCTGTGAACAAAGCGAGCCGCTATGTTCTGCACTTTTTCTAGTGTAGAATCTGTCATGCCAATACAGTTTGCCTGTTCTAACATTACCGTTTTTACAGGTTTAACTTCTCACAGTAACTGCACCAACACAGCAAATGATTTTAACAAGCATCTTCATAAGGTGAGGAGAGAGGCATCAGCAGAATATAACAAACTAAGGAGCACGAGAAAGCGCGAGAACCAGCACACCACGTGGTGCAATAAAACAGCCACGGCAACACAACATGACGTCATGCACTGAGATCTTTTGATTGGTCGGAAGTTACCGTTCTCTAGCCGCTTGTAATTGGAGCTTTCAACCATAAGGAATCCTGGAAAGTATGATGTTATAGCGGAAGTCACTTAGCCTGTTCACATATGATGTCAAGCTACATACGTATGAATGGCATAAATGTACATTGCTTTAAGATTGAATTCATATCCTCCTGCAGGAGGGTTTTCATCAAATGCAGGTAGTAACAACTTCATGTGGTTGGTTACATCTATCACCTGATGAAGTGGAGCCTAGGAGAGTAGTTTTTCCTCTGTAGATCACTGGGGGGGGGGGGTTCAAATTAAATGCAA